AGAGAGAGAGAGAGAGGGGGGGGGGGGTGGCGATGCAAATCACAGCAGGGCAGGCCAGGGTCAGGGAACGTCAGCGGATCAGATAACTCTAGGGGCTCCATCAGGGGCACCAGGGGCCTCTTGGGGCCTCTGGGGGCCTCTTGGGGCCTCTTGGGGCCCCATCCACGCCTCCAGCGCTGAGCCGATTTCGGCGAAACCCCCGATGGCATTCGATCTGATAAAAATCTTTTCCTCCTACGATCCTGGACCCATGGCCGAGCATAGCGTCCATCACAAGCCAACGCGTCATGAGGCACCCGCTACTTACTCGTCACCTGCATTCGCTCCGCGGGATGAGACGGACATGCCTGCGTGCTGTGCTGCTCACCAAGGCTCCAGCTGAGCAGCATGCAAATTTGTTGGACAACCATGAGCTTTACACTGTATCAACGTGCATTGATCAACACAGGTAGCCTTGATGTAAACAGAAATTCTATGTTCCCAAACGCCATCGTACCCCCAAACCATCATATCCAGAGTGCCATGAAGACCTTCCCATCCAAACGGATCAACGGGGTATCAGGTGTCAGTCTTGTGCCATGTGCCTTGTACGCCAACAAGCCAGCCTAAATCAAGCCGCAATCTCCTCCACCTTGGTAGCCTCCTCGGTAATGTCAACGGCCGTCTTCGCAGCCGTCTCGGCGGCAACGACCGCGGCCTCCTCCTCCTCCGCAGGGCTCTTTCCAAGGCCCATCCAGTTGTAGCAGACTGCGGTTCGGTTAGCCAATGTGAGTGGATCAGAAGCATCGGGTTAGAAACATAAAACGCGGCTGCACTTACTCGTGAAGCCCAGGTCGTCCCGGAAGTACGCCTCCATCACCTCCTCGCCATGGATCGTGCCCATGTCAGGGCCGTACGCGACAGCCTTCTTGCCGACGGCGAGACCGATGGCAGGCGGGAACGCCTCGAGCACCTTAAACTCGGGCTTGTGTTCCTGACCCTTCTCCTTGGCGAGGATCGCAATCATGCGCTGGTGCGCGTTGATCGCTGCCATGTGTCCCATGTGCATGGCGCCGCCCGCGCGCTTGATGCCCTCCCACTTGCACGCATCACCGGCGACGAGATGGAAGTCGGAGTTGCTGACGCCCTCGAGGAACAGGCTCGAGTCGACCTTGGCGTAGCCCTCCTCGTCGAGCGTCTCGGCGGGCAGGTAACCCGTCGAGGGCACGGGGCGCGACACGGCCATGATGACCTCGCTGGCGAAGCGCTTCTCGCCGCCCGTGAACTCAACCTCGTAGCGCGCACGGCTGCCCTCGGGGACATCGAGCTTGCGCGTCTCAGCGACGCGGTGGTTGAGGAGAACCTCGACGCCGGCTTCGCGCGTGAGATCGAGGGCCACGTCCTTACACTCGTCCGACAGGTTCTCTGAGGATAGAAGCTTCTCGCGGGAGTGCACGAGCGTCACGTCGGCATCGGGCTTGATGAGCTTGAGCTCGGCCGCCATTTCGATGCCGACGGCGCCACCACCCACAATGACGACGCCATCGGGAGCGTTGTGGACGGCGTGAATCTGTTCCTCGGCCTCCAGGAGGAACTGCTTCCGCAGCAGGGACTGAGGAACGACGGGCCAGGGGCGGCGCAGGCCTGTGGCACTGACCATAAAGTCATAGGAAATGTCGTGCGGGATCTTGGTGATGTGAGAGAGTACGGTGGCTGACTTGGTGGCGGTGTTGATCTCATCAAGGCTGCCTTGGACGAAGCGAATGTTCGGCCTCTGCAGAGCAGGGATGTCTTGGAACTTGATCCAGGTCTTGGCAGCATAGTCGGAGGAGGCAAGTGCGAGAGGAGAGCCGATGAGGTGGACTGCGTAAGAATGTCAGATGGGTCATGATACGTGCGAAGAGGGAGAGGCGGCGGAACCAACAGTAGCCGTCCCTCTCGTCGACAATGGTTATGTCGACGGGGATGCGAGTGAAGTCTGGGTGATGAGAGTACGGGTCATGGGCCATGCGCGGAGAACGGCCATTGCAGATATCCAAGAGGTTCACGACGAAAGAGAGACCAGCGTACGAGCCGCCGGCAACGAGGAGGCGAAACGGTGGGATGGTGTTCTGAAGGGAGCCCATGATGTTGGTGTAGGCTCTCGCGGCACTTAGAAAGATCAGGAATACACAAGTAATACAGAGAAGGAGCGGGAATGCTGATGTGCACTGAAATTCAACCCTCGAGTATGCTTGGAAAGAGGAATAATCTTGCAAGCGACAGAGGAAGAAATGGATGGTTTTCTTGTCTCCATACCCCTCTTTTGGCCTCTGGGTGTCCCGGAAAGTTGGGCATGTTCTGATAGCCAAGACAGGCATTCAAGGGGCGATCCATGGCCACGTCTCCGATGGACCAGTGGCTCGGTCTGAATCGGTGTTTCTCCTCATATGCCGTGATATGAGGAGGGGGGACGTGGTTGTGGAGTCCTTTAAAGTTATCAGATCCTCCTCAACCGCCACTTGACCATTTGGATCGTCGCAACGCCTGCACCGTGTCGTCTAGCGTGCATCGGCTTCACCTGCCCCATCTCGGTTGGACCTGTTGGGCAGCACCGGAAGTCCGAGTTCAGGGAGAAGGATGAGGCGAAGCAACGCTCGCCAGGCTTGGCTACCGCGAGGTGTCTTGCGCCATTTTTCCCGGTTCGACTTGCACCGAAGTCGATGTCATGCCAAGAGAAATTATCTGATCCGAATATCCAGAGCAACCAATTATCTGATCGTTGGGAAACGATCATCCTAGGCCGACTGAAATTTGCGGACGGGGGACCGGCCAGGTCGGGGCTAGACGTCGGTGATCGGTGAACCTCGGATAGCAATGCCCAGCAGCCAGCTAAGACGGCCTGCTTCTAGCATTGAATCTCATCATGTCGGCTGGTGTCCTTCCCACGATTCCGAGGATACAATGGTACGCTGTCTTCTGCAATGGACCGTGAGCACCCATGGCCTAGATAAGGTTGGTATCTATTATGAGGCCACGAGCTCAGCAGCGCAATCGTTTCTGGACCGGTCCTCATCGCCTCGATGAAACCCAAGTCTTGGGCGTTCTCGCGATGACTAGTTTTGCCGTCGACGTGCTCTGTGATCTCGACAGGCGGACTTTCATCGGGTCATTTCTGGAGGAGCTGAATCCTGCTGATGTAGAACCGCTAGAGAGCACATATTTGACATTTGATAAGAGTCGATTCAGACAAAGGTCCGTCCTGTTGCACCTTGTCTATTTCTCACTAAGGACCGACAGGCCTTCGTTTCAAGATTGGTGCAGTAGAACCTTCAACAAATAGCCTGCAGCCAATCCTGTGTTCTGGTGAATCGAGTCGTCCAGGTCATGAAAAATGACCGACAGAGCGTGATTTGTATCTTGAGGGGGCTCCTCATCAAGGGGTTTGCAGTTTGTCACGGTGCAACGCTGGAGAGGACGACAGAGGGTGCTGTTGCTGGGTCGTGTCATGTTACGAAATCATTGACACCATCCGAGGTTGGTCCCAGAAAATTCTGTGGCTGAGAGAAAGTGAGGCGTGCATGTGGCTGAAGCTTTATGACCAAGCTTTGTCTTGGTCGCTGACGTCTGACCTCAATGGAGCTGGATGACGGCTTGCTGCTGCGTGTCTCGCATTGAACTCCATCAAGCACAGCCCGCCCAATAGTCCCCCCACGTGTTGCAGCCTTCAAGACCGGATTCACATTTCCCATTGCAACCAGACGCGTCGTGAAGACCCTCGTGAGTCTACGACCTAGAGCGCTGGCATACCGTCACCCGACACTTGCCTCAGCTGTTCTTCACCATACCGTCCCACGCAGGATCTCGTCATCCCTCCTCTCTCCACCAAGCGGGTCCCGCGCAAGGACTAGTTCGTTTTGACAACGACGACCCTTCCACCACCACAGACCCTCTGGACAGAGGAGGGAACAAGCCAAACTTCGACGACGACGAGTTCGAATTGGTCAATTACCAACCGATCCAGCATCGTCGTCAACTTGAGGCACGACAAGCCCGCCGCGACGAGAAGCGATTCGAGAAGCGGCTGTGGCTGCAAGCGCAGGACGATATGAAGTTTTCCCACAGCATCCAATTCAATGCGGTGCCCGACTGGAGCAGCCATTATGTCGCTTACAGCAACCTCAAGAAGCTGTTCGTAGTGCCGATTTGCTTTTCTACGTCATGGTTCGCACGGCTGACACCTTGTTCACAGGATCTATCAGCTCGAGAAGACAGCCCACCAGGCCACCGGCGGCGATGGTGAGTCGAGACCGCTCATCCGAAACGAAGAACCCGAAGAGGTCTTCAGTCGCGCTCTCGATGTCGAGCTCGAAAAAATATGCTCGTTCTACGTGGCCAAAGAAGGAGAGCTCCTCGACGAGGTGAACGACCTGCTCCGGGACGTCGGCAACCACTCCGAAGACGAAGACATCACGTCAACACCAGGGCGCCGGTCGTCTGACGGACTGCAGCGTGTCGCAAGCAACCCTGGTCGTTCCTCAGTTGACGACAACCTCGAAGACAGCGACGAAGATGACGACGAGACAACCGGGCTCACCAAGAGCAGGGTCAGTGCGGGTGGCCGACGCAAAACCCTGCCCAACATCATGCCCCAGTCCATCGGCGATATGACTGCGTCTGGCGAGCTGTCAAGATCTGGACGTCGGCAGAGTCTGGCCATGGATGATTATGCTGAGCGCACGTTCGCCTTTTCTTCTGGCATCATGCTCAAGAAGCGCATCACAAGCCTCTATGTTCAGTTGTGCGAGCTCAAGTCGTACATACAACTCAACAAGACAGGCTTCCGCAAGGTCCTGAAGAAATTCGACAAGACCCTCGACAAGGAGCTTCGGGTGAAGTACACGGCGGCTTCTGTCGACCCAGCCTACCCCTTCAAGCCTGAGACCATGGAGACGATCGAAGCCAACATTGCCAAGATGGAGAAGGCCTACACTGATATTGTCACCAATGGCGATGAGGCTCTCGCGAAGCGCGATCTTCGCTCTCACCTGCGAGAGCACGTCGTGTGGGAGCGCAATACGGTATGGCGAGACATGATCGGCATGGAGAGGCGTGCGGAAGCTGCCAGCCTGGGTCGAAGCCTGCTTGGCACTGATCCGACAGCCATCACCAGGCGCCTACAAGGTGACAACGACGACACGCCGGTCACGAAGGAGCTCAAGACACCGATCGGCCGTTTTGCCGTGCCAAGTTGGCTGGCAAGCGCAGCCATGTTGCAGCTCCTGTTGATCATTGCCATCTTCTTCGTCATTCTCTTCGCCCCGATCATGGAGAGTCCCGAGCAGCAGAACTGTCTAGCCCTGCTGGTCTTTGTCAGTCTGTTGTGGGCTACCGAGGTATGCGTGCTCTCATCTTTTTTGACGAACCCAATTTGCTGACAGAACGCAGGCCATTCCTCTCTTCGTCACTTCGTTGACGATTCCCTTTCTCTGCGTCGTGTTGCGGGTCGTCCGAGCAGAGGAGAAGCCGTATCAGAGGCTTGACTCAAAGTCTGCGACTGCTGTTGTTTTCTCCTCCATGTGGACGCCAGTCATCATGCTTCTCCTTGGTGGCTTCACCCTGGCTGCTGCACTGTCAAAGTGCAAGATCGACAAGCGGCTCGCGACGTTTGTCCTCAGCAAGGCCGGTACCACGCCACGCACCGTTCTCGTCGCTAACATGCTCGTCGCTGCCTTCGCAAGCATGTTGATCTCCAACGTCGCTGCTCCGGTGCTGTGCTTTTCCATTATTGAGCCCATGCTGAGGACACTCCCTCAAGATTCGGCCATGTCCAAGGCTGTCATTATGGGCATCGCACTGGCGTCTAACATTGGTGGCATGCTGTCCCCCATTGCGTCACCGCAGAACGTTGTTGCTGTTGGCATCATGAAGCCCGCACCGACCTGGATTCAGTGGTTCTTCATTGTGATTCCTGTTGGCATCGTATCGATTGTGCTCATCTGGATTCTGCTGCTCATCACCTTCCAGCCGGGCAGGGGCACCACCATTGCGCCCATCCGGCCTGTCAAGGAGAAATTCACAGGCGTGCAGTATTTTGTGTCCATTGTGACCATCATCACCATCGGCCTTTGGTGTGCTAGCCACCAGTTGGAGTCGGTCTTTGGCGATATGGGCGTGATTGCCATCATCCCAATTGTCCTCTTCTTCGGTATTGGCATTCTGACCAAGGAGGATTTCAACAACTTTCCCTGGACGATCATCATCTTGGCAGCCGGCGGTCTCTCGCTTGGCAAGGCGGTCAAGTCATCCGGCCTGCTCCATACCGTGGCCGGAATCGTGTCGAGTCGCGTTGAGGGCATGAGTCTCTACGGCGTCCTCTTCGTTTTTTCGACGCTGACGCTCATCATTGCCACGTTTATCAGTCACACGGTTGCCGCTCTGATCATCCTGCCGCTTGTGTATGATGTTGGCATGAGCATGGAGGAGCCCCATCCCAACCTGCTCGTCATGGCTGGCGTGCTCATGTGCAGTGCCGCCATGGGTCTTCCGACCAGTGGCTTCCCCAATATGAGTAAGTCGATCAAATTGTCATTTCCACGTACGAAGCTAATCAGCATGCAGCTGCCATCATGAAGGAGGACCCGACCGGACAGAGGTATCTCCAGGTCAGGCACTTCATCAGTCGGGGTGTGCCGAGCAGTGTCCTCACTCTCATCGTGGCAGTCACCCTCGGGTATGGGCTCATGAGGGTGGCTGGACTCGACTAGATATGGACATTGGTAGCCATGAAAGGAAGAGCGTAGGATATTTTCCGACTGCACAAGCTTTAGCATTTTGTGATGGGGTTAGAACTGGAGCCTGGCATTGTTGTCTTTGGTGTTCTGAATTTTGTTTTCCTGCGATTTACTCGTGAGCCACTTTTCCATAGCTGGCCACCTCAGTCAGGTCCATAAATTGCGCCAGTCATATTGTGATTTCAAAATAAACCGAGCAACTGAGCTCGTAGTTCAACAGCAGGAAACTGGAATCATGAGCGCTGATGCATTGGTGATGGCGGCAGCCTAGTGCGGACAGTGCATGTCTTGAGCCCACACTGACCATCGGTCATGCACTGACGTCGTTGCTCCTCGGTAGGACGAAGCTGCTTCGAGAGCCAGCACGCAAAGAGCTCCGCAGCAATCCCTCTTCGCGCCCAACGAGCATGAGCTGTGCATGCGACCACAGGCTCCCACACATACCTAGACCTACACTCTGCTGGATGAGGGCGCCAGGAAACTGAGCTTGCGCGGTTCGCGAGCCGGACATTGCCATGTTGTCGGCCTTTACAGCTCGGCCCATCATCGAGCTGAAGCAGCGAGACAAGAGCAAGATCGAAACAATACTCGCCTACGGTGCGCGCCCACACTGACAGATTGTTCCTTGTTGATCTTCTTTGCTGACCCTGTCTGCGCAGGCGACCGCATCCTCGTCGGTCTCAACAGCGGCGCACTGCGCGTCTACCGCCTCAACGAACTCCCTCCCTCCGAGCCCAACGGCTCTGCCCACACCAACCCGCCCGACGGCGACGACGATGCGTCTCTGACGCCGCAGCCGCCGCAGCCGGCGCCCAAGCCGACCGATCTGCTGCGCGAGTTGGAGAAGTTCTCGACGCGTGCCATTGAACAGCTCGCCATCATCAAGGAGGCCACGACCCTCGTCTCGCTGTCCAACTACTACATCTCCCTGCACAACCTGCAGACGTACGAGCTGATCGAGACGCTGTCGCGCACGAAGAATGCGTCGTGCTTCGCCGTCACCTCCAACATTGTCAAGGACCCAGACACTGGCATCCCCGAGATCATCAGTCGGCTGGCCGTGGCTGTTCGGCGGCGGCTGCTGGTATGGAACTGGCACGAGAGCGAACTGAACGCCGACGTGGAGGAGATTACGCTCGCCGAGTCCATCCGGACGGTGACGTGGGTCAGCGCGACAAAGATCGTCTGCGGCATGAACGCGGGCTACGTCACCGTCGACGTCGTGAGCCATGATGTGCAGGACATCATCAGCCCGGGATCCAGCGCCTCCGGGGGGCAGGCGAGCCGCTTCGGCGCTGTCAGCAGCGCTGGAATGGGGTACATGGGCCTGGGCGGCTACATGCCCAAGCCGCTGGCCGCGAAGCTGGCCGAGGGCGAGATGCTGCTGGCAAAGGACATTAATACGCTCTTCATCACGGACGAGGGGAAGCCGGTCGAGAAGAGACAGATTCCGTGGCAGGCAGGGCCGGATTCGATTGGATACTCGTACCCCTACATCGTGGCGCTGCAGCCACCGGCAAAGGGGTCCCTGGAAGTCAGGAACCCGGATACGTTGTCGCTGCTACAGACCCTGGCTCTTCCTGGCGCTGCGCAGTTGCATTTCCCGCCTCCGAATCTCAGCTTGGCCCACGCCGGCAAGGGCTTCCACATCTCGAGCGAACGGTCAGTGTGGAAAATGGATGCCACCGACTACGACTCGCAGATTGACGAGCTCGTGGAGAAGGCCAAATACGATGAAGCCATCAGCATACTGAACATGCTAGAAGACGCCTTGCTGAAGGACAAGACAGAGACGCTCCGCGAGGTCAGCATGCTCAAGGCGGAAGCAATGTTCAAGCAGAAGAAGTTCAGGGACTCGATGGACCTCTTCAACGAGGACCACGTGCACGCTCCGCCGGAACGCGTTCTGAAGTTGTACCCGCCGGCGATATCAGGTGAACTCTCTGGCTGGGGGCAGTCCCGCCAGGACGAGGCAGAAGAAGACAAACATGACGGTGATGGCTCGGCAAAAGACACCAACGGGGACTCGCCGAGTTCTGAGAACCCACCAGAGACGGCAGCATCGCCGGTCAAGGCGACTGGCGGGTTCGCGAAGCTCTTCCTGGGACATCGCAAGGCTCCAGCGTCAGACACCGCATCCATCGCATCTAAGAAGCTTGGTACGGATGTAGAGGACGCGCCGAGCATCAAGGGCAAGTCTTCTGACGATTTGTCACTTGAGGACAAGGATCTGGCAGATGCTGTTCATGCATTGACTGGCTATCTCGTGGGAACCCGGACACGGCTTCAACGCGTCATCGATCCGGTCACTACGAAATTGAAGCGGTCTGACACAAACGGCTCAACAGAAGAGGCCATCAAGAACCTGATGCCAACGTCATCCGACGAGTCGGATGCGCAGCGCGAAGGCGAGCTTCAGAGGACGTTCAGGCTCGTCGACACAACCCTTTTCCGAGCTTACATGTACTGGCGGCCCCAGCTAGCAGGTTCCCTGTTTCGCATTCCCAACCTGTGCGACCCCGAAGTGGTCAACGAGAAGCTACTGGAGCATAACAGGTTCACGGAGCTGGTCGACTTCTTCTACGGCAAGAAGCTGCACTCACAGGCATTGGAGCTGCTCAAGCGATTCGGTGCAGCGGAGAAAGCCGACGAGGCAGCGCCGACATTGCACGGTCCCGAGCGCACCATAGCCTACCTGCAGAACTTGCCTCCGCACGAGATCGACCTGATTATTCACTATTCGGAATGGACACTGAAACGCGACTCGGAGCATGCGATGGAGGTTTTCATCGCAGACTCCGAGAACGCCGAGACGTTGCCTCGTGACCGTGTTGTCACCTTTTTGAGGAGGATCGACGCCCATCTCGAGCTGCAATACCTCGAGCACATTATTGGCGAGCTCGACGACTCGACACCTGACTTCCACAATCGGCTGGTGGAGCTCTACATTCAGCTGCTCCGGGAAGGATCCAGCGAAGGCAGTCAAGACGATCTCATGGTGCGGTTTGTGGAGTTTTTGCGGGAAAGCAAGCAGTACAGCCTCGGCAAGGCTTACGGGCTCATCCCTCGAGACGGTAAGTTTGTTGACGATGAGCCATTGTGAGATGAGACTAACCGTCACAGATCCTCTCTTCTACGAACCACAAGCGGTTGTACTGAGCAACATGGGATCACATAAACAAGCACTCCAGATCTATGTCTTCAAGATGCAAGATTATACCAAGGCAGAGGAGTAAGTTTTATCCGACGAGCAATTTTGGGCTGCGTAACTGACAATCCAGGTATTGTAACCGTGTTCATAGAAACGACGATTCGAGTACATCGCCGGAACGGTCGCGACCTTCCTCACCCGAGGACAAGGACGAAGACACTCCCTCCATCTACCACACGCTACTGTCACTCTACCTGACACCACCGGCACCTCACAAGACGGCCCTCGAACCGGCCCTGGATCTTCTGTCAAAGCACGGCTCACGTCTCCCCGCCACGTCAACCATGTCACTCATCCCGAGTACCCTGCCGGTGAGCGAGCTCGAATCGTACTTCCGCGGCCGTATCCGCTCGGCCAACAGCGTGGTCAACGAATCTCGCATCGTTGCGGGCCTGCGGGCGACGGAGTACATCTCCAGCCAAGCCCTTCTCTTACTGGGCGACGGCATCCCTGGCGGACAGGGCGGTCGCAACCGGCGTGTCGTCATCACCGACGAGCGGCTCTGTGGCGTGTGCCACAAACGCCTCGGCGGCAGCGTCGTGTCGGTGCTGCCAGACAACACGGTGGTCCACTACGGATGCCTGAACAGGGCGACGGCGCAGAAGTCGGACGGCCAGAAGGCGGGAAGTTGGGGGCGAATGCGCTCGTCGACGCGAGACCGGCCAAGCGTTGTCGGTAACGGTGGGGAGGGAACCTGGCAGCCGACGAGTCCCTCAACACGGGAGCGAGAGGCGCCTCAGGGTGGCGGCGGTGAAGGCAAATATGTGTTCTCCTGATGACCCTGAGGCGGCTGTTCGCTTCTCTTTTCCCCTTGTGACCTTTCCTCGTCTGGTTCTCCCTTTTGTCCATTGATAGCATTTTCGACGCGCGAGGAGGGTGTGGGAGACATATACCCCTCATGTTCAGATAGTAGAGCAGCAAAGCATAGTCAAGGCAGTGCGGCGTCTGCGGCCTGTTGTTTCTTTCTTCCTTCACTCTCCGTCCCCTCGCTCCTCATTTCCGTGTGCATAATGTATGCATGCGTTCAGTCCTCCTCCGGGAGCTCCTCGCCGTAGTTCTCCTCCTCTTTCGCCTCGTCGGCGGCGCCTTTTCCAGTGGCGGCGGGGCCTCCGGCACCGGCGGCGCGCTGTTTGTCTTCCTCCATTTTCTGCGTGAGTTGCGTGTTGACGTCGGCCTGGACGGTCGTGACGAGGTCGCGAAGGCGAGCGAGGAAGGCCGATTTGTCTGCGGCGGACGTGGACGAGGGCCCGTCGGTGCTGGCTTCTGCTGTGAAAGGAGTATCGGTAGGGTGGCTGTACTGGGCAGAGAGCGACAGCTTCTGCGTGCTCACAGCGGAAGATGGCTCGGCCATTGTGGCCGGTATGCTTGTCGGATTTTCGGGGGGGGAGGGGGAGGAAGTGATGCTATATAGATGCGGGGTGGTGAAAAGTACTAGGTGAGTGTGCCCCGCGGTGGGTTGGATTTTAAGGTCGTTCGTTTCCAGCATGGAATGCTAAGGTAAGCAGAGACACCCCGCCATCTCATCTGGCTGCTGACAGCGGGGCAGCTTAATTGGAATGATAGCTGCCCCATGTTGGAGACTACCTTTCCTTGGGTGAGATACCTTGGCGCAAGTTGTCCTCAGGACAGCATGGATTCGAAGCGCAGCTTGGGCTCTGGGAGAACACGGTGGTAAGGAGGCTGAGGGCGAAGAAGATGGGCACGCGAGGTGAGGTACTGTACACTCGCACATATGAGCAGGTGCCAGGCTACGGTCAGGCGGTCTGTGCTCGCCCGTCCCACTGTCGACCCACTGGCTGCATCCGTACCAGTGCCCCTCGTGAAGGCCCCAGGGCACTGCAATAGGTGATGCGCCTGTCATTCCCAACCCACGTAGCTAGGTACCTACCATGCCAGCATGCCTACCAGGTAGGTAGTCACGTCGGCATTGGGACGAGCCGCTGCTGACTGCCAACCAACTCTCCTCCTTCCAACCTCCATCACTGCGCCCCAGACCTCGATCTTGCCTCTTCGCAATCACAACAACACATAACGTCAATCCACAGCAGACGGCCCACGTGTCGTCTTGCCACCGTCCCGGGGACACCAGCGACATCATCCAAGCCCTACCCCCGTCATCTAAACCTAGTCGATCCCCGTCTCGCATTAAGACCCAAGATGTAACAGCTCCCTAAAACGTCAAAGACAATGCAACCAGCACGCCCCAATCCCCGGGCTCCCGGGAGCTTCAGTCCATTGGCAGGATCAGCTGCCGCCGCTTCATCCGCCGCCGCTGCCATGCACCCACCTCAACGTCCCCGTCCGGCGCCTCGTCTCGACTCCGAATCTAGCGAAGACCTGACCCTCAACGTTTCCAAGCAACGAAACCACGCTCCAAGCGCACCCGCCGGCACACCCATATACTCGCAATTCGCCTCCCAGAACAACGGCAGCACCGCCAGTCTTCAGAACTTCTCCAGGCCCACGGCGCAGCGACCTCACATCAACACCAATGACCTGAATACGACGTCCAACAGCAGCGTCCGTACCGCGAGCCCCCTGACCAAGAGCTACCACTCGAGGAAGCATAGCCAGACACAGGGTCTCTTCGAACCGACCCTGCCATCGACAAGCACATCGAATCTCTCCCACATCTCCATGGTCCAACCGCCCGCTGCGAATCTCGCGCTCACGGCGAGTCAGATTGCAGCACAGGCTGCCTTCCAACACCAGAACAACAGCGCGCACACGAGGCAGCGGTCGCAGACCGTACCCGCACCCGGCGAGGACGGTGCGCGGCGGGGAAGCAACGGCAAGGGGCCGCTGAGTCCACCGATTCTGAGTCTGACGGAAGCGAGCGGGCCACGCGAGAGCGGGTTCGGAAATCATTCATACCACAACGGGTTGCTGAACCACTCTTCTGCCGCCCACTCGGCGGCCAACGCTGCCTATCCTCGATCAGGCCAATCGTCACCGGGACTGCCACAACACCCATCGAGCCCCATACTTCCGCCGCAACCGCAAGCTTTAGACCAGAGGCCGGCAAAGCTGGAGAAGGAGAAGTCGAAGGTCAAGCTCTTTTCAAGGCCCGTGAAGATCGGAACGAAGGGCGAGTCCAAGGAGAAACCTCTTCCGAGTCCCAGTAAGATTGGATCAGCATTTGCCTCCCTTCAAAGGGGGAACTTCAGCACCAACAGTCTCGTCGACCCGAGCGCCCAGTCAATCTACAGTCTGAACAACTCGTCCTCGGCGACGATCAGACCTGTGGATACGCTGGTGGAGAGGGAGGGGAAAGAGAAGGAAAAGAAGCACAACTTCCTGTCTCGGCAGAAGAACAAACTGAAGGAAGACTACCACCTGCCCCTGTCTTCAGCATCGAGCAATTCGAAACCAACAGACCCAAACGCGCCAACTAGCCTCTACAGCTTCAACATACCAGCAGGGCAGGCAGCTGCCACCTCGTCTTCGTTCGCCAAGGGTCGAAAAGACAGGAAGACGGAGAGGTCAGATAGCCGGCTGGACAGCGAGTCGACTCTCAATCTGCAGTCAGAGTGGCCCGCCCCTGGCAGCTTACCCAGTGCGTCGAGTTATTCGCTCACACCCGGGGTTGATCCTACGGAGTCTGGCAAGTACGGGCTGAACAACATGTCGCTTGATGATGCCTGGCCATTCCTCAAGGCAAAAATGCTCGTCATTTTTGAGGGCGAAGACCTGCGCCAGCCTGTCGAGGACTACAATCGGCTGGTCAATCTACACATACAGTACTGCATACAACGCAGGTCACCCACCATCATGTTGGAAGATCTGAGAGAACTTCTCATGACGGGATTCGCTTCGCTCGATCACACTCTGCGACGGACACAGGAGGACAAGGTCATCCCAGCCCTCGTTGAGATGTGGCTGATCACCTACACCTCCATCCTTCCGTATATGCAGGCTGTTTTCCTTCCCCTGGATCTCGAATTCTCTGGCTGCGGCGCCCTCATGACACCCGAACAAGCATACGACTTTTGGGGTGGCGTGCTTGACCCTGCAGGCGATGGCGTGAACCCAGCCTCCTCGGTCCTCGACATTCGTCGCATAGTTCTCGCCGCCTACCGCGACAGAATCATCCTTCCGCGATTTGAGAATCTCAAGACCATCTTCTCCCGCTTATCCCTCGAGTTTCTCCCGTCGAGCTTCGGCAACATGGCACTTGCCTCCGACTCTATCAGCGCCCTCTCCAGCAGCCCGGCCACACAATCCGAGCTCGGTTTGGCCCGCCCAGGCACCGCTATGAGCCTCGACCCCTCCCTCGCCAGCTACGGCTCTACTTCGACCACCCTCCTCGGCGAGGCTGTCAGCGCGGCGGGCAGCAACGGCGGCAACAGCGGGAACGCTGCCGTGAGCAGCCGCAGCCGCGCCATCAGTAACGTCAGCTATGCCAGCGGCGGCAGCGACCAGCAGCTGCGGCCATTTACGCCGTCGTCGGGAGCAGTAGGCTCGCAGCAGGTCCTCGGCAGCGTCAGGGAGCAGAACGTCGAGGATTCGAAGCAGGTCACGGAAATGGTCGGGCGAATGCTGCAGTGCATGAGCATCCTGGCCAGCGTGGGCGTCGCCGGGGACGGGAGCGACGAGGGGAACAAGAAGATGGAGGAGCTCTGCCGGCTGCTCAAGCTGAACTGGCTCGGACGCGGACGGACAGGCCGGAATCGTAGGGGCATGGTGGGAGGCCGGGTGAGGAGAGATGTCGTGCCCGAGGGAACCAGAGAGGGCGTCAGGGTGTAGGATGTCGGCATGAAGGATGACAAGGTGCTGCTCGCAACGGACTGGGCATTTGCACTCACAACAAACGGATGGGAGTTGAGCTTGGGACGGATCCTGGAAAGGGTATCTTCTGGGCGTTGATATTTTATGGCTTTAGGGGTCTGGCGGGTTTGATGTACAGAACGAGATATAGGCATCATGCCTTTCCATGAGGACAACGGCATGATGAGAATGGAAGCTGCGCCCGCGAACATGTTGCGAGGCAGCCGGTCCAATGTACATTTCACAAGGTGACGAACCGCACGTACATAGAACCAAGGTCGATTCCCATTTGTGCACACCATACGGATGCATCACGTCCCAATCCAGATTGTGGAGGGTTCGCTTTGACTGTGCATCTGCAACTGGGACAATACGTTGCTACGGTTTCACGCGACAGGGGTCACACGACGCGTCAAGTTTGATGATGAAAATGGGTATTGGTCATAACTAGCAACATCTATAAATATGGCAGGACCAAATTTTCAGTAGATCCTAAGAATAAATGTTAGCCGAAAGCTCGTTGAACGTTTCTGCAAACAAGAAAAGTGATTTTTTTCATGATGTCTCAGTCATCCAAGGAAGTGTAAACCCTCATTTGCTTCAAAAGGCTCTTAGAAGCTCGAGAGGAAACTGCGAAGTTAAGGTAGGAACTTTCATCACCGACATCTGGGGGGGGGGTTGGGAAAACAACGTTCAAGGAGAGGAAAAGGGTACCAACCTGTGACGCGGAGCTACGGCTAGCTGAGCTGTTTGGCATTAGTTCGACAAGGAGTAATTGCCGAGAGAAAAAGAGAAACAGGAGAAGGATCTGAGAGGGAAACAGGTCAGCTGGTTTTGCTCTTGCGGGCCGCTCATAAGATGTGCGATGGCGACAAAAAGTCAGACACAGTATACTGGCAAGTAACAGGCTCCTTGCGAAGGGAGCCCGATGTTGATCTTCCTCATGGGCGATTCAGAGGAAATTGAAGACATGTGTGTATCATCATTCGATGGTGGGGGGGGTTGAGGGAAAGCAATGCGGGTGGGAGGAGCGGCTCGGAAGGAGCCCGGGAAGGAGGTGTGAGCTTACCATGAAGATATCACCACACACGACGAAGCTGTCAGCTGCAACTCCCCGAGCCCGAGGCCGGCGCTCTAGTTGAGAGCAATGGCACACTTGCGAACAAGCATCGCGACCAAAAGTAAGGCCTCGGCTGGTGAGTCGGGTGGCAGTTTCGTCGTGGTGGAAAGGTTGTGGTTGGAGAGGAAGGCTGAGATACCGGCATTGGCGGCGGGAGAAGAAGCTTTTATGGTGAGAGTTCACGACGAAAAAAAATAAACTGGAGATTGGGATTGGGTGGGTCCACCTTTGGATGCTGAGCGCACGGTGCCGGCACACGTGACCCGGGATAGGTGGCCGACTTCCGAACGAGACGAATCCGAATTTGCGGCATCTCTGTTGGGATGCCTCAGGCAGCTAGGCAGCCGGCTAGCTGCCTGGATGTACGTGCCTGAAGCAAGTTGGCAGACTTGACAGAAAGTGGAGCTTGGCAGATATCGTGACCTCACGATGCCACTACGGATATGAAGCTTATACCTTATAGGTAGTATTATGTGAGCTAGGAAGGTTTTTGGCCATCGAGGGCTGGAGTTCCGATAGCCTCGAGAGGATTTGATCGCACCAGCTCAGTACCATGTAGTCGTTTGGAGCGGTCGTTTGCAGAGCATGTAGAGCATGCAGAGCAAGTGCATGTCCCTGTTTGCTGCAGGCCACTGGCAAAAGAAGTCTCTCAGGCACGAAAACGAATGAAAGCAGGGGGGGCTATTGTTCAGCGGAAAAGCGACGGCCCTTGCTTCATTTGTCCACGGATAGGGTCCGCCGCTAAAGTGATAATCATCCCGGTAATCGCATATACATAGCCATGTTAGCTTCATATCTGGCGATTTTCAGCCACCGGCCCCCTCCTTGGGACTCAGAACAGCCCAGTCCTCACCAGGTCCGATGGCCATCCCCCGAGCGGCCGCCATTCCTCTGCCATGGTTCCCGGCTCCTTGCGCGACCTTTCCAGGCTGACGAGTGCTTCCATGTCCTTCTGACCCTCTCTGATCGGCTCCCGCCTTACTAGCCGAGACTGGCACCTCGCCGGATTGCATTTCTGGCTTCCACTCCCCCTCTCCCCCTCTACAAGCCCCAAACCCCCAAGCCCCCCAAGCCCCCCAAGCTCCAGGGACTTTCCCACGCCGACATCCCCGGACGATCTGGTGCAACCAAAGGCATCCATCCCTCTCGGTACATGACAGTAGATCCCTGTAATCAGCGTCCTATCGCCTTGTCGGGGCTGCCCCCTTTGGTTTACGAAGGAAGTCTTTTCGGAGAGAGGGTGACGATTGCTTTTTTTTCCCACGGCACCGTTCCTTGCAAGTCGAGCGCACACGGAGCCCCCGAAGCTTGTCTGTCTCTCGTCCACTGAACCCTTCCCTGTTCTACACAAGCGGGTGCCCTGTCCCCCGTCTCAGTCCCCCAACCCAGTCCCCGTCCAGTCCCATTCCCAGTCCCAGTCCCAGTCCCAGTCCTAGTCCGTCCCGCTCACCCTCTCACCTCTCCGACCTTAGGTTCTCTACAAACGGGGCTGGTCAGCAGAGCGCGAGCGAGACTGACTGCGAGAGAGAGCGAGACCGACGACAGACCAAACCACACAGCCTGGGGGACCTGCAATCCGACATTCTGTCACATTCACCCTGCAGCCGGACACGACCCAAATTTTGGCACTCGGACGAACAAACTCGACGTCCCTGAGCACAGTCGGCCGACAACACGAAACAACACGACCTGACACGCCACCACGGCCACTGTCGTTGATCCACGGCGCCATTTCCCACTCTCTTGATCCTCCTCCATCGCTCGCCCTCGACCGCAGCCTGCTGTCGCGACACGTCCCCTTTGACGATCAACAGAATCTCGCCCACAAGTCATCATCTCCAGGTCTCGACCATTTGCACGGCACAGGCACGCGATTCCGCACGGCGTCCCCCCCCCCCCCCTTTCCTCTCCTCTGTCGCACTACCGTTCGCATCGCGCTCTCCCCGACCGACACCCGACCGACGCTATCTCCGCCCACTCGCTATTCCCAAGATCTGTCGATGCATCTTCGCTCTCGCGTCCCTCTACTACACCTGGCGCTCCCACAACTCCTCTGACGAACGACGCACCCTCTTTATCAGAATACATACTGCAGTCTGCATCTTACAACCTTTCTGAGCGCTGCACCTCCCCTACCCTGTGCCGTGTTTTCCGCGCGCACCGACCGCCTCCATCGCGTTTACGCTCCCAGTACCGCATCTTTTGTCTACCGCAATCTCGACGAGTCGCAGCAACAACAGATAGCTTCGGGTCAGCCAGCGCATGCGATAACGCGGAGGGGCCAGCGTCGATATCCACACGGTGGATGATCGGCTAAAAGAAGACATGATGACCAGTATGAGTATGGGACCATCCTTCGCAGGCCACCCTGCTGGCATGCACCAACACCCCGGTGTTCCTGGCCATCCCATGGCTCCTGGGATGCCTCACAATCCGAGCCAGCAGGGCGCGCCCGGCGGAGGCATGCCTCAACAGATGCACATGGCCGTCTCGGGCCCAGGAGGTCAGGTCAACCCAGCCGCCATGATGGGTGGCATGCCACCTGGCGCAGGCGCGCCCAATGCCCACGCACTCCAGCACTTGAACCCTGCACAGGCCCAGATGTTCCAGCAGGGTCAGTTTGGCAATTGTAAGTGCCCATCTCAATCTACATCACCGTCAGCTTCAACGCATCAGCATCTTCCCTCCATCCAACCCAGCGAACCGCCGTAGCCATCCCACCCATTTCTTCTTCTTCGTCTTCTTCTTCTTCCTCCTCTTCTTCTTCTCCTGCCTCGTTTTCAATCGCACGAGTGCCTGCTGACATCATATCTCTCCTCCGGCAGTCGGCAGCAACCCCTCCATGGCACAACTACAACAGCATCAGCGATTCATTCAGCAGCAGCAAGCAGCTCGTCAACACGCCATGGCCCAGCAGGCGGCGTTCCAGTCCAACATGCAGGTCGGCGTCAATGGCATGCCCATGGGCGTGCACATGAACCCGGCGCAGATGGCCGCCTTTAGGCAGGCTAGGATGCAGCCTGTGAGTCCCGTCCTGTCCCATCACGATCCCATCGTCCAAAGCGCGAGCTAATCCCCACCCGCAAAGCATGCCCACAACCAAGCCATGCTGGCTCAACAGATCGCTCTCCAGCAGCAGCAGCAAGTGGCGCAAAACCAGCAGATGCAGCAAGGTGGACAGCCGGGCCAGCCGGTGCACATGAGCGCCCAGCAGATGCAGAGCCTCCAGCAAGCACAGATGGCTGCTCTACAGGCACAGCAACAGGGCCAGCAGCAGGCACAGCAGCAGCAGCAGCAGCAACAGCAGCAACAGCAGCAGGCTCAGCAGCAACAGGCCCAACAACAGCAGGCTCAGCAACAGGCCCAACAGGCCCAGCAGCAGCAGCAGCAACAGCAGCAGCAGCAACAGCAACAGCAGCAACAAGGCCAGCCTCCGCAACAGCAGCAGCAGCCCGGTGGGCCGCAGCCTCAACAGCAGACACCGCAACAGCAGGCGGCCCAACCCGCCGGACCGCAGTCTGCAGGTCACCCCACACCGTCGCAGACGCCCGGCCCCCAGCCAAATCAGCAGCCTCAGCCTCCCCAAGCCCAGAACCAGGCGCAAGGTCCTCAGCCGGGGCAGCAGCCCCAGCAGCAATTGAACCCTGCACAGCAGCAGGCTCAACACGCGGCAGCGCAGGCCGTCATGGCCAACAACATGGCCCTGGCCCAGCAGCAAGCGCAGGCTCAGCAGGCGAGGAGGGAAGGAATGAAGGGGCACTGCTTGCTGAAGCTCATGCAGTTCAGCGAGCACCTCAGCGGCTTTCCCGTAAGGACGTTGGCCGGCAAGACGCGAAGGACAATCGCTAATATGACACTCTAGGGATCACGAGGCAAGGATGATTTGTCGTACTGGAACATGTTTGTCAACCAATTCTTCTCTACGAAAGGCGTGTTCCGACACTCTGTTCATATCACCGACCACGAGGATCCGTCGGATAAGCAGTACGAAATCTCGTACCCCGCACTCGCGCGATACTTCCACACCCATTTCGACAGCGGCGTCAAGAACATGCAGTTGATCATGGAAAAGGGCACCACTGACCGCCCGCTTCCTGGCGATGGACACTGGATCGAGAACACAAAGTCGAGCCTGGTGTACTGGTTCGACAATGGATCACACGTAAGTTTGCTCTTGGCCTGGAGGCCATGCCGCATCCGAGATTAACATGAATCCACAGCTTGTCGCGACTGGTACTGTGCGAGCCCATTTCGACCACGAGCAAAAGATTGAGCTCTTTGAGTTTGTCACGAGTGGCCACGAGGAATACATTTCTCGGAAATCTGTCATCGAATCAGCGAAACCCGCGCACAACTGGGTCAAGGAATGGCACAAGGTCAATTCGCAAGACTCGAAGACGTCGCCAGAAATGAGCAAGAAGGGCAAGGCAAGGCCATTGAAGTCGCCGCAAAACCCGCCCCCAGAAGCCTTGGTGGATCTCCCTGAATCCTCCGTTAAGAGGGGCATGGGTGTTACGGAGGAAGTCTTCCAGTTCCTCGAGGTATGGATCCCCGCGGGCCCTGCAGTAGAGGGTTGGCACTAACCAGGATGTGCAGATCGTTGAGGTATTCGGCCAGATGAACCCGCTGTTTGGCTTCTCTCACAGCCACCCTGGCATGCGCCCCTACCTCGCCCTCGAGCAATACGTCAACCAGATCAACAGCCAACCCCAGCCTAACATGAATGGTCAGCCTATGCAGCAAGGGCCGCCACGCACCCCGGGTTTCGGGCAGTTCCCGGTCCCGCAAATGCCGCCAGGGGGCGTGGGAGCGAGCCCTGCCCAGCCGCACATGCAGCTCCCTGGATCGCCTCACATCATGGGTAGCCCGGCGCAAGTTCAGATGCAGGCACCCGGTATGCAGCTGCAGCAGAGCCAACAAGGCACAAGCTCGAGCGGGCCGAGCGCCAACACGTCACCGGCATCCAACAAGAGGAGACGCCCATCAGGGGTCAAGACGGAGGACGATGGTTCCTCGGCGCCAACGCCACAGTCGGGACCTGGTGGGCAGGTGAACGGCGTCGGCAACAAGGGCAAGCCTCCCACGCCGAGAATGCCCAAGCGAGTCAAGGGCAACCCCGCGTGATGATGTGACAAGGCATATTCGATTTGAACATGATGTAGTCAATGTCATTGACAACGCACGACACGGTAGCGCCTCGTCTATTGCAGCATGCCGACGTCTCGTGTCGACTCTCTCGGGTTCCAGGCCTGAGTACACCGTCCGTTGCTTCCGGCGAAGCATTCCAGCGATTCCTCATGGCCGGCAATCCATGATCCTACTTACTCTTGGGTCATTGATCACACAAAACCACGAGTCAAGAAGAAAAACACACACACACCCACCTCCCTACCAAAATGGCGATTATATCAAGTCGCGCGCCCACTCTATCAAGACGCAAACTAGGGCCAATTCGACCGCATGACGAATAGCGACTGCTGATATGGAAATATTGCATATCGCTCCCCCTCCCCACCCAAACAATCTCAACACAACAATGATCCATATCCGCAAGGCGCAAGGAAACGGTTAATGCAGGTAACCAATGAAGTTACCGTGTACGATATCACGCTCGGAAACGACTGCTCTCGAGCTCATCATCCGCTGTCCATCTGATTTTTACTCTTTTGCTATCATCACAAGTCCAGTCAGTATCTTGGTTGGTCCTCATCCTCTTATTTTTCCAGGAGTATCCCGTGGTTTGTCATTTTGTCGCGCTGGGAAAGGAGGAGACGGCCCCCCTAAAAAGAGATCGTTTGTCTTTTTTTGCTGCTTTTTCAAATCGTTTTCGTCCTTTTTTTGGTATTTTATCACTTCATCCGCTGTTGTCATCATCGGCGGTAGTTGGGTGAAACGGGTGGCGGGGTGCGGTGGAAATCATCGGCGTGGCAGTCTCGGTTCTTATTTTTTGTGTCAAGTCCTTTTTTGTTGGCTCTTTCCATCCGTTTGATTTTTGTTTTCATGTCATGTTATCCCCAGTCTCGAATACCTAGTTCCTTTTGGGGATGATTCATACCATATGAATTGGAAGCGCTCTGTGCCATGGCTTTGTGACTCGATGTGACTATGTGTGTACTTCGTCAAAGTGACGCACATGTCTCCCTCCAGCTACGCGCCTCTCTGTTTTCAAATTTGTTCCGCATCAGCCGCGGTATACAGAGGAGTTTGGTCCCCGCCCCTGTCAGGTAGAACATCGTCCTGCTGTAGGCCACTGCGCGCCCTCGCCCCCTCGACGTCAACGAGGACGCATAACCGCAGGCCGCCCCCTCCGAAGCTTATATAACCAGGCCACTGCTCCTCCGAGACATGCCGCAGCGCCATGACGTGCACGACGGCCGAGACCTCGAGCCGCGACGGCTCGGCGCCATACATCGTCGCCGGCACCGCAGCCGCGACTCGCGCCGTGGCGTACCCGGTGCCGAAACCCACCGCCGGCCGCGCGACGAGGCTGCTCTGGATGTTGGCGCCGAGGTAGTGGTGGTGGTGGTAGTAGCAGTAGTAGTAGCCGCTGCCGTGGAGGGAGACGACCGTCCAGGGCGTGACGAGGGCTTGGGGGGACAGGACCCAGGTCGCGTACGGGATCGTGAGGGGCGTGATGACGGGGATGGTCGTCGGCAGGAGGGTTGTGGTTGGGGAGGGTCCGCCGGCGATGCGGACTGCGCCGTGGGGGAGAGTCCAGTAGAGGGTGACGTTTTGGTCTGTGAGACGGAGGTCTGTCTCTTCGGCGAGCGCGGCAAGGAAGGCTGCGCGGGTGGCTGCAGGGGGCAGGGGGAGGGGCAGGGTGCGGATGGAGAGGTTATGGGGTGGGATGGTGTAGAGGAGGTAGATTGTTGCTGTGGAAGACATGGTGAGAAAGGTCTGAGGCATCTTTTGGTTTTCTTCCTCGAATTGATGATTCCATGGACGAAAGACTCCGAGCGCGCTAATTTATGCCTGCTTGTGCTGTCACACTCAGTTGTGTTTGCTATACGATTCACTGGGACTGTTGCGTTCAGCGTCTGCGGCAGGTGATCGGCCACAAAGACCAGCCAGGTATGTGGTCTTCATCACAGGGTCGGGAACAGCTATGCTATGAATCAAAAGAGGTCAGTGATGGCTTCCCTGCTTCACTATATGTGCACTGGGAATGAATGCGCCCCCGTCACACTGATGTCTTGGTGGACAAGATGAGCACAAGCATGCAAAAGAAGATTCTTGATGACTCAAAATAAGACTTTCAAAAGCTCGATGTGCGATGTTCATATGACAGTCGGGATCTAGAGTAGAATACTGCTCAATTGTGTTTATACAGATGACGTTCACGATGACCTACAACGCTTTGACTTGTGGAGAGCCAATGCGACAGCCTTCATCACTCATTTTTATTGCTTGCAGACCGCGAATGGACCTCGTCACCGAATCACTGATAAATATTTTCAGGACATGTCGGAAGTACAAGACTTGCTGAACAAACGAGAGTAATTCAGAACTGTTCTAATATCCATGCAGAGCTAGAACACATCGACAAACATGCTGCAAAACTGTGCCCTCTGAGTTGAATATGGTTGCGAAGTGTTACGTCTGATAATCGCGTCTTCCCACGAGCACAACCTTGTCAGTAAGGAGCCATCAAGACCGAGTCATCAAACACCAGCAATGATATCATCTGATGCCTTCTGGCTGACCATAAATGTGGCAACAACAGGAAACACGCCTGGGATTCTCGGAAAGACACTCGCATCCACAACCCTCAGCCCCTCGACACCCCTGACCCGAAACTTGGAATCCAGCACCGCGTTCCGGTCCCCGTCAGCGCCAATGGCGCATGTGTTGGTCGGGTGGTGCCCGAACGTTTGGTCCTCGATCCACCGCTCGTCAACGGCCTGGTCCCGGCAGTAGCCCGTCGCGAGGACCTGCCCGCAAGGCGGTTCCAGCGGCGTGACAGGGCCCGAGGGGCTGCGCGTGCTGGCGAAGACGCGCCGCACCCAGGCGACGGTGTCCTTCATGCCGCCCATGTCGATCTCCCGCTTCTCTTTAAAGAGGTTGAAGTTGATGTCGGGCGGATCCGTCGGGTCGCTGGAGCGCAGCCGGACCGTGCCGGCGCGGTTCTGTGGGTGTTGCTTGACGATGGAGACGCCGTAGATGCCGCGGTCGCCTGCATTGAGGCCCGTGTTCGCCTGGCTGTCAGGCCAGAAGCCACGGAAAGCGTACGGCCCGTGCATGAGGAAGACGTCGCGCTCGCCGTAGGGTGCGTGGTCCGTCTGGTACATGACGAAGCCGCCGGAGCCGAAGCCGCTCGCTGTGCCTTGTGGGCGGCCCACTACTGGCATCTCCTGGTTGTCCTGCATGTTTATGCCAACTCCAGGAAGGTCAGCCAGAACGGGTATATTGAAGCGGCGCAGCTCGTCGGAGGGCCCAATTCCGCTTAGCTTGAGGAGCTGGGGAGAGTTGAAGGCTCCGCCGGCGAGGATGACCTCGCGCCGCGCGGTAGCCGTGCGCAGTTCACCCCGGGCGCCGTTGTAGCGCGCATCCGCCTTGTAGAGGGAACGCCCAACACGATACTCGACGCCAGTGGCGCGAGGTTTGCTGCCAGAGGTGTTGAAGAGAATCTTTGTGGCGAGTGAATTCTGTGAGAGAGTCAGTGGGAGACTGCCAGCGTTCATGCTCTCAATGACATAATCGCGTGAGCTGTAGCGCTGGCCGTTGGAACGCGTGTGGCGAGCGAGGCCGTAGATCCCGACTTCACGATCACGGGTGCTGCTCAGCTGGTTGTTATCACGACTGGCGTACTGCGTGATCTGGTTTGGGTCCTGGCCGAGTAGGGTGGCCATGGCACGAAGAACATCGCCAACGACGCCAGTGATGCCGCCAAATGTAGGAGCAATGTGAGTTTGAAACCAGCCATTGAAGCCATGCCCTGGAGTCCCGACAGGGAGATAGTTGTTCTTCTCGATTCGTACGAATATGTTCCGCATGTTGGCCGCACTTTGAACTGTAAGCGCTGACGAAGTTAAAGGCGCATAGAGAACAGCCTCACCTCCATGAGGTATCATTTGTCAGGTTGACAATATAGTCCCAATCACTATCGGTGGGCAGCTGAGTGGCCATAGCATTAATCATGCTTGAACCGCCGACAGTAGCGCCTCGAGGATAGTAAATACCGAGCAGCTGTGCTCCGGCGGGAACGTTCTTGTTGCCAGTCCAGTACCGGCCGTCAGGGAGTCGCCAAGTAACCTGGTTATTCCTTACGTTTCTGGCGTCGTCTTCGTAATGTTTGACGAAGAAGTCCCATGTGATAGAGGATGGGTATTGGCCCGACCCTTGAGCGACGCTAGTATCACCGGCTTCAAGGAGGAGCACAGAATGGCCAGCCTTGGCCAGGTTGACAGCTAAGGGCCCGCCGCCTGGGCCACTGCCGACGACGATATAGTCATATTGGGCTTGGGAACGGGCAGGTTGGACAAGCAGGGAGGCGAGTAGAATGTGATAAAACATTACCAGTGCCCTGGTGTGAAGGAAAGTCATGGTTGTTTTGAGTTGCGAGAGTCATGTAACAACTGTACTGTCCGATCAACAGCGATGTCAAGCTTATATCCGTCGTCTTTTATATGTTCAGTGTCGGATCGCCAAGAGACAGCCAAATTCGCTCCTCTCCACAATGACGCAAAGCCGTTTCGCTGTATATTCGTCTCAGTTCACTCTCCTACGGGAAAAATGAATATCATATTCCAAATGAAATGGTGCTGCCAGGTTGAGGGCGTCTTGGTAACAGGAAGGTAGGATTGCAGACCACTCGGAACTTGCTGTATGGAAAGACAGGCTGAAGTGACGTGCACAGTTGGTCTGACAGGTGGAGTCAGCCAGAGGACGTAGGGAGGTCTGCAGCACTTGCCGATCGATGGCTCTCCTCTGTCTACTATCAAGTATGCGCTCAAATGGGTCAAGCGTCCACAGAGTGGTTGCTCCATGATTTACGTTGTGGTCCTAGCCACGGCGCCATGGTGGCCATCGGCCTTGCGAGTGCGACAATGAGACTGATGGACGATCAAGACAGAAACTGGCAGCAATCTGTAGCGGAATAACACAGAGGATGAACTTCTCATCTGGGAAAGTGATGGGCTGCGGACGAGAAAGAATGCTACGACACGTGGATGGCCATGTTGCATTGGTGGCAGGCTCAGAATAGCCGGCATTACTGGAACATCCGGAGAGTATTTGCCCCGCACTTTCAGATGACCGCCATCGGCACTTGTTTGGTTTGCCAAAGACGGCGATGTCCCTGGATTGGCTCTTGGGAATGATGCTTCCGAGATGGGTCGGGCTCGACAGATGAGGAAGGTGGATGATCCTGCATGGAAATCAGAGGCAATCCGTGCGTACTTTGATGAGGCATTGAAATCGACCATCGACCATCGGCCAATAATGTCGATCGCAAGCTCAGGATTTCGTGCTGCAAGTTACTGAAGGAACACTGAGGAGGAAGAGGGGAGGTGGTATTTCAGAATGGAAGGCTCACAGGCATGTAGTCGATGGCGGGGTTGAGGTTGCAGATCGGAGGATGTCGCCTTAGTCAGCCAACCCCTGCCAAAATGTTGACCCAGCAACGCGTCGCATCTAAACACGGAATCTCTCGCGAATCAGTGCGATCGTCAACAGTAATCAACAGCAGCATCGTGTCGCAACTCCCCCACAGGCGGCAGCATTCAATACACCACACCGAAACGATCTCCCGTAGCATCAAAGAACGGAACCCGATACCAAAACACAGCAACACCATGGCCTCTGCATTCGAGCCCTCCATGTCGTCCAGCCTTTCGAGGCCGCCGCCCATGGCCACAGGCCCCTCCATCGCCGACACGCTGCCCAACATCAACTTTGGCTTTGACGACCTGCGCGATCGCATGGCCAAGTTCACTGTCAAGTTCGACGCCTTTATAGAGCAAGGCCGCAAGCGTGTGCTCGAGGAGAGGAACCAATTTCACATGAACATTGCTGAGCTACAGGGTTCGTCTGGCGATAGACCCTGTCCTTCGCCCGCCTTGTGCACCCAGCTAACAGAGATGCCACAGAGGACCAGCGCATGAAGAAGAAGGACATCGAAATCCTCCAGCTCAAGACGAGCACACACCAGCAGACGGTCGAGAAGGAAGACGCCGAAAAGCGCGAGATGCAGGCGGCCATCGCGCAGCTCGCCGACGAGCGCGACCGCCACACTGCGCACCGCAACGCGCTGAAGAAGCAGATCGCGGCGACGCAAAAGGAGATTGACGCGCGCATGGCGGCGCAGCAGGCATACGCGCAGCAGCTCGAGGCGCAGTCGCGGTTCAACGTGCCGGAGCTCGAGTTTTGGCAGCAGAATTTGGGGTTGCGCATCGAGGGGGCGGGTCACGACGACCGCCTCAAGTTTGTGTACACATGCATCGACGAGAAGGACTGGGACCGCGAGGCGTGGTTCGAGCTGAGCACGGCGAGCCGGGACTACGATGTCAAGCACTGCCGACCCAAGCTGGAGAGGGAAAGGGTCGAGCGTGTGCTCGACAGAGTCAATGAGACACGGGAGCTGGCGGCACTGTTGAAGGGGATGAGGGAGCTGTTTGTGGAGGCGATGAAGGGGTAGCTAGCTGGTGGTTTTGGGGTGTTTGGGCGACGACGAAATGATACCACGAGTTCGATTGACTGGTCTGCCACCATGCAATGATTGCTGTAGAGACTGAGGTAACTGGGAACAGCCACCATGATCTTGCCTTTGCAAGAAAAAGAAAAAGAAAGAAAAAAAAGGCACTGGATCACCACGAGACATCCTTCACCTACCCAAATGCCATGAACCTACAGGTATCCCTACCCAAATCATAGACTGCTGACTCATCGAAAACATGACGTGCATGACTCGTAATCTTCATGACTCGGGCGACAAGGCTGAGAACGAATGGGACTCAGCCGTCCTGATTCATCAGACGCTCTCTCATAGGCCAGCCCCCCACCCGCAGCAGGCCAGAACTTGTTCGCTTTTCCCTTCTCGCCTCAGCGCAGATGCGCAGACCAGCGTCTGTCAGCCCATCACACGCACACTGCGCCCCTACCCTTGTACGAACGAACCACGAACGGCGGACCACGAACCAACCCCGATCGATCCGAACAGTCTCGCTCCTTTCTTGTGCGAGACCGATAACAAGTGGGGGACCGGCAGACGAGTGACCCAGGCACCGGCCGGAGTAGGAGCAGGAGTGGGCGTGGGAGGGGAACAGGCGTCCAACGGCTGAGGCGAAAAGCAGTGAAAGGCCGGACGAAAAGATCCTCCTCGGCCCTCTAGCCTGGGTCTTTTGCGCTGGCATTACCCACACAAACGTCCCCGCTGCGGCGGCTCTACCCACCGGTCCGCGACCACCCAGCATACCCACCACGGATCTCGACCGATAATACATGGGCCGTCTTGGAGAGAGATAGACAGAGGACCGATCACTCCACCTTTCACCTCGGCCCGGCCTGTGTGTCTGTTGCTCGCCCATCCTGCCAGCTTGGCTGTTAGCCAAGCCAGATCGCCCGCCCCAAACCCTGGCCCTGCTTCCTCTCTTTCGTTCTTCTGGTCGGTTCCTCCCATTGGGAATGCCTCGATGGCATCCGATGCAGCGAGCCAGCCCAGCCCTGCCGCTTCTGTGGCCTCGTCAGCGACTCCCAACTTGACCTCCCTCCCTAGCCACAAGCGCACCGCGCCGGTCGACGGGCCCAGCCCCTCCGCCGCCAGTCCCGATGCCGAGGACCCCGGCGGCGCCCAGGCCGACTCGGCCAAGAAGCGCCGAACTGGACCTGGTTCTCGTGGCGTGGCCAACCTGACCCCGGCCCAGCTGGCCAAGAAGCGAGCCAACGGTATGCCATGTTGTCTTTTGCATGTCTTTGTTGCCTCTATTTGGGCGCCCCTGTTGCGCAGAATACCCCCCCCCCCCCAAACCATCCTGCGACGGCAGCTGACCTGTGTTTCTACGTATGAATTAGATCGAGAAGCTCAAAGGGCTATTCGTGAGCGGACCAAGAACCAGATTGAGAACCTGGAGAAAAAGATCCAGGAGCTCACATCCCAGCAGCCGTACCAAGATCTTCAAGCCGCCGTCCGAGCCAAGGAGGCTGTAGAGGCTGAGAATGCCGATATCAAACGACGCCTGGCGACCATGATGTCGTTGATCCAGCCTCTCCTGACCTCGCCATCCGGCCCGCCACCACCGGAGCAGACATACAGCTCGCCGACGGCTCAGAGTTATGCTCCTGCGCAGCATGCAAACCCTCCCGTTTCCGTCCACACTTCGTCCACTCCTGGGAGCGCCCACTCTCCAGGCTCTGTCGACCACCATCCCAACTGGCACGTCGACTCGGCAGACCAGCAAGCACGGGGCAAGATGCTGAACCAGCAGCGCCACAACCTCCGGCACAACCTGGATCTCGGCCCTGAGAAGCTCGGCCTCGACTTTTTACTCGACTCCAACCGCAACTTCCCCAAGATCCAGAACGGCCTCAATGGAGCCCAGGACACTGCTCAGTTCCATCACGTGCCCATGAAGCATGACTGGACCGGAGTCATTCCTGTGGCACGCAGCCCGGCAGAGACGTCCTCCAATGGATCCCGCCAACCGCGCCGGCTCGGGCTTGAGCACACGGGCGAAAATCCGTACGGACAGCGGCCTCCTCTCGCGCCCAGTGGATACATGACCACTGAGCTCAAGAACTGTGGCCCCACCTGTCCCCTCGACAGCCTCCTCCTTGACTTCCTGCATGAGCGCCGCCAGCGTGCCGCCGACGGTTTGCCCACGCAAGAGATCATTGGCCCCCGCTATCCTTCCGTCTCGTCCCTCCTTAACCCCGCCAATAGCAAATACTCCCACCCGCTTTCCAAGGTCTTCACCGACATATTGTCGACCTTTCCTGATCTCTCCAAGCTTCCCGAGCGCGTCGCCGTCCTCTACATCATGTTCCTCATCATGCGCTGGCAGATTGCACCCAGCAAGGAGAATCTCGACCGGCTACCATCTTGGGCCGTGCCCGTCCCCGAGCAGTTCTCGTGTGAGCACCCGGCCTGGATCGACCACCTGCCGTTCCCCCTCATGCGTAGCCACCTCGCACGCGAGCACCTCAGCCCGGACTACATGTTCGACATGTTCTTTGTTCCCTTCACTGCCACGCTGTCGCTCAATTGGCCCTATGAAGAAACGGACACGCTGCTTGTCGTGCCAGACTCAAACGACGTCATGATCAACCCCGTCTTCGAGCGCCACATGCGCCGGCTCGAGAACTGGACCCTTGGGGACGCCTTCGCCCAGACTTTCCCGGGGCTCGAGGGTACGTATAACTACAAGAGCTGCCGGCCGCGTGAGAGGCGGTAGGGTTTCGTACGGGGAGAAGCGGCAATGCACTTTTCTGTCTTCTCCTCCACGCGGCACTCGAGACCATGCCATTGGTCATTGTGCCATGATCTTCTTCTCCTGCTTTCTTTCACCTATTATTGACTTATATACTCGTAATAATCAGGCAACGTCCTGCAGCTGGAGGCACGGCGTTACCGGTTGTTCGATGGGAACGGCCGGAGGAAGGGGGGTGGGCAAAGGAACTGAGATTCCTTGGAGTTTTGTTTTTTAGAGGCAAAGCATGTTGTGTTTGGACCACAACTCTAGGACTTCGGGAAGGGTGGTGGAAAAACACATGACTAAAATTGGTGGAGTGAAGGATATGGGAAAAGCAATGGGCGAAGGGCAACAGACTTGATCTGGGCAAACATGGAGATCAAGGGGGTGTCCTAGGACGGAATTTTTGGGTTATTTGTGTGGGCCCCGGCGGCAGGCCCGCCGCCATAGAAACGATGGACCTATTCATTGACCATCATTATGTATCATGAGTCCATTCGACGTGAACAGCGGTAATGTGACGGGCCATCATATCCTTGGTTCGCCACGTTGCAGAGTATATGGTTACTGTTGAGACTGTTGTCAAGCACATACGACCATACCTACTGGAGAACTCGGGATCCCGTCCGCTCTCCCATAGATAAGCCAGTAAGGGTCGAACTAGTAGTTGGGTGGGTGACCACCAGCGAATCCTTGATGTTGTATGTTTTTGGTGTTTTGATGTTCTGTACGCGACCATACTGAGAATCGTCGAGTTTTGATGTTCGAGACTTCCCTTTTATGCATTGGCCAATTAGTGTGTATTTGGGGTGCTCAGGTGCATCTTAGCCTATGGCATCAGTGGTCGGGCGGCCGCATAATAGGTCGCATTCTGACCAGGGGGCGACGTCCCCAACCTCAAAAGGCCTCTTCCAGGCGTGATGGTTGCACGCACGATTCTGTGCAAGACTCTAGGTGCAAAGGGTTTCATCTGTAGGATACATCCTGTACGAACCGCGGTGGAATATTGATTGTATCATTTTGCATGTCAACCAGTCGCATGCATTACAAACTGGAGCGCCTGCCCCTGTCATACTCATCTGACAACCTGTCCATGAGTACCCTCCCTGAGTCCCAGCCGTCGTCTTGCTTTGTCGATAGCGACACCTATGGATAGTCTGCTGGAAGCATCCTCCCTCGCACGTTTCTGACATGGTAGCTCTCATCTCAAGCCTCATCATCCTCCCCGCTCACGCCTACGGAATACTTCTTCACCACACCTTGATGACCGATCCAGAGACTCGCATGCCTCTCCATCGGCATACTCCGGAACACCAGGCTTCTCACCGGACCCCTCGTTGACGCACGATCCACGGCCGGGGCGCGCAATCTCAGGCCCGAACGCAGCGAGTAGAGAGCCACGCGGCCGTCGTGCGTATCGTGGGCCGCGGCTACGACACCCACGTCCTGGTTGACGTCGAAACCAATATGCGTGTGCGCTTCATTGCGGTATTCGGGGAAGGTGAGCACTGGTGTTGCGGGCTGAACCACTGCCGGGCCCGAGGGCTGCGTGAACCGTCCGTGGTCGCGGCCACGATTCCTCTTCTTCGTCCGTGGGACTTCGGAGCGCGTCTGGGCCGCTGGTTCCATTCTGAGGAAGCGGAGGTCGTAGATATGGAGGTTCGATCGCAAGGCAGCGACGAGTATGTGGTTGGGATTGGACTCGAGGGAACGTAGATGGGTGACGGCGCTGGCAGTTTTAAAGCAGCTCCATGCCTGTGGGGGAGCACGGAGGTCGAGCGTCCTCACTGTGGACGACCGGGTCCCGGCGTAAAGTATGGAGGGGTTTGCGACGTTGAAGGCTTGGGCAAGGACGTCCATTGAAGGAGGCCTTTGGTGGGCCCCATCAGCTTTGGGTGTGATCCAGCTGATATTGTTGTTGGACGTGAGGCGGATGATGCCGTCGTCGGTTGCGAGCGTACAAATCAGTTCGGACGAAGTGGTTGGGGCTGGGGTGGCTAGATTGACAGAGTACGCACGACGGCCTGGCGCCATACGAAAACTCCTGTAGTGGTTGGCTGCTATATATGTTAGTCGCCGTATCCCAAAGAAGAAAGAGCCTTGTTCAAGGAAACCATACGCAACCTAGGGGACCCGAGCTCCCAGAGGGGCCTATCCTCCGTGGGCGAAGTTACTCGCGGTGTAAAGAAGTGAACACCAGGATCGGATGACGGCTCCCGCGTCGTGACGAGGATGCGATTAGAGGGTCGATGGTAGCTGATCGAAGAGACCTGATTACACTGAACAGGCTCCTCGTAGACTAGATTGGTCGTGGTGATGCGTTGCTGCGTCGTTGAGGTTCTCCGGCCCACTCTTGGAGTTGTCAGAAGTCAAGACACGGATTGATACGAGGAGAGCACTGACATTCCACTGCTGTCTGTATGAATATACGTGCTTCTTACAGAGGAAGACTCTGACAAGGCTGCTTCATTCGATTAGCCACCTCACGTATCGCTTCATCGCCGTCACTCACACGTGTAAGCAACCCCAACGCCGGTTTTCGCGTCTTCACCCCCAATCCACAAGCATCCAAGATTCGGCATGGTATCTCTTGGAACGTTATCCACGAATCCCACGTGGTGCCGATCAACAAGCCCTGATGCCCATACTGCAGCAGACACCTCGACGTCTGGAGATCCGATACCAAGCTGGCGGTCGAGGAACCCACCAAGCAGCGGCTCGTGCAGAGCCCTTGCTCGCTTCACATTGCGCTTTGTCCTTTCAGCGCGGGCGTGCTCGGCGGCGGTGTGCTCGCTCTCGATCTTTCGACGCTTGACATTGGCGGCAGACCAAGCGGCAGAGGCAGGTGCCGAATGCGACTTTTCAATCTTGAAGTACTTCTTCTTGACCTCATCTACATGACGTTAACATCGAAGTCGGGTTCGGCAAGAATGGTAGGGAATTACCGTAGTAGTAGCCTGGCAATGAAAGGCTCATGGTGGGTGTAGTGTTGAAGATGGAGCTTGCCAGAGGTGGATTGAGATATCACGTGTTTTCAGCGTCAGGTACCTATGCCCAAAAAGTTTTGCGCGCAGACTGCGACATCACAACTCGCCAGCGTGAGCACTGACTGAGACGCCATTGGCGCCCATTTCTGCTTGCAGCTTGGGTCCTTTGAGAAAGCCACTCCGAATCCGAGTGCAATTGGGTGGTGAAGGTGCACAATTGATCGCCTCAACAAAACATTCAGCCCATCGCTGCTCATTTTCTCGCTCCGCCCCACGTATCGCGTGGGAAACGCGACGACCCCAACCACCTCACCCCCTTCCACAGATTTAGAGACACACACGAATCATCCGCGATGTGAACCCGCAGCGTGAGGCCCGCATAAGCCCCAAACTCAGTTTCCCAGACCAAACCGAACAAGAGCAAAAACCCCATTCTCATGCATCAAACACCCTCAGCTCTGCCGTGCCGTGATCCATTGACCCCTCCATCCAGCCCAACAAGCTGCATGAGGGGAGCTGCCCCTCCCTCCCCCGCCCACCCCTTCGCGTGACGTATCGCTGAACCCCCTCCACCCCGCTTCACGACCATATCAAAACCTCACCATCCCCTCATCCTGACCACACAACCCATCAGCTCGCTACGCACGAAGCACGACATAGTTTCGGCACCGTGTCCCCAGTAGTCAGCCCGCCCACGCACCCACTCACGCGCCCGCCTCGTCTCGCCTCGGAGCAGACGAACCGCCCAAGATGGTCTACACAATCACAGTGCACCTCTACGCGAACGACCACCCGGACTCGATCGACCGTATCAAGGCCAAGCTGATCGAGGCATCCCGCGTCTACGTCAATGACCGCGAGACGGTCAACTGGTTCGTCATGCAGGACGTCCACGACCCCCGCGCCTTCACCATTGTCGAGCGCTTCGAGCAGGAGAGCGTGAGTGCGGTCCGGGCTGTGGTGCCCGCTTCCATATGTGTTTCCCCTGCCTTGTGCCGTCACGCTGACAAGATCCGTCGCCACAGAGCCAAAAGTACCATCTCGAGAACCCGTACTGGAAGACATTCGACCCATATGTGAAGCCTCTCCTGGAGCGTCCCATGGATCTTAGGCGGCACGAGGAGCTCGACACCACCAAGGACGTAGTCGTTCCACAGTGAGATGTCGTTCATGGCAAAAGGGAATTTGGGCGTGATCAATACTTCGCCGCCACAAACGCAACACTGAAGAAAAGAGAGAGACCCGAACAGTCACAATGTGATATAGTCATAGTATTTTTACTGTTTTGGTATTAAAATCAAAGTCTAGGGTATGACGCCCCCAACCACTCCATGCTGCGCCCCTCCGACGGGACGACTTCACCTCCGTTCGACACCGTTCACTAGGTAATCATTATCGATGTGATACGGACATCGCATAATCTAAACACAGGAAAAGAAAGGTTTATGTCCATCGAGACTATCTCCTCTGTACTTCTCCGGTTCCGAGCGTCACCTTTGTTGGGTGGTGACTTGCGCGGTAGCAGCGAGATCGGCCGCTTACTGCGACTTCTCGTGCTGGGTGGAGACGCGCTGCAGAGAGACAACGAAGTCCTCAAGCGAGCGCTGCTTCTGGGAGCCCTTGGGGGACTTGCCGTGCATCATGTTGTCGAAGCCGGCATTGTCCTGGAGGATGTAGTAGACACCGGCGCAGACGCAGAAGACACCGAAGGAGAAGATCCAGATACGGACAACGGCGACAATGCTGGTCTGGCCGTGCTCGAACCAACCAAAGATACAGAAGAGGGTGGCGAGGATGTCGACGATGAAGATAGCACCGGACAGCTGCCACGAGGGGATGGAAGACCAGAAGGGACCGTTGGCACGAGTGATGAAAATCAGCCAGTTCTCAGTGAGAGAGACCTGGAGGAAGACAACCTCGTCCAGGTTACCGAAGTTCTGGACGATACCACCGTTGGGGCCGTGGGCGTACATGGTGGTGACGGTAATCCAGGTGCCGATGGCGAGGACAATGCCGAGGATGACAGAGATTCCCCAAAGCTTGGGCAGGTTCCACTTGACGGGGGCCTTGCTGTAAGGAGCGTTGTCATAGGCGATGGCCAGGGTAGCGATATCAGCGAAAATGGCGATGAAGACAACGAGCTCAATGTTCAGCGAACGGTTGAGGATGGCAATCCAGAGACCGAGGTACAGCTCCATGTGGATGGACAGAGCAATACGGTAGACAACGTAGGAGTACATGCGGTGGAAAATCTGGCGAGAAGTCTTCAGGGCGTCAATGATGGCACCGAGACCAGGGGCAAGGAAGACGATATCGGCGGCAGAGCGGGCAGCGTCAGAGGCACCCTCGACAGCTGGGACGTGTTAGCGACAGGATCGAGACTGGAAGAGCGAGGAGCATAAAACATACCAATACCAGTATCAGCCTTCTTCAGGGAGGGAGCATCGTTGACACCGTCACCAGTCATGGCAACGAGGTAGCCACGCTGCTGGAGAATCTCGACGACGTTGTACTTGTGCTGGGGGAAGACCTCGGCGAAACCATCGGCAGCCTCAACGAAATCGTAGACCTCAGAGCCGGGCATGTCACCACCACCACCGAGACCGAGACGGTCAGCGTTGAAGATGTTGGTACCGAGACCGAGCTGGCGGGAAGTCTCACGGGCAATGCCAACGGCATCACCAGTAAGCATCTTGACGGAAAGACCAAGGTTCTTGGCCTCGTTGACGGTGCGGGCAGTGTCGTGACGAGGGGGGTCAGAGCAGGGCATGATGCCGAGAATCTCCCAGTTGCCCTCACCACGCTTGCGGGCGACACCAAGCGAACGGAAACCACGGGTAGCGAACTCGGCGACCTTGTTCTTGTAGGCCATGTCGATCTCGGGGTCAAGAGGGTGGTCCTCCTCGACAGTCTTGAGAACGAAGAGAGGGGCGCCCTTCACGCAGGTGATGCGCTCACCCTGGGGAGACTGGACGACGGCGGTGACCTTCTTGGAGACGGGGTCGAAGGGGAAGAACTCAAGGACGGAGTACTTGGAGAGAACAGACTTGGCGCGGGGGTAGTAGCGGAGGGACTTGAGGAAGGCCTTGTCAATGGCATCAATACCCTTCTTCTTGCGGGAAGCGGCCAAGCAGGCAGTGAGCATAAGGTCATCGGGCTCAACGCCGGCGACGGTGTAGGGCTCAGCAAGAGAGAGCTTGTTCTTGGTCAGGGTACCAGTCTTGTCAGAGCAGAGAATCTCGACACCAGCCAGGGACTCAATGGCGGACAGCTTCTGGACGATGGCCTTCTTCTTGGCGAGGTAGGCGGCACCGACAGCCATGGTGGTGGTGACGACAGCGGGAAGACCGACGGGGACACCGACGATGAGAATAGCGAGGGTGAAGCGAAGGATCTCGACAATATCGTTGGAGCGGTAGAAGCCAGAAACCCAGACGATGAGGAGAGTGGCAACGACGAGGATCAGGAGAACAGTACCAATGCCGTTGAGGACCTCAGTGAAGTGACCGGTACCGGCAGAGGCAGCGTTGACAAGGGCAGCGGCGCGACCGACGAAGGTAGAGTCACCGGTGGCAGTGATAACAATGAAGGCCTCACCACGCTTGACGGCAGAAGAAGCGTAGCAGTTGTCGCCCTTGTGCTTGTCGACAGCGAGGGACTCGCCAGTGATGGCAGACTGATCAACCTGAAGGAAGGCATCGTCCGTGACAATGCGACCATCGGCGGGAATGATGGTACCATCCTCAACCTGGAGGATGTCACCAGGGACAACCTCGTGGGCCTCGACCTCCTTGAGCTGACCGTCACGGAGGACGACAGCCTTCAGGGCAAGAGTCTTCTTGAGTTCGTCGACAATGCTGCCGGCCTGGAATTCCTGGTAGAAACCAACGACGGCGTTAAGCAGGAGAAGAGCGATAATGACACCGAAATCAACCCAATCCTCGAGACCAGCAGCGAGGACGGCAGCGGCTTCCATGACGAACTGAATAGGTCCGACGAAGAACATGAACTGAAATACGAATTAGATCGCTGAGATCGTTTGAACGACGGCGAGAGCCAATTGAACTTACAAACTTGAGGATGAGGTTCTCCTTCTCCTCCTTCATCTGGTTGGAACCGTACTTGCGGCGACGGTTGAGAACCTCAGCCTCGGTGAGACCGAGACGGGTGTCGGTAGCGAGCTGGTCCTCAGGAATGACACGGGCACCACCAACGGCAGTTTCTGGATCAATTGGGTTAGCGCGGAAATGGTGAGCTGGGTGCTCGGCGGGAACTAACCCTCTTCCTCGTCCTCCTCGATGTGGCCGTCCTGGGACTCGAGGTCCTCGATCAGGGCGTCGATGTCCTCATCTTCATCCTCCTCCTCCTCGACCTTGGGCTTGATGGGAGCGTCGACACCGGTGTCGAGAGGACGGTCCTTCTCCTCAAAGCGGTGGGACTCGATGGGAGTGTTGAGCGCCGGAGCGGCGGCTGAGTTCGACTCGGCCATGGCGAAAGATTTCGCGGTTGTATGCGTCTATAGCAATGAGGTGGTCGAAGGCAGTGTAGGGGGAGTGGACTCGAAAGCTCAAGCACTTGGGTTGTGGGGGGACTCTAGGTATTTGTAGTAGGTCCGGTGGGTCGAACAGGTTCTTAAGGTTCGAGGGCTGAGCTTGCGAGCAGGGCCTAGGAATATTCGGAGATTGCTAGGTTTGTTGCGAACAACAACACGCGCTGGGTGGGGAGTGGAGAGTGTCGAGGCGACGAACGAAGAGTGGGGGAGAGGTCTATCACCGCACGAATGTGAAGAGCAAACGTAAAGGAAGCCTTCGTGGGTGAAGAGAGAAAGGGAAGGAAGGGGAGAAGGAAGGAGGAAGGAAGGCTCTTTAAAAACGAAAGCAAGAGGCAGGCGATGGACAACAAGCGGGCGGCGTGGGACTGTGAGGTGTAAGTGAGAGTGGGTACAGCTCACGGGATGGGTGCGGGTGCACGACACGAGCGACAACAGTGAAGGGCGGAAGCAGCGATGGGCATTGGGGGGGGGGGATGGATGGGGGTGGGAACGGGGGTGGGAGAGACGAGGGCACGGCGACGAGGCAGGCAAGACCGACCAGGACCAGACCAGAACCAAGCGGGACCTAGCAACAACGGAAGAGAACGAGCGTCGAGGAATACGCCGGCGATCTGTCCGGGCGTGGAAGGCACAGAGGTGAGGTGAACGAGCGTCCCAGGTAAGGGAACCCACCGAGCCGAAAGCGACTTTTTTTCCCTCTCTCACTCTGTGCTCATTCTCCAATTGACCTCAATCCCACTCTGGAGCTGGGGCAAAGGGGGGGGTCTGTCTCTGCAAGCCCGGGCTAGAGCCGTCTCTACGAGGTGCTACAAACGGATACCAGGCACACAAGCTCCCACGATCGGCTTGGGGCCGTCTTGGATGGCCTAGGAAGGTACCCCAGAGTGAATGTCAGGTACCTTGGCCTGCATGCCACCCGGGTGGGTTCCACAGATTCCTCACGCCCACAGTGCCTGTGTCGTTGCCCAGGAAGCTATCGCATCGGTGCTGCCCCGAGGCAGAACAATTGCCCGCAAGCAGCCCACGAATGAGGGCAAGGGAGAACCACAGTAGCGCACGTAGCTCCCGAGAAGCTCCTACGGGTCCGAGGACTGGCGAGCGCGAGGGTTCAAGCTCCAGCTGCGGCCTAGGTGAGCTTGGGGGCCACGATGGCCAATGACGACGCCTGGAGTCCAGGGCCAGGGTGGGGGGGTCATGCCACCAACTCTCCACAGGGCGACACAGTGCTGGACACGGTTCAACGGCGAGAAACATTGGATCACTGCACGATCATTTCCGCGCGCATTTCAGACCAGACGTAAACATCCATGGGTCATGACTATGACAGGGCCCACCCTGACCACACTCCTCTCAAAGGGTGAGCCGGCAGAAAGGCAGCGCGAGCGCCGCGCGTGGGGCTTGCGGCGTGGTGTGGAGCGTGCCCTGATGTGGGTCTCCTGCAGAGCAGCTTTGCAGGGAGCCGGGATCTGGGATGAAGAGCGGAGGCCAGGGCCAGGGCCAGACAGGGATGGGGGGAGTGCTGTGGTCGCTGGTGGATGGAGCCGCTCGCTCGCCATCGCCCCAGAGAAAAAAAAAACAAGAGACGAAGCGGCCCTGGATGAGTCGGCTGCGTTACTTGACTTGGCACACGGCGCACTGTGCTCCTCGTCTGGCTGCCGCGGCTCGTTCCAAGCCTTCTAAGCCCGTCGTCGACGCCGATGATGGTCCAGACAGGCCTTTGTCGGGTGCTGTCGCTAGAGTTTACGAGTGTGTTTTCCCGCGGTGAGAGGTAGCAGCCCAGTGCGAGGCAGAAGTCTCTTTTCTCCCCCATCCATCTCTTCGATGCCCGATTTTTTTTATTATGTGCGCGATTTTACTCGTTGTATTCTTTACCCCGTGCCTACCTCCATGTCGCACGAGAAATGTGTGGGTGCTTCAAGTCTATGTTTTGTATATGACGACAGACACAACTGGTTCTCGTCCTCGGGTCCCAGGGCAACCGGCAAGGAAGACGAACAATAGGCATGCTATCCGTCCTGTTCTCGCCTTTTCCTTCCCGTCGCACATCGCACTCGACAACTCCGGTCTGGCGGTCAGCAAAGCCAAGCAAGCACCCATCCATCTCGAGGCAAGCTCCATCGTTTCGGCTTTGGTTCTCGTGTCTCCACGCTTTGTCCATCGTTCCCGTGAGCTGCACCGAAGGAGCTTCTCGAAACGGCTACTTTGTCGCTCGTCCCGAGCCAATTGGGACTTCCGACATGGTCAATTGTGACTTTTTCGCTTTTTTTTTTCTCTCTCGCACGCCAATAGGTCTCTTGTTCGGAGACGTGGCCATTGAGGTGTTTGTTGGTCCCGACCACTGACAGTTATGCCTCATACGTAGAAAGTCCATCCACAGAGGTAGAGGCATCACCAACCCTTGCATCTTGACGTCTGGGGAAATACCCTACATGTACACGGGTAGCTGGACGATGGCTCATCTAATCCCTTCCACAATCATCGGTGGCAAAAGGTTGGACAGACGCCAGCCCTGCAGCAAGCCATATCAAGGGTTTCGCGGGGGCCAAGGCTTGTGCTCGCCTTGGGGGCAAGAGGCCAAGAACACAGGGACCGATCGTGCACACCCCATTCTGTGGTTTGCTGGACATTTTTGACTCTCAGTCGTCGTCATTCAAGTGCGCACGTTGGACGACCAACATGACAGGCTTCAAGCACCAAGCAGACATGTCCCTTTTCGGACTTCGTTTCTGGCTTACATGAACTGGACACCCTTCGTCCATAACGCAATAAGCTTTTCCGGCCCTCACATCCCAAAACTTGGCTGTCGGTCGAGGACGACAGCCCGGGATCTCCCATGCAGCCAGGCCCATCCCAGACTAGCGCGTGGGATTTGCCCCGACTTCGACTCTGTCAGCCAATTGGCAGTGCTGCAGCACATCGGGAAGGCGTGGGATAAATCGGGTTCATCTTAGAGTGGAAGGCGCAAGACACTTGAAATCACCAAGACACTGTGCCTGGCACGCATGCTTCCTCCCCCTCCCTGGCCCACGCTGACTCCGGTTTCCCCCCATTCTTCTCGTCTGAGCAGAGCAGGATTGGGAAGTTGCGAGCAGCGAGCAGTGGGCAGCACCCAACGGCCAGTGGACAGTAGGCAGTGGATAGCACTTGCCTAGAAAGTGGACCAGGTAGCCAGCGCCTGCAGGTGCGATGCATTCCCCAAACCACAATTCCCCGAATCCCTCATTGCTCCGTGCCCCCAAGAACCCACTTGAAGCTCGGCTGTCACCCATCGAAAACATCCATCTATCCGTACAATCCATCATTTTACCCCTTCCAAATCGTAACCCTCGCGCCTTCGAAACCCCCATTGAGGGCTTCAGCCAGAGACATCCAGGGCGGGCAAGACATTCGTGACCACGGTGATGGGACCTTGGGTCTGTGACGACGGCGGCTTGCTGTTTGCAACCATTACTTGACCATTTGCAAATCGACAGCCTCACCAAACCTGTCAGGCTCCGCCGAAACTGCCAGTTTCCAGCTTCTGGCGATCAGGACCAGTTTTTCGACAAAGGATGCCTTGCGACGACAGGCTTGCCTTAGTCATGTCCGCTCCCGTCTGACTCTCTAATTACTGTTTGTTCTCCAATTCGCCCTCCACAACCATCCCACGAGACCAACATGATCCCTGGTACTGCTACTCACGGGCCGCCGCCATCAAGTCTGCAAGCGATAGCCGACACACAAGTGGCCCCGTTCCTACCCTGGTCCCCAGCCTTTCGAATAGAATTGTGCATGGGCGGCGTGCACCCCTACCTGCAAGCTTCGACCCGCGACCTGCACCCCCTTCCAACGGGCAGCTAGATAGCTCTTAGGGCGCCAGTCTCACCATCCGAAGCGTGGGCGCCTGTGTGCCCGCATGCACGGGTCCTCGATTGACCGATGCAGCGCTGTACGCGCCTCGACATGCTGTGCTGTGTGCGGCGCCTCAGTTCGCCATCCTCAGCTGTGCTTTCGGCCAGGCCAGGCCTGCTCCAGCTCTCTCCAGAGCACCGTGACAGAGCTCCCTCCCCGCCTTGGCCCCATCTCCCAAGCCTTCCAGAGGCGGCTATAATGAATGTACCTTCAGACGAAGAGCACATAATTGCCTCGTTGTCGCACAACAAGTGGCCGCCAATGGCGCATCACGGTCTCGCCCTCTTGGTCTTCTGCTGGCTGCCCGACCCTGCGAATAGCATCAATCGTAAACAATATTGGCAGCATGGGCTGGAATTGGCTAAGGGCTGCACCCTTCGTCGTCCAGCCCGCACAGCCGCTTCGCGCGTGACGAAATGCTCGCTGCATTGGGTTCGATGTGCCGACCACGGTCCCGTTCGCACGTCGCAATGAGGGACGCCAGGGGTTCAGCTCCATTGGTCTCCAGAAGTCGCGGCTATTACGGCCTTGTCCCTTGCTCTAGCGGTCAACTACGTCAGGCCAGCGTGAGGTTTTTCCATGGGTCACGGCATACGGCCAGTGTCGGAGGGACTCGGCCTGTCCCAATTCGCGAGTGCGCTTGGTACGACGATGGGGCAAAATGAATGGGCTTCATCTCTAGTCCCTCCACCGAAGCGCCGATAAGGCTAGCAACAGTCGGTCTCAATGATTGTTGTTCCTGGCATTGTTCATCGTTGTCCTCGTCGTCGTCGTTGCATTTGCCTTGTGTGCCCTGAGACAGTGCTTGGACCGAGACGAAAAATAATAAAACAAACAAAAATAAGGAAGCAAGTCCGTGGCATGCTCCTTCCGCTGCCTTCACCTTACCCAGCCAGGTTCAAAGTACAAATTCTCAAGGGCACGAGCACAACACCCGGCGGAGCACAACAAGGACAGGCACAGGATAGCACAACACAGCACAACACAGTACAGAGGAATGTGCACCTTCGGAGGTGGTTCTTGAGAGCACCTCGAGGACGCCGACTCATCCGTACCGTCCTTATTTACGGCATTCGGTGCCATTGCTCATTTCGATGCGGATCCAACAACCACCGATAGGCAAATCACCCCGGGACACCTGGCGCTACCGGCATCTTACCAGGGCAAAAACAAACAACAAGACTCGCAAACTCGCCGACTCTGATCTCCGACTTGTCGCCGCGATGGCCCCCGGACGTCGGTCGGATTGTTGAATTTCAGTGCCGTGTATCCCGTCCAACTCCGTCCGTAGTATCTCAGGCCTGCCGTGTCTTGTTCGTGTACACACAGTACTGCACCTACAGCCGGGATCCTTGCACCACGCCTCACAGAGACGGCACAAGTATGTGCAGCACCAGAATAGTACGGAGCTACGTACTGGCGTTGGCGTGCGCTTGCAGAAGAGCGGTGGCTCAATTCGGCCCAAAAGCCCCACCCCGGAGGCTTCCAAGGCTTCTAGAAAGATTTTAACGAGCGATTATCCCATCGTGTCAGGTGTGCAAGTACTTCACCGAAATCCGAACCCGGCCCAACTCGATCGTCTTGCTTCCGTCGAATGGGGCTTCCCGAAGGGCGTTTCTCTTCTTTGTGACCCCGTTAGCTTGGCTTCCCGAAACTTTTTTTTCGCCCCTCGACAAACATCATCAGCACAAGCCTGGTCGATGCGTGACAGAATCTTCCGTTTATTTGCCTCAGTGACGTCCTTCGGCGCTTCATGGCTTATCGCGATCGGTGCTGAACCTGGGTTTGGAGCTTTGACAAACGGCACGGTGTCTTTACGAAATGGCAATCAACGGGATTTCATGGTAAGGTAGCCAGCCTATGAGGGATTTGATATTCTCGCCAGCGGATTGGCCCCCAAGCCCAGAACGGAATCACCCCTTGCGACGGTCGTCAGGCATACTCGGTCTCTTATTTGTACTGTGTGCCGCTTTCCCGCGTCACCCACATCGACAAATCGATGGGTCATCCCAGCACCGAGTGCCCTTAGTCGCACTGGTTCCTGGATTTGTTCGTCCCCTTACCCCACCGATCGGCTGCTGGGGTCGACAGCATTCGCTGGCTGGCGACCAAGTTTTCTCCAACTGCCAGCCTGTCCGCCTTGAAACGAGACCGGCTTTGGCCCATGTACCGTAGCCGGTCGCCTCCCGGGATATTCTCTCTCGACGTTCGTGATGTCGGCCGAGTCAGCGCTTTTGCCACGAGATGGACTCTTTCGTCACCCGTGTCCGATGCCGCAGAGTCGGTGAGTGAGTACAGCAGTGGGTGCTCCAATAAAGACAACGACAGCGATAACCTCACCGCGCATTGTGTCCGAGTGGCACTTGCTGGGTCCCCGTTCGTACTGTTCACGGTATCAATAGTGTCGAATTGATATGCTTTTTTGATCGACATTTCAAGGGCTCTAGTTCATTCTTTAGTCACATGCTGATGGGAACGGGCCTATTCACACAAGACCAAGAAGCCGCACGGTGGCAAGCTGCGAGGGCCATGCGGCGATGTTCCCGTACTCAGCCTGTATCACAGGAAGTCGCAACGTTGCTGATCGTCGCGATATGACCTTCGATTGACACAACTGTATTTGCCGGCAGTTCTCCGACACGCCACCGATGACAACGGGGCTAGTTGACGCTCCCCAGCTTTGCGAGTCGAGGACGGTCAGTCCGCCGCCTTGGACATGTCAGCAGAGGTACAAGACGCACCCGCGTTAACGCCTAGTCTTTACCAAATGCAACAGGGCCGATTCTGCCACTGAGGACTGATCGATTTTTTTTTTCTTTCAACGTGTTGATTTGCCTCCCTTTGTCTCCGGCTCCCAGAAGCGCCAATTGTGAAGCCCTCGCTAATCCCGTGTTGCTGGTAACTGTCGGCGATGAAATGCTGCCGGCCGACTCATCAGAGCAGGCAATCGGCATTCCGCACGCCGACTTGGCCGTTCTGTTATCCAGGGCTATCAACGAGCAAAGACTACTGGTTGAGACATGTCAAACCCTGCTGATTCGACTGACCGACTCCCTCCCCCCCCCCCCCCCCCCCCCGGGCCCAAACGGTGAGACAGACCAACTAGCCAGGAATCAAATCGAGACTGGTCGTTGTTGAACCCTGCCAAGGTCGTGGGAGTGCTCACAGCCGAGACGGTCGCGTTGCATCGCATCGCATCGTCATTCATCTTCATCATTGCCATTATTGCCTTCCTCTTCCCCCTTCCAGGCACCCCGGCCCTTGACCCTGACGCCCCCGGATATTGGCACTATCCACATAGATATCGCCTATGGAGCTCCGTGCGAATTGTGTAAACGGGGCGATTTATGACTGTTTGTTTACATGGTACACTGCTGGCGAGACAGTTGGTCGAGAGAGGGAGTGGGATTGTGTTTTGCTGTCCCTGGAAATTACCTCAATCTCTTTTCTGCCTCGAATGCCGCCAGAAAAGCGAGAAATCGCTCAGGCGCGGTTGTGCCTGTCGATCGCCAAGGCCGAAGGGAGAATTGGTCCAACAGCCGTATGAGAAGCCAATTCTGTCCGTCCGCCGCGAGCGTGGTGTCGAGATTTGCCATTCGCGAAACGTAAAGATAGGCGTGTCCGGCGAAACTTGTCTTTCTTTGTTTGCCTTGCTCGCCCCTGCCTCCCGCCCCTCCATCACGACTGTCAAGTTTTTGGAGAGATCAATTAAGCCTGAAACAGAGGGACGGCAACTTCGAAACCTGCGATCTAGGGCTCTCGGTCCTCGTCCTCGTTGACGTGGGATTCGGACATCCTCCCGGTGGCTGGTGGCTTCGTAGCGTGGGACGTGATGGCGACGTGATGAGGCACGGGGCGCCCGCGCCCTGTGGTTCTCCTCGCAGACGCAGGCCCTGTCTGTCTGTCTGTCTGTCTGTCCTGTCAGCCTTGGTTGCTGAGGCCACCGCTGATCCAGCGTGACTCGGACAAGGGGTTGGCCTTTGTTTCTATCCTACCATCCTGCGACGTCCGGCCATGTCGCTTACTGAGGTCTGTTCCTTGCCCGTGAGCCCTGGGGCTGGAGGGCCGAGCTTTGAAGGGAAACGTTCTTCAAGATGCCGTGTTCACCCGTCGCCCTCACCCGTCGCGCGCCGCCGCTGTGCCCGCAATCGAAAGCTTGCGAAACAACCATCATCAAACAAGAGGGGACGCAAAACACATGGCGCCATCCCCCAACCTACATTCGACATCTCCAATTAGGCTCTCGTATAGCTCCCCACGAACGTCCTACTGGAATGCTGGCTTTTTTGATCTTCAGCTCAGTGGCATCATGAGGGCCAAGTCGAGGCATGTCGTTGAATTGCCCGTCTGTTTCGCCAAGTCGCCTCAAGTGCGCTCTGCCCTCGGGTTCGCCAAGAATGAGTTCCAAGCCTTGGCCTACGCGCACTAAGCTTTCTTGGACCGCGAATCCCCCAAACGTCAATGTGCTTGGCTGTGAAAGGAGTTGTTCTTTTTTAGAGGATGCCTGCAGTGCCCCTGCTTGGTATTCTGCCAATTGTACATCCGTGACCATAGAGCCTCGATTGGCTGTTCCGCATTGCGTGGCGCAAAGTCGTCTTTACGGCTTGTATCATGACATGTTGCAGAAGGTGAGATCGCGTCTGCTTGACAAGGTGCCCGTACGCAGAACGCATTTGTTTTGTCCACACCACCTGGCATTCTTCTGTGTCGGTGTGGGCAATCATTTTTGGGTTTGTTTCAATCTGATGTGAGCGCCGGCCCCGCCCGTGTTTGTCTGGTCCTTTTGAGGGGTGTGCTCATTCATGCGACAGCCCGAATGATGGGCAGGACAGCATGGCTGTGCCGGGCTGTCATGTTTCGGGCTGTGTATGTTAATTTTGACGTCGCTGGGAAGGCGCACAGTAGACGGGTCTGTCTCGTGCAAACCGCGATGGATGGAATGTTTCCGTGCCTCATTCATCGCTTTGGCTAACACTGTCTGAGGATCACGATGAGGAGGATGGGGGGTGCTAATTTGCGATACCAATCGCGATGACTGTAATGCGTGACCACCGAACTCAACTCGAGCATCAATTCCCTTTGATCCTCATCCCGCGATGGTCTGGCTCGTAGGGACGACTCTGCCAAGAGATTTCTGCTTCACCTGCGGTGAGGGGTTGCTCTCGGGTCATTCTGGTTCGTGTTGAGGGAGTTGGCACTGGGCGTCTCACGTCTAAGCCTCGCCCTGTGTCTCGGCGACATTGATCTTGGCAAAATAAGCTGCGTGACGCTCTACCCTGTCTCTCTCCCCTCTTGTGCCCTCCCCCCTTCCGATCGATGGGCATGTGATTACGATGGGGAAGGGCGATGGGAGAAATAGATCTCTTTGGTAATGTTCGTGACTGTCCTGCGTATCGGCGAGTTCGGAATAGTGAAACGTGGGGGAATGGCAGATACCCAAGGTAAGTCATGTCGAGGGAGAGCCAACTGGGTGGATCTGATCTGCGGGCGATTTTCATCTCTTTCTCATCAGGGCTACAATGGTGGAGGGTTTATTGGGAGTTTGTAGATCTAGAGAGTGCTTGGCGGCGATAGTTGGGGTTCACCACTTTTGATGATGTGTTATTTCGATAGGCCCCCCTTTGGATGATCAGAGGAAAGGGTGGGCGGCGCTTCCCATCTGAACTTGGCCAGTGACTTCCAGCGGCCATTGTCGGAGTTCGGTTTTTATGGAGATTCCCTGACTGCGGCGCGGACCGCGACAGCGATGACGGTGCGGACGACGTGTCCGAGACGGATGGTGCATGTGCTGTGTGAAGATGTCTGATCGGCAGGCAGACTCGGATCATAGCTCATGTGTTGGCGGTGGAGTTGCAGTCGCTGGGACGTCATGAGCTGCGATCATCGACAGCTCTGCGGAAGGTAAAGAAACTCTCTGCAGAGAGCAGATCTATTTTGGTCGAGTTGTTTCGGTGCTGCAAATAACATATTGGCGGGTGGCAGGCCAGTCTGGTTGTATTTTGACATCATGTTAATATCCGCGACCTTTATGTGTTGAACGTTGCAAATACAACAGAGCCAAATCTATTAGTATATCCTACCTGGCGTGGGAAATATTACACTCTTGCTTTCCATAATCAAGTATTGCATTGTGATATGTGTCGTTCACGTTGTATGTTCAGAGCGGAATCGCGTTGTCCTTAAATTGCGAAAGTCGTGATATCCATGAAATATCGTTAGCTGAATTTGAATGGAAGACACAACACGGGATCAGAATAGAGCAAATACATGTTCCTTCGCATGTGAATTATATTATTCAGTATGCCTTTAGATATGTTCCATGCGTGTAACGTCATGCAACGTGGATGCTGACTGTGACGGATTCATCTAGCAGGACACACCACATTATGTCTACAGCAGGATCGTTCACCCCATGATACTGCTCACATCTTACCTGACACCGGTACCATGGTTGACTTGGTCTCACCAATGGTTTCTCTCTGATACTCACAGTTCATCCGCGATTAACAAGGTGACGAGTGAAAACGAAGTGTTCTTTGAAAGTGCCCAAGATGTGTTGGCCTGAGAAGACATTGAAGCTGCCAACCTGCTCACCAAAAATGCACACACACTCTATCTTGAATAGTCGATAACACATCGGAAGCAGATGGCCACTGAGTCAAAACACTGAACTGTGTCCGATGCTCGGTAGAATTTACCTTGTGCGCCCCCGTCAGGGTGTGCAACCTGCACCACCGCGAAGCTTCTCCAGCTCGAGCAGTGAATGTCACAGCCCAACCATAGCCAACAACGCTACCGAGTGCTTCTTTTACAACTCCTAGCTAAAGTTCGTGAGTACTTCGAAAACCCAATATGTTCCGAGATTGCCCGCCAAGAATAAGTAGAGCAGGGTGAGGGTAATTTAGAGGCTTTCGCTTTCTCAAGAGTAATCCGCTCTTCCAAATCACATGTGGCTAAAAGCACCACAGCTGATCTATACTCTTGCTTAATACTGTGACCAATCCCGAGAAGACGAGCCAATGACTCTTTATATTTGAACGCTGGGCTGTCCACACCATGGGTGCCTTCCGAAGAAGAGGACCGAAACACTGACGACACAAACAACCGTGTCTGGTGAACGGCAATGAGTAACATACCTCGTTCGACACGCTCCAACCATACCGAATCAGCAGAGTAAAGAGTATCAGGCTTTTACAGCCGAGGAACCTGCAAGAGTACACGAGATATCCCACTTCACCTCTGCCAGACACGCCTCCTCAGCTACGACATGGCAAAACCCAGGAGCATGGACGAAAGAGAGACCTCTGGTAGAGCAACGTATCAACTGTCATGTATCTACTGGGCGTCAGCAGAGAACAGATTCAGAAGGGACTCTCACGTCAGACCAGACATCTGCGCTCCGAGCATGGATTGCCCCCTTGAAGCCTCCGCCGACGTCAGCCGAAGCCGGAGATTCGACCTGATGAGCAGTGTCTGGTTCGTGTATCTTGACTTATACATCACAGCCTATCCTCCGAGTAGTGTTGTAACAGTTCTTCGTCTGTTGCTGATAGTGTGGCAGGGAAACATCACGATCGTAGTCCTTCCACAGAGGTCAACTAGCTCTCCAATGAACCATAGGACTTGTATCGATGACACATGTTGGACTGAGTAAGAAGTAGGCAATCTTTGCACTTCTCCCCACTGATGCTCGAGATATGCAAGACTAAATACGGACGACTGTTCGGGACTTCTTGAAATCATGGCCCCCAGGTGAACTGATGGTGATGAGGAACCTCTACCGTCCTTCAACAGTAGCTTTCCAGGGGAGCGATGGCCCAATCAAGCCGGCTATGGCATACCCAGCGCCACTCCATCATCTTCAGCAGGTCGACTTAGCAACTTGATGTCAACGCCGGAAGCCCTACTGTTGAGCGACGTCTAGCGCCAACGGAGAGCACGACAGCATGACGAAGGCATACAGACTAGCGGCCGTAGTTGAGCGATCAGTGACTGGCAAGGAGCTGCTTGTATGTTCCCTCCGACCTATGTGGTGTGAGTACAAGTTCAACCTTATGGTTTCAGCGCGATTCTCAACGACATACCAACAATCATCATGTACGTGAGAAAGTATATGGGAGAATCGCACGATTACATCCCCTGAGACCCCTGGCTAGTCGTGCTACGCAATTCCATGTCATTACCACAGCACACGAAAGGCACGTCACGGCAGAACGGAGGAGGCCCAGCCAACCAAGTCTATAATATCCGGAAGCGCACATGGGCATTCGCCATCCATCCGCATACGGCATGTGGGCGAGTCTAGAACCAGAGAAAACTACAACAGAAAACGCAAATTACAGCAGGAGTTCTACGTCGCTAGGACAGCATCGCCGTCGACAGATGATGGTATGATTCGAGAAATTTCGAGGGGCCTCCGTCTGGCTGTGGTCGGGTTCCCTCTCTCCATTTCCGCGACTGGAGAAATACGGCGCTTAGTGCTTCGCAGTGACGTCGTCACCGGTGAGCTTCTCAACGTAGGTCTTGGCCCTGTGTAGCCCGAATTATGATTAGTACATGTCATGTCAAGAACACGAGAGCATGGCAAATACTCACATGTCACCCATGGCAACCATGCAGATGGTCTGCCAGATACCGAGACCGATACGGGGCGCGACACCACGGTAGAGACCGCGGATGCCGTTGGTGTCGTAGATGTAGCGGAAGGTGTTGCCGACGGTCATCTTCTTGGGCCGGTTGGGGTCCTCCTTCTTGCTCTGCATCTCGACGCGGATGACCTCGATGGGCTGGTTCCAGGCGCTGAGGCCACCGCCGAAGGCACTGGCAAGGATCTTCTCCCAAGCGGCCAGCTTCTCGCCGCCCTCCTTGCCGGTGGCGCGGCGGATGCCCTGCTCGGCGAGACGCGACAGACCGAAACGGGAGCCCCAGTTGGTCATCTGGCGAATGGCGACAGCGTTGACACCCTTGTTGATGCCACGGACGCCCTCGCGGCGGTAAATGTCCATGAAGGTGGCAAAGGTACTCTGGGGCACGACGCCGGCGGCGGCCTGCTTGTGCTTCGTGATCTCGACCGTCTTCATGCAGGTGCAGAAGCCCATGGTGGCGTAGGCCTGAGCAACACCACCGACGACACCACCAGTGATACCGCCGGTGAACTCGGAGGCGCCAGCGGCGCGCGCGTAGTACTCGGCCTCGGAGGCGACGAAGAGCAGAACGGCACCCTTGGTGGAGGCTTCGATCCAGGCCCAGGGGATGAGGCCCTGGTAGACTGTGTGCACGGGGTGGTCAGCAATTGCATTGCGCGGCGCCCGATGCTTCGCGAGCACTTCGGTAGGACACAGAGAGACTCACAGCCGAGAACACCGCCGCGAGACCAGATGCGGCCGAGCGAGGTCGTGAAGCCGTCGCCACGGTTGGCGGCCATGGTGGTCTTGACGACCTCGAGGGGCTGGCCAAGGGTGGTGACCTCAAACATGTTGAGACCGGCACCGAGGAGCAAGTTGGAGAACTTGACGGGCTTCTTCTCCAGCTTCGCGGGCTCCCCGATGGGGGCGGGAACGTGGGCGACGGCGACCATGGCTCTTGTTGGAAGGTGACGATAGGGGGCCCTGACCAAGGGGAGAGTGTGCTTCTTCGCGGAGTGTGGTGAAAACGGGGAGGGAGCGAGTAGTAGTGGAAGGAAAGGGAGGACTCGGGTAACGTCCGGGGAGGGGACTGGAGAGTAGACTGGAAAGTGGAGCGGGATGCAACGAGCTGCGATGAACGTGAATGTGGAGGTGGAGGTTTGATGGCCAGGCCGAGGATGAAGACGATGCGAGATGGTGGTTTACCGCGCTCTGGTTCAGGGAGGTGGGCAGGGACGACCTCTAAGCACGTGGAAGCAGCTCGAGGCCACATCAGGCTGTGCTTTGCTGGCCGGCTTGCTCATCCTGCCTCGCCCGCCCGCCTCGCCTCGCCCAGCAGTTGGGCAGAGACCAGTGAGCGACAGCGCCCCTTACAGCGCCTCAGCGTCTGCACGGCCTCGCTGGGGGCACTCATCTCAGCCCCCCCCCCCAAGGTCTCAAAGCGAGGAAAGCAATGGTCGCCTCTCACTCGTCGGGATTTTCTGGCGCTCGCTCATCACTCCCCAAAAAGCTCCCACTATTGTGGGCGCAGACGGTACAAGCCGCCTCCGTATCGGCTATGCTTCTGTGTGTCCCTCGGCCGTCTCCATTGATTCGGGACATCTCGTGCGACAACATGACACCGCGACAATCGGAGGCGGGCCTGCATGAGGGGTGTTCAGCGATTATCAGTCTTCACGCGTGTTTTCATTCGTCTCGAAGCCGTGTTCCGCCCTGAAGCTGGCAGTCGTAGAGCTTGCCCCCTCGGCGACGAGCTCGTAATCCGGTGCGTGGTACTCGGTGACCGGTACATGGCTCGCAGGTACCGGCTGGTTGCAGCTCGACCGTGGTTGGTCGATACCATGGCCCGCTCCAACAGGCCAGAGCCAGCCAGCCCCAAAAGGAGCTCGACAGCTCCCCAACCTTGTGCCGCTCGACTCTCAACAGCTGCGCTGCTTTTTGCTGGCGGCCCCCCCTTGGCGCGTGCGGGAGCTCAACGCAAAATTCCGTGGGGAACTTCCGACGACCGGACCGCCATGCTGTACAAGCAAAGCCAAGCAATCCAGGCAAGCCATGCACCGACACAACTGATACATTGGACATTTCTTTTTGTTTCTCCTTGTCTTTCTACCATTGGTCAGTTGTATGAGGCTCCAACTCCGACCCACGGGGGATTCGCGCTGTTCGCACAGCCTTACAGTTTTACGTTCACCTTGCCCAAGGATCAACTGTCATGAGACGAAACGGGGCACCAGAAGAGAAGAAGTAAGAACCAAACGAGCCGTATTCTGAGCCTAGGGTTATCTGAGAAAGCATACACGACCTTCTCCGCTCCGTTCCCTTTTCTCCCTCCACCCAAGCAGTAATAGTAAGAGTTGTATGTAGTATTGTACAAGCGCAAGTGGATTGGTATCGTTCCGAAGCTTCGGTTCCGTCGTCTTCTATCCACCCCGACTGAAGCAACACTTTTCTGGGTTGTTCGTGATGGCTTCCCGGTCCTGATCTCCTTCTATCGTGTCATGTCGCTATTGGAAAACTGTACGACAGTTCACGTCGTCTGGCGCGCGCCTTCGCCCGCGCCCTCACCGCACCCCTGGTTCTCTCTCTCTCTCTCTCCCTCTCTCTGCATTGCTCGCTGCCCATTTACAGCTTCTTGCAAATCTCGATCCACTTCTCGGTGGAGAAAGACTTGGGGCGCTCAATGGGGGCACCGACGGCGCGGTCAATGATGAGCTGGGGAAGCACACCAATGGCGCGGGACACACCGAAGAGAACGGTGTAGAAGTTGGCCTCGGTCAGACCGTAGTGCTGGAGGAGCACGCCAGAGTGGGCGTCGACGTTGGGGTAGGGGTTCTTGGTCTTGCCGTGCTCGGTCAGGACGCCGGGGGCGATCTTGTAGACCTGGCTGACGAGCTTGAACATGGGGTCGTCGGGCATGTGGGCCTGGGCGAAGGTGCGCTGGGCGCTGTAGCGGGGATCCGTCTTGCGGAGGACGGCGTGGCCGTAGCCGGGCACGACACGGCCGGCGTTGAGGGTCGACCAGAGGTAGTCGGTGATGGACTTGTCCGAGAGGTCGTCACCAACCGACTTCTTCATGTCGGTGAGCCAGTTGAGGACCTCCTGGTTGGCGAGGCCGTGCAGGGGACCGGCGAGACCGTTGAGGCCGGCGGCCACGGAGAGGTAGGGGGAGCTGAGAGCGCTGCCGACGAGGTGGGTCGTGTGGGCGCTGACGTTGCCACCCTCGTGGTCGGTGTGGATGGTCAGGTAGAGACGCAGCAGCTCAATGAAGCCCTCGTTGCTGCCGAAGCCAAGCTGGTTGGCAAAGTTGAAGGAGTAATCCTTGTCCTTCTGGACCTCGGCGACCTTGCCGCCCTTGAAGACGTTCTGGTAGATGCGAGCCGCAATGGTGGGCAGCTTGGCAATGAGGTCCATCGAGTCCTCAAAGGTGTAGCCCCAGTACTCCTTCTTGTTGACGCCCTTGGCGTAAGCCTTGGCGAAGGAGGAGGAGTGCTCAAGAGCAGTGACGGCGAGGGAGAACTGCGCCATGGGGTGCAGGTCGGTAGGGCAGTGGTCGATGAGCTCCTCGACAAACTTGGGGAGGTCGGCACGGGCGGCCCACTCGGCGGACAGGTCGCGGACCTGCTGCTCGGTAGGGACCTCGCCGGTCAGGAGGAGCCAGAAGAGACCCTCGGGGAGGGGCTCCTTGCCGCCGGGTGCCTTGGGGAGAAGCTCCTGGCACTCGGGGATGGTCTTGCCGCGGAAGCGGATACCCTCCTCGGAGTCGAGGACGGAACCCTCCCAGACAAGACACTTGACGCTGCGGGCACCGCCGTAGACCTGGTCAAGGGTGACCTTGTCGACGACCTTGGAGCCATGCTCCTTGCGAAGGGCCTTGATCTCCTCGATCTTCTCGGGAAGAAGCTCAGCGAAGCGCTCCTTCAGGGTCTAGGGAGCGAGAGACGGGTTAGTTCAATCGTCGCCAATGAAGGACTGCACCGAATGGCCGCAGCATTGAGGGCGCAGATGCGAAGCATCGTGGGCCTCTCAACCGCGAAGGGAGACCGTCGTACCTGGGACTTGGCCGAGTAGCAGCGAGCGGCCTGGAAAGCCGAAAGCCTGGTGTTGTTGGCCCGGAGCGAAGCTCGCAGGGCAGAGGAGCCGATGCGCGACACGGAGGCCATTGTGAAAGAGGATATTCAGGAGTATGAGGAACTGCTGAGATGGATAGTCGGGAGGGGGATGGAGAAGGAGAGGAAGTGAAAGGAGAACAGGTTGGCAGAAAAATGCGCATTCGGGGAAAAATACGGCGGAGCCAAGGTCGGCGTCCGGGTGCTGGCCTGGCGCGGCTTGCGCACCTTCACACCTCAGGAAGCCAGCCACCAAGGCCCCCCCCCCAAGCCTCACCCCCCTAGTGCTTGGGCAGGTCACACAGGTCAACCAAGCCTAGCACGGCCGTTCCGGGAGTCGCAGGGGGCGGCCTGAGTTGCATCACAGTGCCGCCGCCCACATCTGCCCTGTGGCAATCCACTCTCTCAACCAGCCCTTCCCCCCGATGGACGCTCCAGCTCAATGGACGTCATCTCATCGCCTGCAGCCTACCTACCGCTGGGCAAGGTTGGTAGTCCAGCGCGCATGGGAGCTTCGGGGCCGGCAGAGGACCCATTGACCGTTGAGCGCCTTTTCCGGTCCCATTGGACCGAGCCAGGATTCTGCCATTGAGGTTGGGACCGAGGATAACAAGCAAGCGAGGTCGTCAATAAACTGTTGGCAGCTCGTGCCTGTCCATCTTTCTTTTCAAGACCCTGTGCCGCCCCGAAGTACCGGGCGATGGAAGATTTGTGTAAAGGACGTGACAGCCAATGCGCCACATCTTCCACACAAACAGCAGAAGAGAGACTAGCTCTTGCGATCGGTGCTGGACCCTGGCGAGACATTTGGACGAGCGCGGTAGCGACGTGAGGACTGACCACCCAACGAGGCTTGCGCGCGATCTGATGCCGACACTGTGTATCGCTAATAACCGGCACGATTCGGAGTAATTCGCACGATCCTGACTCCAATCCGGACATACCCAAAACCTCATATCTTCATTCAGATCACATGAAGGAAGACGATGACCAATGTTCCGGGAATTCCGCTGATGTTTTGAATGCCTTCCGTTCATCCATGATGCATCGGCACCTCTCCAAGACCTCGGGCGTGAGGATGAAGAGCCCAGTGTGTGCTGTCACGAATGCTTGGCAGCGGGTACAACTTCGGGAATGAGGTGTTTCGACCTTGCTCCGTCTGACCTGCCGAGCCTGGGCAGGGCCTGCATCCAATGCATCTCTTACACATCAGAAAGGAACATAGCCTGGCTTGCGAGCATGTGGGTGGCCAGAAGTCATTCGGGCGGCCCGACGATCTGCCTCAACTAGCTTCCTTCTCTTATGGTTTAAATTTCGCAACAACCATGGACCGCACCGCACGGTGGAGAGATCTTAGATCCCCATCTTGCCGACAAAAAAATTCCTGACATAAACCGTGCTCGCGAACGACCCAGCAACAACAAGCAACCTGCCTGCCCGGCTAGCTCAATCGGTAGAGCGTGAGACTCTTAATCTCAAGGTTGGGGGTTCGAGCCCCCCGTTGGGCTCAATTCCTGACGCATCTCGCAAGAGACTTCAATTTTTGCCTCTCTTTTTGCTACCACAAACAAGCCTTGAAGCGCAATGTGTCATCCAAACGACTGAGCAAGTAACATCTCGACGAGGTATTTCATATGACCTGGCATTAACACCTGGGCTGTCTGTATTCCATTTTCCGCCGTTATCAAAGGATCTCTCTCAGCACTCGAGGCGGCGCCTTTGGAATGATTTTGTAAGGCCACGTGATCAAATGCATCTGCTAACCGCACTAGGCCGACCGAATCCCGGCGCATGGACCACTCGCTGATGAATGGAAAAAGCTGACACTGCAAATTTAACGCGATCAGCCACGTCTGTCCCGCCCCCAGGATTTAAACTCCAAACACTGTCACCTGCCTGACTTGCTCCGTCTCATCAATCTTCTACCTTCATCGCCAGATCCATCACACCCGACCATCGCTTCATCGTGCAGTCCGACCAGCGCGCCTGATGAGCTATTTCGCATCGACCATGCAGATCTACGCCATCTGCTGATCGTTATCATTCACACGTTGTATTCAATTCGTCGTGACACGACCAACTGGTGGTTCTCGCGCTTGGTGTGCAGTAGAGGGTCGCAAGTTGCAGGCTGCCCGACTTGCCGCACACACTCCTAGGCTTCGTCTGACGATTAGCTTGCATCTTGAACCTCTGAATCTTCGTCATCATTGCAATCGTCTGGTCCGACTACTAGTAAAGGCTGGACATTCTACTCTTCAGAGGGTACGTGATTGATAGCGAGCTGGTGAAGCGAAGCAGCGCGACAGCACGTGAGGAAAGAGCGTCCTAGCAGAGAGTAACTTCCACTATTTCCTCGTAACTGCCTTCTCAAACGGCAACTGCACCCTCTTGTCAGGCCCCGCTCCCAACCTGACCTTCCACTGCCTGCGGCGGGCTGTCACTCCCTTTTACCAAAGCACAAGATTTATCTACTCTTCGACAACACCATCTCCCTCCAGGACGTATTAGGACTGTGGCCTCCGCGAAACCTCGAAACACTGCTACCTAGGTAGCAACCAACTCCACGTCTCGTGCGAAACAGTAGCGCACGTACCCACGTCGCTGTAGCCGCGAGCGCTCTCGTTCGCGCCTGAGTCTACTCTACACTCTCGTATATCGTAACGAACAACCGTCGCGAATAAGGATCCGCCATGGCATCTGCTGTTGCTGAACTCGAGGCTGGCCTGCAGGCCATGTCTCACCTTAAGCCTCCTGGTGTATCTGGGTCTCGCATTTCCTCCATAACAGCGCTCTGCGTTGCCAGCGTTCAGGTACGGACTCTATGATAACCACGCTCATTTGTGAACCACATCTGTCCGGGTTGTTGCTGACTTCATCTCTCTCAGTCCGAATCTGTCTTGATCCAAAAGATTTACACACACTTCAAGAAGACAGCAGGCGACCACAAACTTGGAGTGCTATACGTTGTAGACTCGGTAACGCGCAAGTGGTTGGAACGAGCGAAATCCTCCGGCCAGGACGTAGATGGCTCCGCTACTGACGGAACCTTTGCTGCTGGCGTTCACCGCGTGACGGAGCTAATGCCCGTGTTGATGAATGATATTGTCCAGTCTGCACCAGAAAATCACAAGGTAAGCTGTTCCAGTGTATTCGGCGGGCCAGAGGCCTATCAGCAGATCGTAAGGCGTAGTGCCAGCTTGACAGTCGGAGACTGGTTCATTCAGAGATCTCTACCATTGAACGACGCGGAAGCAGCAGCAGCTGCTTACCCTAGATCTGCCATGAACCTATCTCTTGTCGTTTCGGCCTCGCGTCTTGGTGATGAAACACGGTTTCGCTACTTGTTCGACCATCCACTTACGTATTGTATCACATTGTAGGAGAAGATTTCGAAGCTTCTGGACATCTGGGAAAAGGGCCAGACCTTTCCCCAGTCCATGATTGACTCGTTCAGAACCAAGCTGGCCACTCCACCCGTCGCTGCGTTTGGTACGTAGAAGTCATGCCCGATGCCACGGCTGTCGCAGCCCTTTGGACGTCAAGCTGACCACCACACAGTCAAGTCCACGACCCCTGAGGGAAGTCCCCCTCCTGGTCTTCTTGCATTCCTTGGCCTGGCTCCTAGCAGCAACGCCGCCAAACCTCCTGCCGCCCCTCAGAGCAGCAATGCCATTATGGAGGCTCTAGCGAATATTGCACGAACAAACGGTCCTGCTTCACAACAGCATGTTCCCACGCCAGCCCATCCACCTCCAACTGCAGCCCCGGCCGCGCTGAACGGCCTGGCAGGACTTCTGAACACCATCAGCCAACGACAGCCAGCTTCTCATGCGACAAATGCCCTCCCGCCGTCCTACTCCGTGCCGCCGCCACCACCAGCCGCGGCTTCGGGTCCTGCTCCTCCCATGCCTTATTCTTATCCGCCCCAACCAGCCCACCTGCCGGCGCACAACCAGCAGGCCGCTCCGCCTGCGTTCTCTGGTCTCATGGGGACTGGTTATTCAGGCGTGCCCCCTCCTCCGACCGCGCCACAGGCGCTTACCCCTGATGTGCAGCAACAGGTCATGCTGATCAAAGCACTCGCCGAGCAAGGTGTGCCGTTCGACCAGATTCCGGCCCTTATCAAGACGATGCAGCAAGCCGGCGTGATGCCGCATCTAGGGGGCCCGGCCGCATCCGCGGCCCAGCTTCCCTATCCTGCTGCCTCGGCCCCGACGTGGGGCGCCGCGGCTCCTGCCACTAGCAATGGTCATGCGGATTCACGTGACCGCTACGGGTACAATGATGGCCAAAAATCCCCGGACCGGTATCCGAACCGCTCTCGATCCCGCTCGCCAGGTCGCCGATGGGAATCTCGTGACAAGGCCCGCAACGGACGCGACAACTTTGGGCACCGTCAAGAGGACGCAGGTCGCAGCTCCGAGTACCGTCAACGAAGCCCAGCTGGTCGTCGCGCCAGCCCTTCGGGACCGTCTCAGCACAGTCAGTACGAAAAATGGATAGAGTACGATCGGACTCTTCCTGAGGGCAAGATTCGCGTCTACAGCCGAACATTGTTTGTTGGAGGTGTCACGTAAGCCCAATACCCCGCAGTACAGAACCTAGCTCATCCGTTTCAACGCTAACATCAACCCTTGTTTAGATGTTCTGAGCCAGAGTTGCGCAATATCTTCACCCAGTATGGTCAGGTCCAGACCTGCATTGTCAATAAGGATAAAAGACACGCCTTTGTTAAAATGTTGACACGGAAGGATGCCGAAGCTGCCAAAGAGGCGCTCGAGTTTCCACAAGGGCCCGAGGGCTTGCAATTAAGGGTACGTTCAAGTCAGGCCTCAACTATCTTTTCGCGCTGACCATCATGGCAGACTCGTTGGGGTGTTGGATTCGGTCCTCGGCAATGCAGTGATTATTCTACAGGCATCAGCATCATCCCCATCAGCGAGCTTACGGAAGCAGATCGCAAGTGGATGCTGACAGCTGAATACGGCGGCAGCGGTGGAAAACCCATCGAGACTGGTCTCGTGGTCGAAGAACCCGACATCGAGATTGGTGCTGGCGTGTCGTCCAAGGCTATCAGTCGCCGGATGCAGACCGACAAGGGTGGAAGCCACGGACCCAAGTCGTCTCACGTTGATGATCGATGGCGGCGAAAGAATGGTGGTGGTCATGGCGGTCGAGATCGTCGTGATGACATGAAACTCTCTGGCGCCAACTCACAGCCTGTTGCGAACAACCAGTTCGTGCAGGGCAACGGCTTCAACGGTTTGCCAACTGCACCTCCGAACTACGGCGGATGGCAGCAGAATAGCCAGTAACCTGTTATTGCAAAGTGAATGGTGAAGGGTGCAGGATGCCTATAATGGCTCCCACCAAAGCACGGAGCATGAAGGGAAGGCACGGCGTTCAATGGGGGAGGCTCGGCTTGAATTTCTAATTATGATACCACCGGAAAGGTTGAGAGGAAGCCACTCGCATAGCACGTAGGTCTGAGGCAGGGGTCTCGAAGCCGAAGAATCAGAGCTATGAGAATGTTTGTGCAGGATACTGAACTTGGTTGGAGCAGGCGATTCAGTCCAGTCGAAGACGAGACGTGGAAGCCTGTGTATTTTGTGTAAGTGATCAGTGTTCTCTTGCTTTCTTGAGGGTAATTTGGGCCGCAGGCTCAAATCATGGCTATCGTAGGCAACAATGCGTTCAACTCAAACAGAGCTTAGTATAGAGCCAGCGCTACTGTGTATGCTTTGTAGTGTGAATTTTGTGTCAGGAGAGTGAAAATGGGTATCTGGATTAATAGCAAACGCCGTATAGCCTGGTAAACGTCATGCAAAGAACCTATAGCCTCATCCCCTAAGACCCTATCAGAGCCCAAGCCATGTAGAAATCAAATGATACATCATTCAGGAATATCAAAACCCCCGCCGCCTTGCCCCTCTTCCAGGCGAGACGGGGTTTACTCTTCCTCATACTCGAAATCCCAGTCCTGAGCCTCCAACGGATCGTCGAGCTTAACGCCTTCCATCGCGAGCTCGAGCTGCGTCGACTCGGGGAGGGCCCGAAGGTCTAGGACTAACGCCTGGTTGCGCTGGTGCTGCTGGCTCAGGGGCGGAGATGCGGGATCCAGGCCGCGGTGCCTGCGCACGCGACCCGAGCTGCGGAACATGGTCTGGTTTTCCTGCTGCTTGGCGTCGGTGGCGGCGAGCAGCGGCTGGTTGTGATCGCCGTCCTTGTGGAGCTCGCCGCGGTAGAAGCCGAGGGCGGCGTAGGCGGGTCCCTGGACGGCGCCTATGCACCTGTTCTGGTGGATCTGGAGATTGCCCTGCGCTATGTAGGCCCGGGCTCGATCGATGCCCGACTCCGACTCTGTCCCGGCAGGGGGTGGAGGGGTGGGATGGGGTGTGAAGTTCTTAGGCACCCGGATTGACCGCGCTGTAGTGTGGACAAGGGACTGCGTTGCTGGAGGGATTTGGATGTACTTGGCAGGCTGGTCGTCGGCCTTGTCGACGGACAGCAGCGAGACGCGTCCGCTTGCATCGCCAATGGCGAGTTTCGCACGGTTCGGCGAGAAGACGCCGGACGAGATGGGAGCGTCGACCTGTAAAAGATCGCGAACGAGAGGCTTCTTACGGTTCCTAATGTTCCACACTTTCACCATGCCGTCGGACCCTCCAGTGTAAAGCCGGTCTTGTGATGTTCCCCAGGCAGTAAATTTGACGCCTGTATCGTCGTTTCCGACGTCATCACCGATGGGACTGCCATGCCGAAGCACGTGGATGGGGTTATCACCGCGTGCAGTGTCCCAGACATAGACATTCCCGTCCGTAGCTGCAGCCGTGATGTAGCAGCAGGACAGACTGCAAGGCATGATAGTGAGCTCGTTAATGTCGGAAGCCGGACAGTCGAGGCACTGGACCTCGTTGAACGCGCCATACAGCTCCGGCACATCTGCGGGTGTAAATATACGAATCTGCGTTTTGACGCGGTCGTCAAAGTGCTTGCCAAATGGTGAGCTCGCCACTATGAAACAGGGCTGAGTCGGATGCCATGCGACCTCGAACACATTCTGGGATGAGCCTGTCATGACTTTGACACTTTTGCCCGTTTTGCAGTTCCACAGGCAAATCTCGCCCGAGTTCCGCTTTTCGAGAGGGATGTCGTTGTCGTCCCCAGTGATGCTGCGAGGCGAATAGCCGACAAGGAGAAAGTGTTGTACGTCCTTAGCTATGCCCCACCGCATGGTGGCTGGGTAGTAACTCCATTTCTGAGGAGCTTGCGTTTCTTTGTCGTCTTCATTCCACGCCCGCGTCCCGGACAGTGGAATGTAATCGCTCATCGAGATGTCTTTGTCGTTAACGGCGTACAATCTCACGGCCTCATGGGGAACGTCGGCTGCAGTAGCCACCCACCCAATTTGCTTGGAAACTTCGACAAAATTAACGTGGCCTTTATGCGGCCAAGTACCCAGACAGTCCATCCGAGCGCCGAACTTATCGACCTTCCAAATTTTGACCGTCTTGTCAAAGCTTGACGTGTAAGCCCGGTCACGCGTGGCGTCATATGTCGAAGAGACGACAGATGCATACAGCCACGGGTCTTGACTCTCTCGCATAGCTTCGGTAGAGTTCTCGCCGCTCTCGATAACGGGCCGAGGAAATCGGTGGTCCGCATATGCTTGGAGCCTGCTGTCGGAGGGAGAATACAGAAGCAAGTTGCCAGGCTTGTTGTATTGCTGGTTATGGGAGTCAGAATGGGCAGTAGCACCGCAAAGAAAGCTGTGGTCCGAGACCCAGGTGATGGTCATGATATCGCCAGCGCAGTTGTTCCAATCACCGCGGGATTCAAGTTCGTCCTCAAGAGCCTTCCTAAACTCATTGGTGAAGTTGACCAGCTTGCGGGTCCTGCCAAACCCACGGTTGCCATCGACCTCGCGCGCGAACAGCAAGGACGGTATACGGCAGGCACGGACTCTAGCATTCTGTTCGTCGAGCTCGTCGAGCTCGAGACGCGTAGCTACCTTGTGTCGATTGACCCTGTTTGCAGCGGCGTCCTCGAAGAAGTTGCTGATCGACACCTGATCCCTCCTTGAGAGGCCGTCCTTCAGAGCAAATGTGTTGGCGAGTTGGCAAATGTGTTCCGGATGCTTCCTAGCAAATCGCCGTATCTCTCGCAAAGCCATCTTGCCGCTCTGAGGCTGCCGTGCCAGGTATTTGCGCACTGCTTGCCGAGCAACCTCAACTTCCTCTTCTGTAAAGTCAACATGGTATGGCCAGCAGACGGTTTGCTTTCGCTCCTCGAGAGGAAGATGAATGAGCTTCGCAGCTCCTGCTTGTATAGATCGCCGTTCCTGCAATGCCAGGTATGGGCGTTTGGGAAGAGACGCCCACGCCCCAGTGCCCTTGTTACTGTGCCGTGCAGTGCCATCCTTAGATGCTCGCTCTGGCTTGACCGATCTCTTGTATTTCCAGGCCGTTGCCCTTGCGTGCGATCGAAAACCTAGCGGCGAGACGGGGTTCGTTCCGAACGCTGGACGGAGCTTAGTGTTGGAGACACTTCTCTTAAGTGGTGTGGTAATCTTCGGTAGCAAAACATCCTGCGTCTTTGCGGTGGATGGCAGGTGCGTCGGCTGCACATGAGTCGGGGTTTGGGCTGGTGTTGAATGTTGGGCGAGTGCAGGAGGATGAGAGTGCGCAATTGGAAGGCGTACGTGTTGTCCCGCAGTTGCTGCGACCTGCCCCGACACCGCATGTGGTCGACTATGGTCTGGGGCGGCGCAAGACTCTCGAGGTTTTGACAGCGGTTGCCATCCCATCACGGCTCCCTGGGGTTGCCGATTCGGTGTAGGTATGATTTGTTGGGGTATGGTCGACGCAGAGCGCGAAGAATGTCCGTTGGTATTGGTTGAATGTCCATACGACTAATTCATTGTCAGACACAACCTACACAATAGAAAGTGGGCGTCAAGAGGTAGAAATAGCGTGGAAAGGGGGGGGGGGGGGTAAAGGGAAAGATATGGAAGGAGGTCCGTACAGGATCGCCCATAAGGGTGTTGACATGTTCACCAACCTCCGTCTGCAGCTGAGCTTGGTACTCCGGAGAAAGATAGCCTCGCGATGCATGATACTGCGCGAGGAACATGGTGTCGGCAGCGAATACTCGGATTATCTGTTTGTATGCACCATAAGCCTTTGTTTGCACGAGGAGGAAGGAGGGGCACTACCTTGTTCCCCAGTTTGCGCGTGTCGAGTAGGTCATCAAAAGCCGGCTCGATAGCAGCAAAGCTGTCAAATTTACGGTCTAATGCCGTAATGACGTATCTCTTGATGCAGTCATTGAGCGATAGAGGAGGTTCTGGCGTCGGCTGCGGCTGCGGACGTGGCTGCAACTGTGGGAGTCGCGATGCGATCGCAACACGCTGCCGTTTGGCGGGCCGTTCTTCGTGGCCATTGTCTCGGGTTACGACGTGCGGGCTGGATGGGGGCGAGTCTCCCGTCAGGTCGATCACCACAGACTGAGGTTGTTGTTGGACTCGTTGATGGTGCTGTTGTGGCAAGCTTGGGTCTTGGCCAGTCTGTTTCGTAACAGCATCTGCGTTCTGTGGCTGGCCACCGATTGCGGTCGGCGCGTCCATCGCCATCTTCATGGCGCGGTCACGCGCGATAGGCTCACCTCACTGACGTTGTAGGGTTTGTAGAAGGTTAGTACCGAAGGGGGATTCCACTATTACTCCTCCTTCTCAACGCTAGCTTGAAAAGCACGGACCCAAGGGCAGAAACGTATGATTTTCTCTGCTAAGTACTTACTAGAATGAGAGCTATTATTTTAATTTACTAAAAGTAAGGACTAAAAATAGAATACTTATACAATATATAGATATAAGTATAGTAGATACTATCTATTTAATTAATCTTTATTATTAATGCCCTAATTCGGGGCCCTTCTTAGTAATTATTCATAGTAAAGTATAGTACAATCAATCCATTTTATCTAAAACATAGCATATTTTCGCACATCTCAATTACTTATTGCAATCGGAGTGATGAAGTAGCGGAAGCGACTATCAATTTCACTCTAAGCTTCTGTGAATTGAGTTGTTGCGTTCATATTAGTAGTATTAGACATATTGCATCTACCAGATGCAAAGTCGTTATACCTGAGTACAAGAACTGCATTTATTCTTAAACTATGACCTAGAACCAATGTATGTAGGCTTTATCCTTGTGTGACTAAGGTACAATTGCATGTATGAAGCGCATGTCAACTTGATCGTTGCAAACAATGGGCAGTACACAACCTACCTACCCGATACTAGGTACTACGAAAGAGAGAGGGCTGGGAAATCCAGTCTTCCTAGGAGTCATCTTTAAAAAAAGACAAGAGACAATCGATACACAAACTGATCTATTATAAAGGTATATGCGTCAGGTCTTGCCATGACGTCAGTCCGTGTCGCTGTCTTAGTAGTCACCTAATCCTTGACCTTTTTGGATGAAGCACTAGCATATGAACTTTTATCCTCTCTAGATCCCTTTTCTAGGCCAAATATATATCGACAGGCTTTCGACCCTCGTCGAGAAACTACAATATGACACTAGCTACCTTATGCTTTGGCAGCGCCACAGCCCGCGTGGTCGTACAAACCCCACCCAGCTGTCACGTAGCATTTTCGCGTCGCGTGCCACGGGTTCGACTCGTTTTATTCTCAACGACCAGAAGGTGAATACGGGCATGTCTGGCATAACCTTTCTGATGCAAGAAGCTGTAGAGACAGTAATTAATCGCTACCATGCGATAGTACATTGAATTACTCCCGACAGGTAGCCACGGGGGCGCATTGTGTGAGAGAGCTCGTGACTAGAATTGGCCTGACTGACGAAATACAGGGGCACCGATATTAAACTTTCACCCTTTGACGATCTCAAAGCCCTCCATACTGTCTAGTGCTTTGCGTATCTCAACCTTATACGCAGGAATACCACCCGAGTAGCACACAGGTTCAACCTTCTTTCCGGGTATGCTTCCGCCCATGTAGGTAGATCGCGTCGTCGGGAACAACGTCCCGTTGTTCAGCTCAAGGATGTGCTCCTTCCACTTGTCAGCGGCCTCGGGCTTGGGATTGATGTACCGAATATCATTGTGCTGCAGCTTGTCAATCATGTCAGCGATCCAGCGGCCTTGAACCTCGACTGTCGACGGGCCGTTGCTCAGGAGGGTTGGACCGTGGACGCCGTAGATGTGGAACATGTTGGGATAGCCGCTGACGGTGGTGCCGAGGTATGTCTTGGCACCGGGGACCCATTCTTCCTGGAGCTTGTTGCCATCGATGCTCTCGAGGCCGAGCTGCGTCATGACTATGGGGACTGTCAGTACGTAGCTTCTCAAACGGATATGCCTCGTGCTTCAGTGGGGTCGAAATACCTCCTGTCACGACATCCTGCGCATCCAAGTCAGCTGGGATACATGTCTCTTGAACGGACAAGGACTTACAAAGCCGGTGGCGATCGCGATGACATCGAATTCGTGATGTGTCCCGTCCTCGAGGGTGATTCCTGTCTCGGTAAACTCCTTGATGCCGTCCTTGCTGATATCGACTAGATCGACCGAAGGGCGGTTGAACTGCTCAAAGTAGTCATGCTCGAGGCAAGGTCTCTTGACACCGAAGTAGTGCGGCATGACCAAGGGCGCAAGCAAATCCCTCAGGCGAGGGTCTCCGATGCGCGCCCTCGTCTTCTCCGCCCAGAATGCATAAGACGCCTCATTGGCCTCAGGGTTGAACAGGTTGTCCTTGTAGAGCGCCACCCAGTACCGGAAGCCGCCCTCTGCCCAGACTCGCTCGTACGTGGCCTCGCGCTGCTCAGGCGTGTCGTCAAAAGTGTTTTTCTCCAGCCAGTCGTAGTGAAACCCGGCAAAGCTCGTCTCGCGTAGCTTAAACAGTTCCGGGTACACGACCTTGGCGCGCTCTTGCTCGGCGACTGTGAGCTGGCGGCGCCGCATGGGCACAGCAAGGTTCGGAGTACGCTGAAAGACAGTAACCTGGCCGGCCTTGGGACCCCAGTTCTGGACAATTTGAACGCCCGAGGCGCCGGTACCGATGACAGCACAGCGCTTATTCTTGACGTTGACCTCTTCGTCGGGCCAGAACGAGGAGTGGTGGACCACGCCCTTGAACTTATCCATGCCAGGCCAGTCGGGAATGTAGCGTCGGGCGGCCTTCACACCAAGTCAGCATCGAGGGCACGATGAATGTGAAGCATTGGAGACTCACAAAGCCAGTGCCGAGGACGAGGAAGCGGGCTTTGGTCACTCGGCCATCCGCCGTGCGAACGTTCCAACGGCCGGTGGCAGTGTCAAAGTGAGCACCCACGACAACCGTGTTGAAGGCGCAGTCCTTCTTGATGCCGAGGACCTTGTCGACATGGTCAAAATAGGCTCGAAGTTCGTCGTACCTGGGGTAGTTGCTCGACCAGTTCCAGTCCTTCCAGACCTCAGGCCACGAAAACTCGTACTCTGGGACCTCCGAGTCAACGCCGGCGCCAGGGTAGCAGTTCCATCGCCAAGTGCCGCCGGTGTCGTTGCCAGCTTCGAAGATCACAGAATTGTAGCCCCGATCGCGGAGAGTCTTGAGCATGAAAATGCCAGCTGGGCCCGTAGGCATCAGCATGGGTGTACGGTCAAAATCCGGGGCCAAGTCCACTTACCGAACCCGGCACCGACGATGAGGGCATCAACTTCCAGGTTCTCGGCGTATGGCCCGGTTTTCTCAGCATGTTGGGAAGAGTAGTCAGTCAGCTCTGTGTTGAACTTCTTACGGTCGGCAAGTGGTTCGCCCATGATTCATAGAGGTTTTCGAAGATTCGCTTGCGTAGTATTCGAGTACGGATGTTTCTCAGCTAAGTCGTGTAGTGTTGGTCCGCTTGCTCTCGACTGAATACCAACTTGGCGAGCATTCTGACCCTTTCATTTATACCTGCCTTTACCAGGCAAGTTGCTTGTGCCAAGCGAGCTCGTGCCCGCTGCCTTCATGACACAAATGCCCATCGCGGGGTCATTGCGTCTCCGTAGCACCGAGAGTTTCCTTGTTGCGATACTCGCATTCTGCAGTGATACTGTTGCGGACGGCTTGCCGCAATATGACAACACTTTCGGTGGATCCCATTCGCATCGCCAGCCGCAGAAAGCCAACGCTCCCGGTGGATCTCATGCGCGATGTCTACCGCAACCCACGCGGCTGCGGCTCCCTCTGTCCGAGGTGTTGCGGAGCTGGCGCCGCACGCTTTGCCCATTGCGGTAACAGTGATTTCGTGTTGGTGTCACGAGTCAGTGATGCCGCGTCGTTGTGGGCGTTTTGCGGGGGTTAAGTCTGGAGTTGTGCGGGGGAATTGTTCGAGGATGCGTCTTAGTCTCGTAGTGTGATATTGTTGGCCTGGTGGTATATATTTCGACTTTTTGCGAATCCGCGAGGATGACGTTGAAAGCGTTGCTTCTATAATTCTTTCTTCTCCGTTGACCGCTTACTTCACGCCACTTGTGCACACTCTTTCCCTTAGGAGTTCGTCCCTTGAACATGCCTTTTGAAACGAAAGCCGTCGAGCGCCTCACAGCAATCGTCGATAATGCCTGCGCCGACACAAAGTCTGACATCCCAGGCGCCACGGTTGTCATAATCGGCAAAGACGGAAACGAGCTCTTTGCCCACGCGGCAGGAAAACGCGGCGTTGCTTCCAATGACCCCATGGCTCTCGAATCAATATTCTGGATCGCCTCTTGCACCAAGCTCCTCACCGGTATCGCCTGTATGCAGCTCGTTGAAGAGGGCATTTTGAAGCTCGATGATGGCGACCACCTGGAGAAGTTGTGTCCAGAGCTTAAAGACCTCAAGGTGTTGCGGGCTGACGGCTCGCTTGAGGCTAAGAAGAGGAGTATCACATTGAGAATGCTTCTTACGCACACGGCGGGTTTCGGATATACCTTCTTCAACGAGCGACTCAGAGACTGGGCATTTCCGGCAGGAGTGGATGAGTTCTCTGGCCGGTTTGAGGACATGAAGACGCCTTTGCTCTTCCAACCTGGCGAGGGATGGGAGTATGGCGTCAATATCGACTGGGCGGGTGTAGCGCTGCAGCGGGCGACAGGCCTGACGTTGAACGAATTTCTGCAGAAGAGGCTGTTTCAACCGCTCGGAATCGTCGACATGTCGATGATCCCCGGTGAAGACATGCGTTCAAGGCTGGCGTACATGCATCAGAGGGATGCTGATGGCACGCTGAGGCCGAGAGACCATCTCCAGCGATTGCCATTGGTGATCGACCCCAACAACAACGACGAGGTCGCCAGCGTATTCAACAGCGGTGGTGCCGGCATGTTCGCGAGACCGCAGGAGTACTGCAGTGAGTTCACCATCCAGTGAGCGGACATTCAGCACGTATTGTACTAACGGCTGCCGCACAGAGGTCCTGGCTGTTCTCCTGAATGATGGCACTTGCGCACGGACTGGAACCCAGATACTGCGCAAGGATACGGTCGATGAGATGTTTCGTAACCAGATCCCCGAGTTTCCCAACTACAGCCGCCAAGGGATTCCGGCGGCAAAGCCTGACCTCACACTTCCCCTGGGCGAGTTGTATCCGACGGCCGATAACGCGCCTCAGGGTTGGGGCATCACGTTTATGATGCCAAATGCAGACGCAACTGGAAGGTCAAAGGGCACAGGACATTGGGCTGGATTGGCAAATCTGTGGTGGTGGTGTGACCGGGAGAAGGGCATCGCTGGCATGGTGGCGACGCAGCTGCTGCCGTTTGCTGATGGCAAGGTGCTGAATCTGTGGGTTGGGGTTGAAGCTGCGGCGTATGAAGCTCTTCGGGCGTGATGATGTGATGGTCGACGACTCTGCTCAGGTCGGAAGTCAAGAAAAGAGTTTGTCTTAATCTTCAATGCTTTAATACCGATGATTCTCAGTGAACAGCGAGCCATACGTGTGAGACGGCCTCGGTCGGTCAAGATGGTGGTTCTAGTCCCGTTGGCAACGGTGAAGCGCTGGTGATGAGGCCTCGGCACCGCGAAGAACGGCAAGTGGTAACCACTGCACCTGCCCCCTTCCCCGAGATAGCTACCTGGGTAGAGCAAGTGCAAAGAAGAAACAGGAACAGGGCAGGTCCTAGTACAGTAGCTCCTGGGGGGGTTGTCCTGGAGGGGTTGTCCTGGAGGGGCCTACCGAGGGTGGGTCCGGGGTAGCGGAGCCAAAATGCGGGGGTGACAACTCGGGCGGGGACCGCAGGTCATGCCTGCCCCCGTCTTGCGTCTCCCTTATCCACTCCTGCCTTCCTCCCCTGACTTGGTGGGATGAACCCTACTCGCCTCTTTTCGTCTGTCCCCCTTCGCATTTTCACTGCCAAGAGTAACAGGATCCCACCTTGCTCTTGGGGATGCGTAAATATCACAACGCCTGCGACCAATGTCGCAAGTCCAAGAGGGCTTGTGACGTTCCTCGACTCGTACTGCCAGAGCAGACCTCCGGCAGTGCCATATCTCTCTTAGACCAGGGTCTCCAACGTGAGTGCCTCACATCCCTCAATGAACCGGACTCCAAACATGCCGCACACAGTTACTCCCTATCCCAAGTTGTAATGCTCATTGCTGATTTATGCTCAGCACCCAAGGTTCGACCTTGTTCCTACTGTCAAAAGACGAACAAGACGTGTACCGTTGAATGGGCATGGTCACAACTCAAAGTTGCCGGTGCTATTGAGGCAGCCTCTCGCGGTGACCTTGGACTCGACCATGCAAGCCGCCTTCCACAAACAACACCGACAGAACCATTCGCACATAACGAAACATGCCCTGGACAGGTGGCAGGCGAGGTTTCGTGGCAACGGACCAACCTCCAAACAAGTCTTCCCGCTGACCCAGCTGTGGCCTTTATCGATCTAGACGAGCCTCTCAACTTTCCCACCCAGCCGCCAGACATGCTACTAGTGAACTTCGAGGCGAGCCTTTACGCAGGGATGCCTGAGCCCGTCGACACTGCGACCACAGAAACCGATCCTGCGGCATCAGGGACGCTTGAAGTACTATTCCGGGAGTCCTCGGCCGGCCACGTACCTTTCGTCTGGCCTCCACCGCTACCAGACATTGATTGTGACGCCCGCGTCAGCGTTTCCGAGTCGACAGAATTCACCAATCCCTTCGAATACTCACCTCAAGACTTGACTTCATCGCCCCTCTTTTCAGAAATGTCTGATCTTCCAGCAGAAATACCAGGGGAGAGAGCACACAAGCGCCGGAGACGGAACCGCCGGCCTTCGAGCCCCTCCCTGTCCCCCTTTTGCGCCTCCAACGCCCTTGTCTCCAGAACCAACAGCGGCTTCATTTCGACCAATCTTCTCCAAATTTACCACGACGTGCTCGAACACAGTCTCTCCTGCTGGCTCACCGAAGTGACATGCCCTTACAAAGGCGCCCGCGGCAGGGACGAAGGACGCAGACTCGCCGAGTGGGGGCCTTCGTGGTCAAACCGCATATTTCACCGAACTGTTCAACTTGACCGCGCTGCGCAGACCGCGGGTCTGGTGAGAATGACGGCATTAGAAGGCCGGTCTGCGGACAGAGCGCTCCATTTTGCCATCATGGCGTTTGCAACGCAGTGGGCGCAGGGAAGTCGGCGACAAGGCGAAACCTATCCAGTCCCACGCTTTGCCTCACCGCATGAGACCTTTGACGAACTTGTCGAGGAGAGCTTCGATCGGGACCTGCAGCGATACTTTTGGAACCAATCCAAGAAGGCCCTGCAGGAGACGGAATACATCGAGTGTTACAGGGTCGCAGCTGCTGAGATGGTCCTCAGTCTCGCGCAGAGGCCATGGGCGCAGGATGACGTCGATGACTTTCTCGGCGAGCGTGAGCGTGCGCGAACTCTGGATGGTGCCTTCGAGACAGGGTCAATTATGTCGAGAATCGCGTGCGCCATCTCGAGGGACGGCCCTCCCGTCCATATTGAGAGGGCTACTCGAAAGATGCACATTCTCAAGTCTCGCTTCATTTCAGCTAGCCAAAAGGCAGCCAAGGCACAAGGGCGCACCGCGACCCAAGCCATGCATATCATGACACCCGAAAACGAGACGACAGTCGGATTACTCTACTGGCTCGCTGTCATGTTCGACACGCTCTCCTCGTCCATGGACGAGCGTCCTGTGACGGTGACGGACCAAGACTGCCAGCACGACGACCTCCCGCCCAGCGAAGCAGAAAATGACAGGTGGCATGTCGATCTCTTCATCAAAGATACGCTAGAGGCGCCCTCTCAGCGCCTACGCTGGCCGTGCTCCTACGAAGACGCCGCCGAGGCCGTGACACGCTCCGGTCCCGTCAAGGTCCTACTGTACCGTCACGTCTCTTACCTTCAGACCCTCCTCCGGCGCGGTCAAGCGGGCGCGCGCATCGAGGAGACTCTCGCGGCCACGACTTCGCTCTATCGATACTGGAACGTTACGCACGGCGCCTTCTTCCGCGACCTGCTGCGCGACTTTGACGCCGTGCCTGGTCGCATACGGAGCTGGTTCTTCTGCATCTCCGCCCACTGGCACCTCGCTGTGCTCATGTTTGCCGACCTCGTCGAGCAGATTGACGACGAGGGCCTCGGTCTGCCGTCAGCGGGGCGCAGGCGCGCCGCTGCCAGGATGGTGGCCGCCATGCGGGAGACGAGCGTCAGGGAGCTGGCGGACCTGGCGGGCGTCGCGACACCCCGAGCGGCGGGCACGGAGCCGCACCTGCCGGGCTTCCACCACGCCGTCAACGAGGGGACCGTCCTCGCCGAGCCGTGGACCATAATCCTCATTAGGGCCTTCTCGCGGGCGGCGGTGCTGATCATGGAGGAGGCGGACAACTATCGACGGTACGGCCTGGTGCGGTCGTGGGGCGGGCCGCATGAAGGCTGGAACAGCCTCGAGCGCGCTGACGACTGCATCCGGACGCTTTTCTACCTGGGGAAGAAGTCGGACATGGCGAGGCGCGTGGCTGATATCCTCTCCGACGCGCTGGCGTCTCTCCGTCTCGCCGACGACGGACCACCGCTCGGTGGCCATGGGGGCGACGGCGCGGCCGGCCGAGGCGGCGGCAGCAGCACATCGCTAGGAAGCGAGGGCAAAACGGCGGCGACTGGGGGTTCCTCAACCGAAAGCTGGACGGCGGCGACGGAGAGCGATCTCGCGTCTTCGGGCGGTTGGGGTGAAGCGGGAACGTACTGGAATGTATCATCATTAGGGGGTGCCGGTTTGGCGATTTGCGGTTGAATCAGGGCAGGTGCTGGCGCATATGGCAATGGGGTAGGACAAGTCAAAATGCAGAATACTTGTCATCATGACGAACAGCTCAGATCTTCCGACACTGTCATGTGTATTTGTATTTTGCACAGCACAATCTGGGTTGCACAAGACAAGCAGAACCATGACGACGAATATGAATGTGCCAATCGAATGGCGAGACGCTCAAATTTCAGACTATGATCGGATATGATACAAGCTTCAGCAACTTCCGACATACGATATCGGTCATGACGGCTCCGTTGCAGCCAACTCCATGGCGACACCACGCGCCGCTTACAGCTTGGCCTTAGTCGAGGTCTCGGCCTCAACCTCGACGTACATGCGGTCAATCTCGGCGCGGAAGGCCCTGGCCGTCTGCGGTCTCTTGAGCTTGAGCCTGCATCGACATGATTAGTAAAAGTCTTCTGGGCAAGAAAGCACGCGAGTACATACGTCGGTGTCAGGAGCTCATTGTCGATCGTGAAGGGGTCGATGGCCAGGTGAATGGCGCGCACGCGCTCGTAGCTGTTGAACTTGTGGTTGCGGCCAATCTTGTCAATCTCGGCGAGCAGCGCCTTCTTGACCTTGGGGTCCTGCGCGGCGGCCTTGAGGGCGGCCGTGTCGGCCTTGTCAATGGTCTTCTTGAGCTGCTTGCTCGCAAATGGTGCAAAGTTCTCGGGGTCGATGCCAAAGACGGCGACGAGCGTGGACTGCTGGGGATCGCCGTGGACGTAGGCCGTGGCGAGAAGGCTGGAGCTGCCGAGGTAGACGTTCTCGATGCGCTCGGGGGAGATGTACTCGCCCTGGGAGAGCTTGAGGACGTTCTTCTTGCGGTCGACAATCTTGAAGCGGCCGAGGCTGTCGACCTCGGCAATGTCGCCCGTGTGGAACCAGCCGTCGGCGTCGATGGTCTTGGCCGTCTCCTCGGGGTTCTTGTAGTACTCCTTGAAGATGTTGGGTCCGCGGAGAAGCAGCTCGCCGCGAGGGTTGGGCTTGTCGGTGACGTTGTACTCCAAATCGGGAACGGACTCGAGGCAGATCTCGTTGCAGTAGCAAGGGGCGCCAATGTTACCGGTGGAGAAGTCCGTCTTGTGCTGGACAGAGGACACGGCGTACGACTCGGTGAGACCGTATCCCTGCATGAAGTTGTTGCCGAAGGCAGCGCGGAGGAACTCCTGGACCTCAGGGTCGAGCTGAGCACTGCCGCTGATCATGCTGTGAGCCTTGGTGAGACCGACGGCAGCCCTGACCTTGGGGGTCCAGATCTTGTCGTAGAGGAAATGCGTGTTGTGGGCCTTGCCAGCGGGCAGCTTCATCGAGGCCTTCTTGGTGTCGATGGCGCGGCGAGACAGAGCGCCCTTAAAGCCATCGGCCTGAACTGTGGCCACCTTGATAGCCGAGTTGAAGCGGTTGAAGAGACGAGGCACGGAGATGAAGCCGGTGGGCTGCAGAATCTTCATGTCTTCGACGAGGCCGAGAACATCGCCGCGGAAGAAGCCGATGCTGGCACCTTCTGCCAGGGCAATGGCGTCAATCATGCGGCCGTAGATATGAGCCAGAGGCAGGTAGGACAGGTGGATGTCGACGTGAGAAACGGTAGAGAAGGCCCTGCCGCCGGACACGGCAGCGACGGCGTTGGCATGGGTCAAGACAACACCTTTGGGGAGTCCGGTGGTGCCAGATGTGTAGTTGATGGTCTGGAGATCCTCGGGGCGAGGGGGGTGCATGGGGCGGCCAGAGCGGAGACCAATGGCCTCGACATCGGCCATGGAGTAGATCTTGATGCCAAGGTTGGCAGCAATGTCGGTCAGGACGGAAAGCTTGGAGTGGCCGGCCTGTTCACCGGCATCGAGGGCATCGAGCGAGATGAGGGCCTTGAGGGTGGGCAGTCTCGGGGCGAGCTTCAGGAGGGTGGCAATGTGCGGCAGCGAGGTGACGACGGTGGTCAGCTCGGCGTGGTTGATGATGTACTCGGTGGTCTCGGGACCCAGGGTCTCGTAGAGAGACACGGTGTATAGAGACTGCGAGGCAGCAGCGAGATCTGGAAGTGGGGATCAGCATTTCTGTCACACTTTTCCCATGCATGGCACTCCGTGTCTCTCGTCATTGCAACGTACCGGTGATGTGCCACTCGGGGCGGTTCGGCGACCACAGGCCGACACCGTACTTCTCTCGAGTCTCACCGAGCTCGCGGTGGACCTCAACGAGACCAGCGCCAAAGTTCTTGCGGCGCTCAGCGACCTCACTGTAGGAGATCCAGGTGTACTTGTTCTCCCAGTCGCGCGTCGCCGGGTCCCAGGCACGGTGGCCGAGGCAGCGCCAGTTGGGGTACTTTTGAGCGGCAGCCTCAAAGGTGTCGTGCATGGTCTGGATGTTGGGGTCGAGGGTGGTCATCAAAGGACCATCGCGAGCGCGCCAGTGACGGTAGATGGCGGAACGACCCTCCTTTTCGGAGCCCGGGATGGGGAGGCCATAGGGAGAGCCGGGCGGCGGGGGCGCAGACAGCTTCTTGATGAGCGCGGCGGTGTCGACGGCGGGAGCCATGTTGGCGAGGTCGTGGTGATGGGATGCTGAGGGAGGGGCCTTGGGGAGGAGGAGGAGGGGATGGTCGCAGACGGAGCGAGGGGAGCACAATGGCCGCGGATGGGTGCTCAGTTGTATCGAAAATGGAAAAGATACAGGAGGAAGAAGAGGACGAGGGTGGGCTGGGCGACGATGAATGGAGGGCTTCTCGACCTGGAGTTGAGGATGGGAAGGACAGAGATGAAATGAGGAGAAAGGCTCCAGAGGCTCGGACTGCTTTCCTTGGACGACGTGAAGGCCGAGGAGCTCAGGACCAATCCTCAGCTGTGCCTCGGCACCTCCACAGTGGGCCTGTGGGCGCCCCGCCACAGCCTGGGGTTTCCGCACTGCGCCCTGTGTGACTACAGCAGAGTAGCCGTCGCCCTAGGCCCAACCTGGTACGCGTTCCCCGTGGCAAACCGAGGCGCTGTCTCTGGTGCGAGGTGCGCGAGGAGGAAGATGAGAGATCAGTCGTTGCGAGCTCGCCATGCTGGAATGCATGTCGGCATGCATGTCTTGGTGTTTGCATGCATGTCTTGTGCTGTCATGTTTGGCATGCGAGAGGCACCGCCGGAAGCTAATGGCTCTACAGCAGTCTTCAGCACTGTACTTAGGTACCCTCAGTGATGTTACCCCTTAAGCCGCTCCTGACATGCTGACCTTGAGTGCCGCCTTAGGTCATGCGGCCCAGATCACCAGGATGCTAGGTACCTACCAGGGACCGTTCTGCTGACTACTACAGGCACACAAAGAAGATAGACTCATTCTCAACCTTCGCTCAGCTGACACGAGATGCCTCTCGATTCGCCTGCTCAATGCCAACTGCTCTCACCTCAGCCACCGCTGTCTTTCCGATCCTCAACTATCCAACAGCAAATGAGAGAAGCTAGAAATCGTGCTTACGCTGACCCTCAACCGGAAATGAGATACCCCAGCTTTCACATGCAAGGATCTGTCCTTAGCACCGCTCGCCCCGGTTTCTCTGGCCAATACCGGCGAGCCACAAGCGACCCGACCCCGATGATCGCCCATCCGATTCCTCCGATCCGGGTGCCGGTCTTCCCAGCTGCCCGCTTTCTTCACGCGCGCAGTCGTGCCGTTCGGCGACGCGGGTCGACCGGGGGTGAGCCACAAAGCCACCATTGCGCATCAATCTTGTACAACGAGGTGTCAACCATTGCGTAATAACGGGAAGTCGGGATTGAACACTGCTAAAACGACCTTTCCCTTTCGAGGCCAATCTACCAGGAGCCCATCATACCAGGAGGTCACGTCTAAGGTAAAATGCCCACCCATATGTATATGTACGCTCCATGTTCCTTCCATCATTCGACCTTACATCGTCGACATGCCAAGACGAACCAACCCGCCATCTGGTCTCTAAATCTGGGGACGTCTCTCTGGTGTGTGTATGTCTCTCTCTCTCCCTCTTGCGCCCGGAAGATCGGCTCTCGCAACCCTCTCCATCTGAACCATCCGACCATTTGAACCAACAAACCTGAAGACCTGAAGACACAAAGCGCATCGTCTTGGCATGATGAAACTGGTCCTGACGTCAAACTTCAGGCGATTCCGATCTGGGCGTCGCACTCGAGTCGAGTGCTCATGAACGACTTAGGGCTGGCAGTCAAACTTGCCGACTTGATCGGAGCTCGGCCTGGTGGGGTCAGTGCTTGTCCTGCCTTAGACGATGAGCAGCTCGGAACAGAGAGCGCCCTCCCCTGAATGTCGACGCAGCGCATGTCATACCTTTGAACCAACCCTGCCATGTTGCTATTTTGACGTCGACTCGCTTGAACATGCAGCGATCATAGAATGGAGGCAAATTGGTAGTCAGGCAGCCCGCCCGCCAATCACCCATCCCATCTTCGCTGGGTCCCCAAACGCATGGGCACGCCCCCGACAAGTGCGTTGTTTCGGGTTGACCCTCAAACCTGGCCATCCGTCACCGCGTGCGTGCACACGCCTTATGCGCCCCCCAGCCCAGAAGTCGTAAGGGGGGCACGATACCGCCCGAGTGACGAAACAGACGACGGGGGTCCTCTCACCAGACAAAAGCGTCTCGACTGCCGCCGCCCCCTTGATGAAGTGCTTGGCATTGTCGTGATTATCTATCGTCTCGACTCCCGTGCTTTGCAGGTTTCATTCTCTCTCATCTCTGCCTCTTCCTCTCTTTACCTTCCTCTCTTTCCATACTCCTCATCCCACCTGTCATTCCAGTAACCTCGTTGAGCAGGGCTCTCGTTTTCGACGATTCTCCTTCCGTTGTATATCTTTACTCATCAAAAGTGAGCTTGCCGGTTGAGTTCGCTGGAGAATAATTGGGAAACGTTCCGATCGCTTTACGATAAGAAGAAACGAATACGCAGTCGAACATACAAGAACAACAATGGCGATTAATCTGATGCTTCCTCTGAGGGTCGTCCAGGCCTTCCTGGCCATGGCCGTGCTCGTCCTGTCGGCCTTTGGTACGTCCAACTCGCCTTTCGTCGCTCACAACGGGCGTCACTAACGCGCAGCAGTGGCCAACTGGTACAACGTGAGCACTCTGACGGCGTCGCCGCCGCAGATCAACTTTCTCATCGTCTCGCCTCTGATTTCTCTCCTGTCGATTGTCTATCTGGAGGTCGTCCCGCGTTACGCTCCACGTGGTGAGTTGCTTCCTGTTCATCTCCCACATCCTGGACGCTCAGTCTGCATCAAGATGAGAAGGAGATCATGCTGACACGAGAAAGCGTCCCACCCCTGGGCCGCCATGGCGTGCGAGTTCATCAACACGCTTTTCTACTTTGCGGGCTTCATCGCGCTGTCCGTCTTTCTGGGCCGTCTGCGATTCTGCCGCGGTTCCGTGTGCGGCGCGGCGCGGGCGGATGCCATTTTCGCGGCGGCACAGTTCGTCGCGTGGTCGGCCTCGGCGGCGCTCACGGGCAAGATTGTGTTTAAGGGCGGGTTGAGGCGCAAGGCGGCGCCGGGACCCGTGCCTGCGCCCTCGGGGCTCGCGCCGCCGCCGCCGGTGAAGCAGGAGGCTTATGCGTAAACGTTGGTGGGGTGGACGGCAGAAGACGCGATGAACGGTGGGGTGGTGGGATATGTGTCGGGACGAAAGCTCGCTGTGACGGTGAATCTGCTCAGTATGCGGGCGGCAGTGAGACTGCCGCTGGCGATGGTTAGCGCTCGTAGGTGTCATCCAAAACAGGCGTTCAGTTAGTCCGCGAATTGGATCATCGTCATGCATCTGGTCTGCGTTGGGTGGACGTATCATGTAGTCAGATGAGGGACTAGTGATGGCGATAATGATGATGCATTATGATGAATTTTTGGAAAGGATAATGAACCCCTGCTCATCAGGGTGTGTAGTTTGCTGTGCGTTCACCCATCATTCACTTTCAGCAGCTCACCCTCTTCTTCTTCTGGTGTGTACATGGTACATGTAGATCCCAACTGCTGCCTCACCAAGCGAAACTACCCCTCCATTCCCCACCAAACCCTGTTGGGTGCCCCTGCTTGTGCCCCTCCTTTTTTTTTCTTATGGCTGGGGCTTTTTGGTCAATCAGGTAGGCAGCTTGGGAGGTACCTATGCAGGTAGGTAGTACCCTTTGCGCAACGATGGCAGGCACAGAGGGCACGTTCTTGCCGGCCCAGATCTGGTGTATTCGTGAGGCAAGCACGATGGCGCCTTGTCATATCCCGAGGCCTCTTCTGCCTCTGCTCTCGCACGCCCATATGCCCATATGCCCATGCCGCTGAGCCTAATCCTGAGTGGCTTCTCTTACACCTTCAAATCCCGAAATGGACCATCGTGGCCCGCCAGCGCGGGATGTCGCCTGTCACGACCTTCTTCAAAGGAGCTATGGCATTTTCGCGTCGATGGCGTGCTCTGCGCCAACCCCACACCGTTTCCTATATCGGACTCTAAACGCGTTGGGCTGGACCCCGACTCGCCCACTCGCCCACTCACCCGCGTCGCCAGGCCTCAGAAAGACATGCGATCACCGCCCCCGTGGCTCAAGCCATCGGGTAATCTGTGCCTGTGCCTGTACTGCAGCACCTCGTCACTCCACGGAGAGGTGGGGGGAGGGGCTAAAAGCTGAGCTGCGTTTCCTATCCGACAGGCCTAGCGGCCGCGGGGCTGGCTTTCTCACTGCTGGCCCCCTCGATGGCATCATGTCCTCACCAAAACCCGAGCACCTCCCCTCCTCTCGGCTGACCTGACCTGCCTCTGCTCCTCACCTCTCTCGCTCTCCAGCCTGTGACGCTTACCCCTTCCCAAGCTGTCTTCTCTCTCGCGACGTCTACAGAGACCGATCGCGAACTTCGCCGCATCTCTCTCTCTCTCTCTCCCTCTTACACACTTTCACCCCATACTTTCGCAACGCTGTAGCCATGGCCGACGAGGCGCCCAAGAACTTCGAGACGCTGCAGCTGCACGCTGGGTACGTCGCGATGGCCTACTGGCCCCATTGTGTTGGTGCCTCGCAAAGAACCACCTGAACTGACCTCGAATGAAGCCAGGAGCCTGACCCGACCACCAAGTCGCGTGCTGTCCCCATCTATGCCACCACGAGCTTCGTCTTCGATGATTCGGCCCACGGTGCTAGGCTTTTTGGCCTCAAGGAGTTCGGCAACATCTACAGCCGCATCGGAAACGTGAGTCGCTCCGTCAAGCATCGGCTTTCATGGGCGCACCAACTAACGCGCCCTCCTCACAGCCTACTGTCGACGTCTTCGAGAAGCGCATTGCCGCTCTCGAGGGTGGTGTCGCTGCCGTAGCCACGTCTTCCGGTCAGTCTGCGCAGTTCATCGCCATCAATGCCCTCGCCCACGCCGGTGACAACATTGTCTCCACGTCCCTGCTGTACGGTGGCACCTACAACCAGTTCAAGGTCTTCCTTCCCCGCCTCGGAATCACGACCAAGTTCGCCGACGGCGACAAGGTCGAGGACATTGAGGCTCTGATCGACGACAAGACCAAGGCCGTCTACGTTGAGAGCATTGGCAACCCCAAGTACAACGTCCCCGACCTCGAGGCCATTGCCAAGGTCGCCCACGCCAAGGGTGTGCCCGTCATCGTAGGTTGTCCCAGTAGCCATTGCATCTCTGTGCGTCCGCTAACATTCCCCAGGTCGACAACACCTTCGGTGCCGGAGGCTACTTCATCCGCCCCATCGAGCACGGCGCCGACATTGTCGTCCATTCCGCCACCAAGTGGATCGGTGGTCACGGTACTACCGTCGCCGGTGTCATTGTCGACAGCGGCAAGTTCAACTGGGGCGAGCACGCCGAGCGCTTTCCTCAGTTCGTCGAGCCCTCCGAGGGCTACCACGGCCTCAAGTTCTGGGAGACCTTTGGCCCCATCAGCTTTGCCATCCGCGCCCGCGTTGAGATCTTGCGCGACCTCGGCGCCACTCTTAACCCCTTCGCCGCCCAGCAGCTCCTCATCGGTATTGAGACCCTGTCGCTGCGTGCCGAGCGCCACGCCTCGAACGCCCTGGCCCTCGCCAAGTATCTCGAGAACAGCAGCTACGTTAACTGGGTCTCTTACCCTGGTCTCGAGAGCCACCCCTACCACGAGACAGCCAAGAAGTACCTCAAGCGTGGCTTCGGTGGTGTCCTGAGCTTCGGTGTCAAGGGCGGCGGTGCTGCTGGCTCCCAAGTTGTCGACAACTTCAAACTGATTTCCAACCTGGCCAACGTTGGCGATTCCAAGACGCTCGCTATCCAGTACGTTGCATATTCGCCACTTCCAAATCTCCAAGCTAACAATTTCTAGCCCCTGGAACACTACCCACGAGCAGCTCTCCGATGAGGAGAAGAAGGCGTCTGGCGTCAGCGAGGTAAGAAGTAGTATCGTGGTTCCGAACAAGACAATGACTAACGCCACCTCCACAGGACCTCATCCGTATCTCGGTCGGTACCGAGCACATCGACGATATTATTGCCGATTTCGAACAGGCTTTCAAGGCCTCCTCGGCTACGACCACCAAGGGCGAGGAGAAGAGCAACGAGCTGCCCGTCGGCGAAGGCAAGAGCGAGGACGCGCCTCTGGCCCCGTGAGGTTGTGACGGTGATGAAGATATAAACGAATGAATACCCATGAATACTTTGCCAGTTATCTCACAATACTCTCCTTTCTTTTGTGTCCATTTTCTATGCTTTGCGGTGAGAATCTCTGTTCCAGTCTTCGCCTTAATGAAATAGCATAATATTCGCAGGGAAGCTTCGTATTACTTGAGGGGTCTCCCAGCCGCCACACCATCAAAGTCCTAGATAGGCCGACCGTCTAACAAAACGCTGCGCCTCAATTATCCACCAGCTATTATGTAACTTAAGATGAGATACTTATTTGTTTCACTCCCCCTTCACACTTTGTCTTAGCCCAGGATATGGCCGCGTCCCAGGAGCCTTGCCAGGTCCAGAAGGGTGTGTTCAGCCAAAGCTGGTATTGCGTGGTGCATGTTGAAAGCTGTTCCCGAATATAGGAATGATAGCTTTCTTTGAGGTTTCGGTCGAGTGCCGAATCTCATTGACGCCAGCCCTCGCATCAGTTCCGGTACTCGTTGGGGCGGTTTCGTTATGCAACGAACGCTGGTGCGTACTATCCATGCGTAGGCAGTCATCAAGCAAGCAAGTGGTATAGACGAGGGTGGCCGAACGTCCCGTTTTTGCTTCTTTGCAGGCTGCCATGCCCAGTAAGGTCATTCCTGTCACTGTTGCACTTTTCTAAACACCTTGTGAGATGTACCCCTGGTCTTACGGTCAGGGTCGAGCATCCGGTCTTGAACATAGTCGAGAAAATCGACTATGGATGATTTTCCATCACCAACTCACCCGTCTCTGACCAGCTTTCGAAGTCACTGTATGTCGACCGTGTCAGTGAAATGCCCCCTCTGAAGGAGACGGGTGCAGCGCGCGAGTTCACCTTGGCAACGCTATCCTTGAGTTTGAGCTTTTCTTCCTCGGCACAGGGAAATAACAATTTGCAGCTGTCGCCGATGCGAAATGTAGCGCATAGCTCGACAATGTGCTTGCGTCGAAAGTTTCGTAGGTTGCTACTCTCTTTCTCAAAGCTCGAGAACACGGCTGGCGAATTTATCTTACCCCCTTCAGTAAGAGTTTTGAGCGCAAAGACTATGTTGGGCGGCTGCTCGAGATGAATCATTGATTCCTTCTCGTTCTTGAATTCTAGACCAAGGGTCCCGGGGTGCGAATCCGACTCAGAAAAGCATGAAGATCATGGTGCACATGAACCGTCTGAACGATACCGAACCCTCCTGTTTCGATTTTGGGGCCGATATGCGTCCATGGCATGATCGTCCCGTTGTCAATAAGATTAGAACGAGGTCGGCTTCGTGTCACGATCCGGTTATTTTCAAACAAATCGTATTATCGTATCAAAGGAAGTATAGTTTACTATGATCAAAGGTATAGACTATGACTTCAAAGTATCCAAGTGTCATGAGGCATTCCAGTCTATTTATGATGGCTATGTGGTAAGACCCTCGTTGGCTAAGTGTGAGCCCAATCTGAATGGCTCACTCGTCGGTTAGGATCCGATGATATGGGTTCATGGATCACAGTGATCCTGACATATCAAGGATCCTCTATCCTGAGCTTTGAGCAAAGGGGCCATGTGACGTAAACCGTCCTTGTAGTTCTTGTTTTATCGGTCCGCGGCCGCATCCCCATGCCTGGTCGGTTTTGGACCGTGCCTAGGGCCTTGATTGTTGTTTTAGTGTAGGCGAGGTCATCCGAATAGATAACCTATATCCTTTGCAATATGATTGTCGGGCGAAACTTCAAATCTGTAGACGAGTAGCATCTCTCCCTCTTCTTTCTGAACAATCCTCATAAGAAGTTCCAGGTTCGTATGAAAGTATGCTTAGGGGCGCTCAAACCCTCTTCAAGCCCACCCAGAGATCGTTGGCTAACTTAGTCGTAATCGTCATGCCCTGCAGCATGGGCCGATCATCTCTGGCTTCGATGCTACCAAATGTCTGGAAAAGCCTCACGAGGAAGTAGCCCATCTGTGTGAGCGCAAACTGTTGTCCGATGCAAACCCTTGGTCCACCAGAGAACGGGATGTATTCCCACCTGCGGCTGTCAATAGCCGATATCGGGAAGAAAAATAGGGGGAAACTCACGAGACGCGTAGTTCGCTCCATCGCTCTGGACGGAATTCCTCGGCGTCTGGGCCAAATATGTCCTCTCTGCGCTGGATGGCGAAGAAAGACCACCGCACGGCATTTCCCTTAGGGACGAACACCGGCGACTTTCCATCGGGTCCGCCGCCCACAGGAAGGACGGTATCCCTTGCAGCAGAGCGGGAGAGGCTTGCGACAGGAGGAAATAGACGAAGAGCTACCACGTTGTAAGCACATATATTTTTCTCTTCTTCCGCCACAAAACCTTGGTAGAGTTGAGCCTACCTTCTTTCATTACCATGTTCAGGTACTTCATTTGCTTCAGGGTCTCCCACGTGATCTCGGCACCACCTAGGCTGTCAATTTCGGTCCTCAAGGTCACAACGATATCAGGGCGCCTGGCAAGGACCCATAGCAGCGATGCCAAGATACCGGCGGTCGTGTCTCGGCCAGCAAGGATAAGGGCAAGAAGCTGTGACCGAATGTACTGAGGATCCCGTCCAGAGTCGACCATCTCATTGAGGAAGACGTAGCTGCGTTCGGGGGCTCGCTTCTCAGCTTGCACCTTCTCCACGTAGTCATCGACAAAGCGGTGCACGAAACGCAGGCCTTCGTCAAACTTTTTATCCCTATCCAGGAAGGCCATGACGCCGAGGCGAGCGCGGTTCGCCGAGCGGGCGTTGACGTAGTCGAACGTCTTAAAGAACTCGACGGCTTCTGCCGAGGGATTTGTGAGCGTGTTTGTCGAGTGTCCAAACCTGAAAATGTGAGACTATTGGAACCACTTGCAGACGGAAGATGCCTACATGAATTCGGTGGCAGAGTCCATGGTCATCCTGTACAAGAGATCCTGCAACTCCACCCTTTGACCATCTTTGGGAATCTTGTCGAGGAAGCGATTGACATGTTTCTTGAAGCATGCCAAATCGGCTATCTGGTTCCGGACGAAGCTGGGGCGCATAGTGGCTCGAGCATCGTGCCAGAGCGCACCGTTGGCCGAAAAGATGGCATGAGGGCCGAGGATGGGCAGGACAGCGTCGAGTCGTGGGCCAGCGACGACCCAGTCATCAAAGGACGATGCGAGAATTGCCTTGAGGTTCTCCGGCTCGTTTGTCATGAGAACCCATTTGCCGAGCGCCTTGACCCAGAACGTGTTGCCGACGCGCTTGAAGGTGCTCTGCCAGTGCTCCAGGAGCACGTTGCCCTTCATGGCCTTGAGCGAGAGTCGTAACCAATCAAGCCCCAGTATCGGGTCAGAATGGGGGTACACAGGTGCAGGGAGGCAGCTCTGGGAGCGCATCTTGGACAAATACCTGGCCTTGCTGTACTGGGTCATGGCAATCGGAGCCAGGATCATGGCGAGAACAGGTGATGCGGCATAGTGGACGGGAGTATTGTGTCGATTGGTCTTGGTCTGAGAGAAGTATACCTCCACAACGGTCCATGAAATATAGGCAGTTAGGACAGCCGACAGGCAAAAGTGAACAATGTGTGGTGCCATGGCCGGTGTGGTGATGTTCACGACGCGGAGGCTTGGTGTCATGCCATCTAGAAATGATGAAAGCCGGGCAATGGCTGGATTGTCGCACCTTATAGTACCAACGACGAGTCAGCTCAGCCAGCTTGAATTCATCCCGATGCAACCCAGGGGAGGGGGGGGTTCGATCAGCCATCGGCGTGAAGCACGTGAAGGCGAGGTGCGGGGGAGCTCAACATCTTCAGAAGAAAGGGAAAACTTAATGCTACGCTAATCGCGAAGGAAATTCATATTCCCCGATTGATGACGGCCCTACTATTGATGGCCAAATTCATACAGACTCATTCCCGCAGGGTCGGTTCATAGTAAGGATACGACGTAGGCAAGAAACCACAACATACCATGTAGTGTGTGACGTTGACCCCGGTAGGTCCCGCGGTGCGTAGATCCCGGACTCCGGCCTTCACTGGGTGGCAGGGTCGCCTTCTGCTCCGTGCAGAGCATTATAGTAGGCGACCACGTGTATTTCTTTGGCCAGTGGCCCACCCCGTTGACACCAATAACGGGAGGCGCAATGTAAGCTTCGCTATCGCAGGGAGGAGTGGTCTGTCCTCCACGGGCATACTTGTAAGTAGAGCAGCAGCGGCGGTTCCGAGGCGGCAGAACAACAGACGTATTACTTCCAACGAGAAGGTGATATTACTCACGAATCTTGGCACCCTGTTTAAGTTATGAATCTAAACTTTCGGAGGGTTTCAACAAGAACATTCGCCTGGCAGAAGCAAGGAATGCACGACAGCCCTCTTCACGGCGGATTTTAGGGTTTGCGATCCGGAACCTCTGGCAGCTATAACCAACTTCTATATGACAAGCAATCTCCGAGACTTGCCGGCAATGCCGAGGCAGCGAGACTTTTCTATTTTCAGGGCAGTTACTGTTGCCAGCGCTGTCGCCGTGGTAAGCTATGCTTAAGAGTCCGAATTGGTTTCGCGTAATCGCCTGCTCACCGAGCACTCGCAGTTGGGTACGCGTCAGTCTACATGTACGTAGAGACTTTAACTCGTTTCCACTACGTCTCCGGTAGTTCTACTGTGACTTGGAGGGTGCTCGAACCCTTCTGCGTAGGCATCGTTGAGCCCTCAGCGACCGCATCGCGTTCCCTTGGGCTAGGCCCCTAGGAAAACCATCCGATAAATAACGAAAAGGATCCTGTAGACCTACCTGTTTCATTACCTCTAGAGGCCTTATTTGTTTCATATGTGCTTGGATTCAGTGGATAAATGCAGTCGGGGTGTAGTGCTCGACCCAGGCGGATAGCAATGGTGTTGATGCCGTCCACGATAGAAGAGTGCTGCCCCGGCCGTGGAGGATGTCAAGTACAACGAGGCAAGACAAGTCCGCTGGGCCCTCCACATGTACGTAACCCCACATCAATGTGCCTTGCTCCACGACTGCCGCCTATTTCCTTTCCAAGACAAGATGATTATCGTACGGCTGTAGACTCACCTTTTTCAAGATTCCTGTGCTGTCTCCGAATGCGCAGGTGCCCATGATAACATGCGTCGTCGAGCCCAGGGCAAGCGAGGTAGCAATGTCGCTTGCACTAAGCAACGGAGCAATGACTATTAGGTAGGTGGGTTAGCTAGAATCCGGTACCAGAGACTGGGAATCTGTATACCAAAGGTCTAGCCAAGCACTACTATACAACCTACGGCTGGTGGGACATCACCAGTGCTGAAGATTCAGACAGTTGTCCAGGCCGGAATGACGCTGGGGGCACTTGACTCAGAGGCTCAGTACATGCCCATCCTGCGTTGCGAAGACACCGGCGGTGAGATCGGCCGCGGCTCAGTTCCTGCACCTTACCAGGGTGTGGGCGCTGAGGCTGTGGGGTGTGACTGTTCCAGAAGGACACCAGGTGCTTGGGGAGATCTTGAGGATATGAGGTTCGAAGCCATTGTGGGATCCACCCCCACCTTATTGGTCCACTTGAACTGAGCTCTCCAAACCACCAAACCACCAAACCACCAGACCTGACCTCATCCTCATCGCTTCACCTTCCTCCATCCACCTCCCCATCACCATCAACACCGGCAACCCCACCGTCCCCTGCGACGCACCGAATACCGCCCAAGATGAAGCTCTCCCTAGCCGGCCTCCTCGGCCTCTTCTCCTGCGCCGCCCAGGCCGTCCAAACAACTCTGACGCTCTCCATTCCCACAACCTCGAACCTCAACCCGCAGACCCTCCCGCCGCAGACGCACGCCACGCTCTCGACGCTGCACGCCACGCACGCGGCCGCCCTCTCGCCGCACAACACGTTCACCTTCCGCAACCTCACCGGCCCGGCCTCCTACCTGCTCGACGTCCACTGCACGACCAACATCTTCGTCCCGTACCGCATCGACGTCGCCGAGGACGGCTCCCTCTACGCCTGGGAGACGTACCGCGGCAACGACTGGGACAACAAGGGCGAGGCCATCCAGGGCAAGGAGTTCTCCACCGGCGGCAAGGGCTTCGAGGTCCGCGCCGTCGGCGTCAAGGGCTACTTTGTCGAGCGGAGCAAGTGTATGTCCCCCCCCCCCCCTTGGCTTCCTCGATTATAAGCCCTTCCCAACTCCCCAGCGTACATTTTTTCGTCGCACGAACTAACCGCAACGGGTGCTCCCCGCGCGCAGTCTCGATTGTCAACATTGTCATGAAGAACCCCATGATCCTCATGGGCATGGTCACGATGGGCATCTTCCTCGGCATGCCGTACATGCTCAAGAATAGTGCGTACCTCTCTCTCCACTGTCCTTCCCTCCCACCCCGTGACCCGTCAGCGGGTCAGTTTGCAGTCTGTCGTCGGGTGCGCGAAAAGGGTCGGCTGCTCGAAACGGATCAGATCACGCGGCAGCACCAAGCAGCACGAATGTACTAACATGGCTCTGCAGTGGACCCCGAAATGCGCAGGGAATTCGAAGAGGCCCAGCGCAGCAACCCCATGAGCTCGCTGCTCGGCGGAGCGGCCAACCAGGCCGGCGGCGGCGGCAACCCCATGGGCAACTTTGACGTCGCGGGCTTCCTCGCGGGCGGGGGCTCCAGCTCTGGCTCTGGCGCCGCTTCGGGCTCTGGAAAGAAGAACGGAAAGAGGTAAAGCAAGGCCACGGGGGGATGGAGGACGCGCCGTCATGGTCGACAGCCGTTCGCAGGCGAATATTGAGAATGCGATATGTCTGAAGAATCTGTACACGAAGCAAGCGACAAAGGGGCGACGGTACGCTGCCGGACGGGACCTGCGCACTAGACACGGCTTGCAGTGGCATCATTCACAGGACAGTTATGCCTAGGATGAAGCAATGCGAAGCGCCTTTATAAACAAATTTCATATCCGGCCGTACACTTGTAAATGGAAGCAAATGCGAAGGAATCGAATTAACAACATGGACAGAGCTGACAGCGGTTAAGCCATGCCAGGCGCATTCATCTCAGAGCAGTTGACCAGTCCATCCACACGAAAATCAAAAATCCAACATCAGCCCAACTTCAACTACTACGCCTGCATGCCGTCGCTGGCGCATCGTTTACTCGCCAAAGTCACCACCATCATCCATACCGTCCTCTGCAGCACGATTAGCACCTGGGTGTTGTACATTGTTGGTGAGGGTCCTTACCGTATCCGTCCTGATACGCCTCGTCCTGCGAGTCGTTGAAGCTGTTCGCCAGCATGGCACCACCGAGCATACCGGCACCGGCACCGAGCATCATGCCACCCGCCATGCCCATACCACCGCCGCCGCCGCCTGGTCTCCTGCCGCCAGCTTGCTGATAGCCGGGGTAGCCGCCGCCGTGCATGGGATAGCCCTGCTGAGGGGGGTAACCACCATACTGCTGTTGAGGCGGGTAGCCGCCATACTGCTGCTGGGGCGGGTATCCTCCGTACTGCTGCTGGGGCGGGTAGCCGCCCTGCTGGGGGTAACCACCATACTGCTGCTGCGGCTGGCCGCCGTAGCCGTGGCCGGGGTAGCCACCCTGGGGCATATGACCGCCGCCACTGCTGCCCTTTACTTTGCCTAAGAGCTTGCCCATGAGGCCGCCGCCGCTGCTCTTGCCGCGATCTTCGGGACGCGGGGGCAGCTGCTGGGGGAAGCTGCCGCGCGTGTCACTCTGCTGCTGCTGCTGCTGCTGGGGCGGGCCGGCGGCCTGGGCGGGAGGAGGCTGAGAGGAGCTTGCGCCGGGCTGGGGGCTGGCGGAAGCCTGCGTGTAGGGGTTGTGCTTCACGTCGGAGGGGGTAGATGGGTTGTCGCCGGGGCGAGGGGCGTATCCGGGAGGGGGGCCATCTGGGTTGTCGTTCTGGGGCGGCAGCGCCGGCTCGGTGGGCTTGTCCCATTGGGACTGTTTCGTGTGGAGATTGACGTAGAACCTGGAAATGTGAGCGAACTGTCTGATCCGATGTTGCGACAGGCGCAGGCAGGTGAAAGAGAAGCTTCGAGGCTCGTCACTACTCACCAGGCGTTGTACTGTGTGTTCCAGCGCGCTGTCCAGCCAGGCGGAAGCTCGGGAGGGGGAGGCCCCGATGGCGCTTCGAAATCGGCCATGTGGGGGGTCAGAGGTGGACGCAGTTTCGATGTGAGAATGTACTATCGTGATTGCAGATTGTGGATGAGAATGCGCAACGTAGTGACCTGGCGCAGCCGTGGTGAAGGTTGTAGTAGGTTGACGATGATGCCAGAGAAAGAGGGGGGGGGGGAGAGAGTCGCGGAAACGCAGATGACGAAACCCCCGGACTTTTAGCACTCAGGCGCTGCCTGCAGGTCAAGTCAAGTCAAGTGGACTCTTTCCGCCACGCCTGGGTCCCTACCTAGGCTGAGGCAGTAGGGAAGCTCCAGGCTCGGAATGCGGTTGCCGACTGAGAAGTCACCTTACACCTTGTGCGTCAAGTTGGCCTTCGATTTGCCCCTCATTGCGTCGGAGACACCCCGCTATCGTCGAGCCACGGCCAATGCGCATCCACCGCCCAGACACCCCGGCGAGCAATGGCGCACTGTAGCATCGTCGCGACCCTTGTCGCCACGCCCGCCGCGCCCTCCAGCGCCCAGGGTAGCTCCTGCCACACGTTCCTGCACGCTGCACGCTGCACGCTGAACTCCGTCGTTCTACAGCGCAGCCCATGCCCCCTAACAGTCGCCCTGCGAAAAGCGACCCTCGGCCCACGCGTGCTGTAGGGTAGGGCAGGCAGGGCACCCAGACAGCCAGGGCCATGGTGTGGCTGGTGCAGGCCTCCAACGATGACATCGTGACCAGGCTTCGGGCCTCAGCTTTTTCCCGTCCTCGTCTCTGCTGGTCATCATCATGTGGCAAGCCCATCCAAAGAGGAAGGCAGGGTGTTTCCCCCCCCCTTTTGTTCCCGTCACCTATCTGCCAACCAGAAGCGGTGTGCCCCCGAATCAGTTGTATCCTCATGGCCCAGCCTGGTTCTTCTCGCCCCCTCCCCCCGCGTGCCCGCCAAGTGAAAACACCTCCTCACTAGCCTTGGCCTTCCTTCCCTCTGTCCCTGTCCCAACACGGACGGTTTGCTTTCCCCCCAGCACCATGGCCACTGTGCGCTCCTCTCGCCCAGTGAGGGCGGGATCCCCCATCTCGATTCATCCGCCGCCCGGGGCGTAGGAGGGAGGGCTGCGCAAGCTGGGGTGGCGCAGCCCACGGAAACTGCACGGTGGGCCATGTCCTGTACTGTGTTGAAGGGAATCCCAGAGCAGAGCCTCACTCGCTTCTTTCCAGAACGTCCCCCATTCTGTAGACCACTTTTTTGACATGAAGCTGAAGCTGAGCTCGACCCATCGTATCGTCCATGTGCCTGGCTCGGTTGATGTCCGAAGCCCCCCCCTCCTCCCCCTTCCTCCTCCTCCTCCACGCAGGACACCCAGCCCCTCTCGGTGGACTCCTTGGCTGGCCTCGTCACTGGTCCTTCTGCTCTACGCACCAGCATGAAGCTCATTGCCCAGCAAGTCTAAGTGGTGGTGCTAAGAAGCGTGCCTTTCTTGATCCTGCACATCATTCGCATTAGCCACTTGCCATGTGTAGTCGTGGAGCCCAAGAGAACCATGCGACAGCCAAGACCAGACGGACAACGAATCAATGATGAGTTCAAACTTGCATTCCTTCTAGATGCGTTTCGCTGCCGGTACTCAGTAACACCAAAAAGCACCCCCGTTCCCGAGCGCTGGAGGTCCATGGTCGACAAGACGACGTCCCGATCCCGGTCCCGATCCAACGCCAAAACCGACTCTGACAACGAAAAAAAAAGAAAAAAAACCCCCCAGGAACAGAAAGAGACGTAGAAGACTGTTCCTCATCAAGGCAAGTCCCGATCATCACGACGCCTCTCCCCAAAGAGATACGCCGCTTCCATGCAATACCCGCCACTCCCGTTCCGCATGAGCTTCTCGCTGCCGTAGCAGATAATGGCCGCGTCCACGATACCGCTGAGTATGTTCTCCATGGCGCCCATGACTGAGAAGCCGATGAAGCTGGCGACGATGCCGACAATGTAGGCGTACGCCGACCCGCGGGTGCCCATGCCGTCCGACGCCGCGATCCGTAGCTGCTTCGCCGTCATGACCCAGCCTGCGAACCCGAGCGCCGTGGCCATGATGAAGCGGGTCGCGTAGAGGAGCATTTTGGCCAGCCGGTACGGCAGCGTGGGCGACCGGGCACCGCGCAGAGATGACGTGAAGACGTGTGGCGTCAGAGTCGTCGTCGGGCGCCCCGGCGACAGGAACTCCATGCGACTGAGACCACGCGCGGCCGCCTGCAGGTTCTGCGAGTGTATAGCGCCGTACGTAATGGTCAGGGGGTTCGTCAAGGCAGCGATGGGCGTAGGGATGATCCGTGAGCTGATGGCTTCAATGATATTCGACAGGCTCCTGGGAAGAACAAGCAGAGGGGCCCGGATCATCAATGCCAGGAACGTCTGCTCGCAGATGCTGCCGAATATCGTGGTCAAGGCGTGTCCCATAGCAGCCATGACAATGTCGTTGGAAGACGGCGCAGGCGCCGCCATGCGGTGAAAGTACCATTGCGATACTGTCGCCGCTGTTGTCGCTCGCTGCACCGAGTTGATGACGCCGACTGTCCACATGTACATGAGAATGAACCAGACGCCGAGCCACCAGCTGGAGACCCGGATGACAAACCGTGCGAGGCTCTTGGAGAAGTAGCCACCGAGGAAAATGCGCGTGAACATGCCCATCCAGATCCAAGTCCACACCACAATCAACGCCAGACAGGCAAAGCCCAGGACGAGAAGAGCCGAGTTGGCCGCCAGGATGCGGCTCGCGAATTCGAGAATATCCACCGCCTGCCTGATGCTGTGACGAGCTTTGATGACGAGGAAGACCCAGACCACACAGCTCACAGCTGGCACCAGAGAGGCCCACCGCAGTGCGCGGTCCTGGAAGCTCGCCCCATGCGTTGAGCCCTTGAAACTCGACACGAACGCGTAAAGCGCAAAGGTGCCCATGATGACGGGGACGGCAACGACGATGAGGCCCGCAAGGGGGCGGGCGAAGGACCGCAGAGCCGCAAGCCAGAAAAGCGCCACGATGACCGAGATCAGAGTGTCGACTGCGAGCATGTGGAAGGATGCGTGCAGTGTTGTGTAAATCGTGTCGCCCATGCCCTTGCGTGTAGACGTATGCAGCCACACCAGTACGAAGGTCGAAAGCAGGGCTGCAAGAAGAATGAGAAACGCCCAGGCGAAGAAGGGGTCGTACTTGAATATCTCGCCCTCGGCTAGTGGTACAGTGGCTGGCATCACCTGGCTCTCCGCCTCGGCTTCCTGTTGCTCGTCGTACTCGGACTCGTTGGTTGACTCCCTACGAAGCATGAACTTGTTCCGATCCGCCTTGCCCTGGAACTTCTGGAAGGCGGGTGGGCTACTGTCGTCTTCCAGCTCGCCCGTCAGCGACGCTGGGGGATCGTCGTATTCCGTCTGGGACTCTAATCCGACGTCGACCATTTTCGGGTTTCCTTCGGAGCTGTGGTTGCTGTCCCGGTCGGTCGCATCTCGTTGCACATCTTCCGCCTCTTCGTCGATGGCTCCTTGCCCCCTGCCACGCCCGCTGAAACTCCGTGTGCCGTTCCAGCTGCTGCGAATGCCCCTCCTTATGCTCCGATCTTGATAACGTCGGCTGTGGCTGCCTTCGTTGCTCTGGTCGAGCGAGCCACGGCTCGCGTCGGGGTCCGTCTCCGTGCTCTCGGCAAGCTTGCTCGCAGCGGCGACGCGACGGGACCTCTGCAGGGCAAACAAGTCGGCCGCATCCCTGTCGCGCTCGTCCTCGTCGTCATCCTCCCGGTACTCGTTCAGCGTGCTGTGGAAGAGCGGTGCATCCTCGCGGGCCACGGACATGCGGGAAGCGAAGCCTAGCTGCCCGAACCGTGAACCGCCGGCAACGTAGGGATTGCCGGTGTACCCCCTACCGAGAAAGGAGCGGCCGCCGGGGTTTCGTGTCGATCGTGCGTTCCGGTCGGAGGGCTGTCGAGGCGGGCTGTCGCCGTTGTCGAGCTGTCCGCCGAAATTGGATATCCTACTCTGTGACTGCGCCAGGAAGCGCGAGGCATCTGCCCGACAACGTCAGAGCAACGTCTAACAGTGAGTGATGAGAGGTCACGGCGCGGGTCACTCACATTCCGAAAACATGGTGCTCCAAACTCCGGGGACCACCTCCCCTCTGGAACACGAGCGTTGTTTGCCTTCAAGTATGCCTTCGAATGGCCCAGAGTCGACTTCGGGGTGGTGATTGGGAGTCCAGGCAGATAAGGCTGGAGGAGGGGGGAGCTGCCTAGCGATAACAAAGGCGATGGCGGTACGGCCTCTGGGTGTATTGGGATGTGATGGCGAGAGTTCAACAACGAAAAGAAGACGCAGGAAGAGTATGTATTGTTGGTGCAGAGAAAGCTGCAGTCCGGTGGCCGTGCTGTCACCAGTTTCAATCGAGGGTCATGAGGTTCGGATAGACAGTCGCAAGAAGAGAGATGAAGGATGGCGAGTGACCGATTGCCGGAAACAGGTCGGTGAGCCAATACGCCAGTGGTGCCAGTGCACCCAATCCGCATGACTGAATGACTAGGTAGGAATGACTGATGACGGGACGGCAAGTGCGCGGGACCTCTCCCCTGGACTGAGCGCCGGCCTGAGCGCCGGCCTGAGCGCTACGTGACGCTGCTGCAGCCTGATGGGCCCCGCATGGAGCACTGCACAGGTTCCAGTGGTCACTGTCTCCACCCGACGGACAGGCGAGCACTGATTACGGCATCCACGTACTGGAGATGTTTTGTCATCTATCAACTCCATGGTTTGTGCTACTTTGTCTGTCTCAGTGGCTTGCTGGTCAACATGTATTTCTTACCGCCTCACTCTCACCCGTGCCCGTGTTCGTTGCTTCTCATGACTTGAGCAGTCTTTCATGACGCTTCCTCCACATTCGCTTGTCTTTTTCAGCAGGGTATGACACAGGTTCGTTGACAGCAGCCAGCCGGGACGAGCGACACATATCCATCCTGTCCTCCCCCCCCAGACACGATGGACTGCTCGACGCCCTTGGTACACGGCTTCGCATCCATGCTCTCGTCACCCACAACCTGAGGCATCTCGACAGCGACCTGGTCGGTCTTTCCTCGAAGGTGGGGGGGGACTATGATCGGCCAGAAATCATTAGTGGTGTGCACATCCCACCTGCACTGTTCGGCAGCAACAGTCTCGCGATATTGCTTCGCAAACGTGGTGACTCCTTTGCGCGCAGCTCCCTCGCGCTCCGACTTGAACTGCACCAGGAGGCTGAATGTCGACCTCCGATCACTGACAAAGGTCGTGCCGTATGACGATGATCGCTTGGGTGGAACCGGGTTCCAGTTACCCAACTCCTTGCCATCTACTTTGCTCCCACGGAACTGGCGGTGGAGAATGGCAGGCGTAAAGCCGCCCCAGCCCATGCACACAAGTCTCGGAATACGCCATCGGGGGATCCAGCCATAGAACGTTTTGGCCTTGCCGGGTCTGCAGTCACTGAAGGAGAAAGCGAATGCCTTGCGTTGGCTTTTCTTGAGCAACACGACACCTCTTCGGTAGATTTGGTCGAGCTCTATGTTACGACCGCGCTCGATGAGAGGGCCCAAGAGGGCATAGTCGGCTGCTTCCATTGGCCCGTCGTAAGAATGGCAGTAAACGACAGAGTCGCCACGTCGAGAAGACTCATCAAGGCTCTAGTTTTGGTTGAAGTACTCGACGCTGGACTCATCATCGTCTTCTCCTTCATCAGTGGCCCGAGAGAACTCGCTCGAAACAATGACCCAGACCTGGCGGTCGACCAAGCTGCCGGGACTCGGCATCGGGTAGGCTCTCGAGGCCAAGGTTGCTTCTGTACCATCGCAGCCGGTCGGATTGAGGGCCATGTCGAATCGAGGGTACTGGGCTTGAGGATACTGCTTCCAAATCGGTTCGGGCTTCTTGCTACGAATCTGCGGAGCAGGTTCAACAACGTCTTCCTCGCCAAAGTGCCAAGTGTTGTTTCTGAAGGCCTCGTTGTCGAATACCCAGCTGTAAGTCCCATTCTCATGAGACAAGCCGTTGATTGCACTGTTGTCTACAGTATTGATCTCGCAATGGGCTTTTCCAAAGTTCCGGTGATTATTATCTTCGTCGGTATGCAGATCGTTTGTTTGATCAATATGATACACGCTGTCGGCTTGAGAACCGCCGGTGTATGAGTCGATCTTCTGGAGCACCACAAGACTAGAGTCGTCTGCGTTGCTCGAAGCCGTGTCATCAGCGGTCGTATCTGATGACCCGTCTTCTGAAATGCCGTCGCTCAGAGCACCTTTGGGAATACTATGTGCGGCAAAGCTGGGGTCGTCTTCAGCAAGCGAGACGACTCGTGTTCCACTCTTTGAGCTGACTTCGCCAACAGAGCTTTGCGACCCGTCATTATCAAGACCATGGATGAGACCATCGATGGGTGGCTTGTTGGTGAGAGTCGGAGGTGCAATGCCGCCGGAGCCTTCATCAACAAGTGAGGCATATGCGTCGTCGCTGCTGAAACATTCATCTCCTGCAACGAATTCGAGTGTAGGTAGCAGTTGAGGTTCGTGCATAGGGATTCCAGCTATGTCAACGCGTTCAACAGAGTCGTCGTCTTGCCGGGTCTCAGGTTTAGAGTCATCGTCCATCGTGGCGTTTCCGACACCGGTTGCCTTGGCGTGAGTAGTATGTCCCATGGCACCTGAGTCTTTGATCGGAATCTTGAGAGAGCTTATGTCGCTGAGGTTGTCAAATCGATAGCTCAATTCCCGCTCAGTAAGAATGGACAGTGCCCAGAAGAGAAATTGTCGGTGCAGTGCAAGTTAGGCCGTTCTTCGAGCACATGTTAGTTGGCGTCCGTGTAGATGAAGAAGCAGGGTAGAAAGCGGACAACGGAGCAGAAGAACTCGGTAGAACCGAAGTAAGGAACTTACCCGTGGATGAAAGTTAACGAAGGGGCGTCGAGGCTTGGATGTAGTCGAATCCAACCCATACTCCGAGTGAGGAGTACCAAAATATGGTCCACTGGGACGAAGGACTTTCGGCCACACGTCAATGATGCTGTAGTCGTGTCTGCGTTGACAAGATAAGCTCTTCTAAGGTACCTAGGTAAGGTTAGGTACCTTAGGTGTAGGTACTGTAGAAGGGAAAGTTGGTGCCCAGGTAACGTCGGTTATATTTGGCAAGAACCCCCCTGGTGCGTCTCTGAAGCTGTCGTGGAAAGAACTTCCGGTAAGGGCAGGCACGAACGACTTCTGACAGGGCTGTACAAGTCGGAGTCTTTTCGTTCGGTTGCAGCAAATTTCTTATGAATATTCCGCTCGTGACGAGAGTTCGCATCTCTTCATTCCACAACCTGCGCCCACGCACTATAATGGCCTGGGCTGCGTGCCCTGAAGACAAGTGCCTGAGCGGATCATTGCGGAGGTTGTAGAGTAGCTTCACGAGGTTTTGCATCTCATATCAATATAAAATAAGTCACCATACCTTCTTCAAGCAACACCAGTTTAGCATTTTGACATGCTTGGTACCGAGATTGTGCCAGCACTCGAATTGGAGCCTGGATGACCCCGTTTACAGGCACGATGCTGCACCTGCTGAGGTTCTTCTGCACCTGTAACTATCTAGGTAAGTAACTTGTGGCAGGCCAGCTCGAATTAATCAGAGATACAACGAATTATTGATCAAGCCTTTGGCTGGTCCATTTGCAATAAATACCTTGTGATGCCGCGGAGTCTCGGGACACTTGACCACTCGAGGTGTCAGGTCGCTTATCGGAGTATCATCCCTGAATGGCGGGGTCTCGGAGAAACACGACAGACGGCGCACTACTAAACCCACGATGACCTCGTGGTGGATGTCCGGGGAGTTTCGGGGTACCGGATTGCGCAGGATGAGGAAAGAATATAAGAACAAAAGGGACCTTTGACAAGCTCAAATTCACTGATGGACTCGCGACGCCCATTCTCGCTATCATTATCACCAATCGCCCTCTTTCAACCGTCCTTTATTGTGCTCTTATTACAATCCCCACGCCGCCAACCATGACAGTTAAGCCGCTCGGCACGCCGCCGACAACTGTGAGCCTTAGTTCCATAGCTCTGCCATTGCCCCCATCAGCTTTCTTTTGCTTACAGTAACAGTTTGCCGAGATCACAGCTCAGGAGAAATCACTGACGCTGCCTCACTTTACCGCTGAAGATGCCTTTGAGATCGGCGTCTTGATCCGGAATCGACTGAGAGAAGTTGCGGAGCAGGCGGCAGTGATCAACATCACCCTCGCGAACAACAAGCAGTTGCTATTCCATGCCACCTCAAGACCAGGGACTGTGCCGGAGAACGACAACTGGGTTGCCCGCAAGAGGAACTTTGTCCTGAGATTTGGATGGAGCTCCTGGGCGGGCCACAACCTCTTTGACAAGGGCAACGAGGAGAACTTCAAGGCTCGTTTCCAACTGGGAGAGACGGCTGGCGACTACGCAATTCATGGTGGTGGCTTCCCTGTCCGTGTCGACGGTGTTGAGGGGCCGATTGGCGCAATCGTTGTGAGCGGGCTGGCACAGGAGGATGATCACCAGGTTATTGTTGAGTCCTTGCAAGCTTTCCTGGAAGCGCAGAAGTAGACTGAACGTGGTCTGTGGACCCAAACTAGAGCCCATGTCATAATTGAGTGCGATTGTTCCACGTTGCTAACCCTTGCTGATCAGAGAGGCCATCGTCTCTCTTGACGAAGGTGAGATGGCCTAACTTGCATATGACAAGTCGTCCAAGCGTCTCGATACAGCCATAATGGGAAGGTGCGAATAGTGTACGGAAGGAATGCTTCGACGAAACACCAGATCCAGTGCGGCTCCCCCTTCCACCCCCTCCGAGTTGGCTGTGCAAGGGGATTGTGCGAGTCAGCTATCAACTCCCATCCAGACATGCTCGTGGCAAAGCATCACCATTTGAGCAATACCTTCCGACATTCCCAGAAGCTTATCAATCAAACAGCCCCGAACCCCTCTCAGATCCGGAATGATCAGCCTGTAAGAATCGACACCGACCGAAGGCCGACGTTGCGGCATGGCGTGATGCTCCCGCATGTATCGCAATACGTCGATTGCGCCATCGGTCAACGACCCGCGCACCCCGGGATATGGCCCCCAATAGCAGTATAAGTCAACTACGAATGCGTATGAGTTGGCAATGTCTACACGGCTCGTTAACACAGATTACACCAGTGCGCCTCTTTCAATATGCCTACAGAGTTCATCAGTCTCACATTTCCAAATGGCTCTACGGAGCTCAACCCCATTCCGGGCGCCGGCATTGACCTGGACTACCTGATCCGGTACGCCCGAAGCCTGGACGACTATGAATTCAATTACACCCTGGTGCCGTACGGCTCATCCTTGTATGACCCTTTCACCGTCGGCGCAACAATCGCGGCTGTAACGAAGAAGCTCAAGGTCATCATTGCCCTGCGGCCGAACACGTTGTACCCCACCGTCGCCGCCAAGGCCCTGGCCACGCTCGACCAGCTCAGCAGAGGTCGCGCTGTGGTGCACTTCATCGCCGGCGGCAGCGACGCTGACCAGGCTCGTGAGGGTGACTTCCTGAACAAGGAGCAGCGGTACGAGCGGTTAGAAGAGTACATCAAGATTCTGCGTCGCGCGTGGGCAACTGCGGAGCCCTTTGACTGGGACGGCAAATATTACCAGTTCAAGGATTTCAGCAACGGGGTGCGGCCGTTCAGCAACAACCACATCGACGTCTCGGTTGGCGGCTCCTCTGACGATGCGTACCGCATCGGAGGCGCGCTCGCCGACATTTTCGGCCTCTGGGGCGAGCCCCTCAAGGAGACGAAGGAGCAGATTGACCGCATCTACGCCGAGGCCGAGAAGGCGGGCCGCACCGACCGCCCGCGCATCTGGGTGACGTTCCGTCCCATCGTTGCCGAGACGGACGAGCTGGCCTGGGCCAAGGCGCACCGGACGCTGGACGCGCTCAACAAGAACAGCCCCAAGGGCACCGGCCTCAATGCGCCGGCCGCCGGCGCGCCCCAGAACGTGGGATCCCAGCGTCTCCTGGAGATTGCCAAGCGCGGTGACGTGCAGGACCGCGCCCTTTGGTATCCCACGGTGACAGCCACAAACGCGCGTGGCGCATCAACGGCGCTGGTCGGTTCCTATCAGACCATCATCGACTCCCTTCTGGACTACGTCGACCTTGGCGCGGAGCTCATCTCCATCCGAGGGTACGACAACTACAATGATGCTGTCGATTATGGGCGGTACATCCTGCCAGGCGTGCGGGCTGTCCTGAAGCAGAGGGAGCAAGGCACACATGGTGAACAGGGCGCGAATGGTGCTTCCAGCTGATTCGCAGGAGCTTGATAGTCGCCAGATCATCGACAACATGGCTGAGAGGCAGGTTGAAGGTGCTTTCATCGTCGGACATTCGTGGGATATCTCGGCGAGTGCAGTGCGAAGGTAGAGGTGTCGAATACAGTAAAATTGCATCTTGACGTATATGAATCATGGCATGGTGAAACGTCTACAGTTGTTCGCTGCTGTGCTCTCTAGAGTACCAATCTGTCTTGCCTTGGGTCAGTATGGGGTCAGCACTTTGGACGATCCTTTGCAAGCGTATTCTGGCAAGGTAGCTGTGATGGACTGTCAAACATCGGGCTTTGATACAGGTGTTTCGACTGCGCGGACCGGGACAGCCTGCTTTTATGGTCCACGAGCAGCCAGTCTCAGGCTCATAGATGGCATGGATAATAACTGCATGGCTGGATGGCTGGATGGCTGGATGGCATGGAAAGCCGGGCCAGTCTCGGCACGCATGCTGGTCTCGGATGTCAATGTCGCAATGGGGGGGGGGAGGTTCCCTCGCTTATCATCTGCCCAACTTGCGTCACCGATAAGGACGGTTCAGAATGGAGAGAGCCCCACACGCACCGCAAGCACAGCTCGTTGGGACACGGACTTACAGGCCTACAAGGCTCCGACTACACAGCACTTTAGCTCGTGACAAGAGCTTCCATCATCACCTGCACGGCACATCGACAACCCTCCTGATCGACCCATCTCACCCCATATACCGCCTGGTCGTCCATCGCTCCTCTTCTTCTCTGACACGCAAAGCACAAGATCCATTCGAGCGTCTCAATCGCACCCTTCGACCTCCATCACCACTCGCTATCGCCGCCACGTGCTCTCCACAGACGACCACCTCACGATCACCACCACTTCATCCTCCCTCACCACACAATCCCTCCCCATCATGTCCTCACCACCTTGGGACTACATCGCCAAGCTCGTCTGCATAGGCGACTCGGGGTGTGGCAAGTCCAGTCTCACAATCCGCCTCTGTGAGGGCCGCTTCTCCCCGCATCACGACGTGACCATCGGCGTCGAGTTTGGCTCCCGTATCGTCCCCGTTGGGCCCCCTCACTCCCTGCCGCCGCCGCCACCAGCCGCCATCCCAACGACCGACGACGACGCCGCAGATTCCGCCTCCTCAACACCCCCAGCCAACGCACCGGCAAAACCAGAAGGCCTGCCCGAACCCCGCCGGGCGCCCCCGCCCCCCTCCGCCGCCGACGCTCCGCCCCCGCAGAAACACATGAAGCTGTCCCTCTGGGACACGGCCGGCCAGGAGACGTACAAATCGGTGACGCGGTCCTACTTCCGCGGCGCCTCGGGCGCCCTCCTCGTCTTCGACCTCTCGCGCCGCCAGACGTTCGAGCACGTCACCGACTGGCTCAACGACCTGCGCCAGATTGCCGAGCCCGACATTGTCGTCATCCTCGTCGGCAACAAGGCCGACCTTGCCGCGACGGGCGACGGCAGCAGCGGCACCGACAAGCGCGAAGTGTCGCGGGTCGAAGCCGAGGCGTGGGCGCGCAAGAACGGCGTGCTCGAATACGTCGAGACGAGCGCCAAGAGCGGCGAGGGCGTTGAGAAGGCCTTCATGCGGGTCGCCGAGCGCATCTTCTTGAATATTCAGGCCGGCAAATACGACTTGAACGATCGCCGGTCGGGCGTCAAGGGGCAGACGGCGGGCGGGAACAAGCAGATCCTGCTGGGCGATGCGGCCAAGGTTGGCGGCGGGTGCTGTTAAAGAGCAAATTGCTGCGAGCGAGAGCAGCTGCTGAATTTTCATGTCTTGTCTGTATTCGACGAAATACCCGACGTCGATTTGTTCGTTGATTGCCGTTGGTCTTCCCACTGTGTCGCCTGCAAAGGCGTGTACCATTACTCTTCGTCATAGCGATCATCAATTCAATCGAGTACAATCTTGGAGACTCCAGTCAGAAGAAAAAAAAGAAAAAAACGGTTCTCATCTTGCATTAAAGTAGCTTTGAGTTGGCTGTATTTTTCCTTCGCCTGTACGATTTGCCCAAAGCGCAGGAAACTCCCCATGCCCCAAGTGCCTCCTTCCGCCCTTGTCTTTACAAGTTGTTGAAGAGGTGGATGAAAAAAAAGTCATCATTCATCCGTAGCTATGGTGCCATTCTTCTCAGGACTCTCATCGTCCCGTCAGTATCGTATCACGGTCATGTGATATGAATCGCAATGGGAGACTTTAGACGATGGGGTCCGAGATCCTCCACTTGTCAGACCACCTCAGGTAGCTGAACTGCTTGTTCGATCCAACCATGCCGAAGCAAATGGGGATGAAGTTGATGTACAAGCCAATGATGACAAGGTAAAGAACTCCGTAAATGGCGTACTGGATTGTCTTGTTCTTGTTGCGCAGGAACCAGTCGGCAAGGAAGCCGAACGTCAGAATGGCAAAGTACAGCGCAGGGTAGTAGTGGTGGACGTAGGTCACACGGGCCATGGCCACGAATGGCAGGTAGTGGAGAACCCAACCGATGACCGGGTACACACCAGCGTAGTGAATCTGGTCGACCTCCTTGTAGTTGAGGTCGCCAAAGCCACGCTGCCAGCGGAGGACATACCAGGCGATGACGAGACCAAAGACGCCAAGGCCCAGGGTGGTGCCCCAGTAGACGAAGGGGTTGCCAAGGAGGAAGTACTTGACAACAGAGTCGTCCCAGCTGCACATCCTCAGTCCGACGTCAAGGATGGGCCACTGCCACCAGTGCGAGGCAAGGTCGTCCTGTTTATCGGGGTCGGGAACGAGGGCATTGTTGGAGGTCATCATGGCGACATTCAGATGGATAAAGTCATGGATGAAGGGGGACTTGTAGACACCAGGGTCGCTCTTAGGGACTGCGAGGTGGTCAGCTTGATTTCAGGCGCCTTGCAGGTGAACGGTACACTTACGCTTGTCGTTCCAGTGGGCTTCGACGTTCCAGTGAGTGTACGTATCACGGGGGTTGTTCGTCTTAGTACAAGTCACCTCAATCTGTTTGAAACCCCATTGAGGGAGATTCTTGTTGCCGGCGCGAAGGTAGCAGCCGAGCACAGGGTGCTTGAGGCGGAACGCGGTCGTCAGGGTTCGAACCCTGCTGCGGTCGCGAGAGGCAGCATCACGGACAACCTCGATCTTCCAGTGGTCCTTGGCGTCTCCAACAGTCAGGTTGCCGTAGCAGGAAACTTCCTTGTCCGATTTGGTCATGGGAGCGGCAATCTCGTGCGAGTGCAGGTTGCGACCAGTCTGAGCATGGATGAGACGGATAGTGGTGCCGTCAGCAATGTAGCGAGGCTCAGCCTCGGCATCGTAGGGCTCTTCGTCGCGGTTGGGGTAGAAGAACCAGTCATTGTTGGTGTCCTTGTGGTGGTAGCAAGTAACCTGCTGCTGGTTCGAGCCTTCGGGGTAGGTCTGGACGTGGGAGTGGAGTAGACCACCACCATAGCCCATGTTCTTGATAGTCGCACGAGATCCGTAAGCAATCTCAAGAGGGCTGTCCTTTCCGACCTGGGTACCCTTTAGGTTGGCCTGAAACAAGGAGCTCATCTGGGCATCGCCGGGGCCGGTGTGGTCGAGGATGGCGAAGTGGGCGGCGAAGGAGAGCATGTAGACCAGCAGGGGAATGACGATGAGACCAACGACACGGCTGACAACGTGAGCACCAAGGGTCGTGACAGGCATCTTGGTATCGCCAAACTTGTTCCAGAGGTCCTCGATGGTGTAGAGACCAACGAGAGAGGTGACGAAGAGACCGACGAGCTTGACACTGCAGACGCAGCCGATGCTGAGACCAGTCAGGAACAGCCAGAGGAACCACTCGGGCTCAAAGCTGTTGTAACGCTGGTTGTGGAATTTGCTCCAGCAGAAGACGGTGAGCACGGTGCCGCAAAGTAGCATCGAGTCGAGCAGAATGAAGCGGCTGATGGTGGTGTACGAGTTCTCGCACAGAACCATGAGGGTGACGAGCCAGACAGCAGGGCGACGCAGCTTCAGCTCGCGGGCGGTGTAGTAGGCCAGAGGAATACAGAGAATACCGAAGAAGGCGTTGAAGGCGCGCATAAAGGTGTAGTCGACATCGGCCGGGTACTTCTCGCCAGACTTGAATTCGAAGGAGCCGTTGTAGCCAGCAAGAACGCCAGAGAGACCGACGAGCATCTTGCCCAGAGGCGGGTGGACATCGAAGTAGTATTCATGCTTGATGTAGTGGCTGCCGAATTTGCCGAAGTGCGCTTCGTCCCAGGTCACGATGTTGCTGAGACCAATCTTGTAAAGACGGGTGAAGACAGCCACAGCCGTGAAGAGGAGGGGCGCGAGGATGAATTCCCACTCGTCGAGGAAGTCGAGAGCGGTGGGTTGCTGGAGACCATACGTCAGCAGATGTACAAGACACAAGCGGAGCAGGCGTGATATTCATCATCAATCACATACCTTTTTGGCAAGCTGTTTCTTGTTGTCGACCTCGGGCTTGGCCGTCACAGGGACGGACTGACCGGCGGCGATGGGACGCCTCCTGACGCCATCGCCGACGTCAGCGCCAGAGGCGACGACGGGCTTACTGGAAGCCATGTTGGGACGGTCTGAGATGCCGGATGACTATCTAGACGAACAAGTCGAAACACAGCAGAGTGTTGACACCTGCTAGGGGACAAGGCGGATGGAGAGTGGCGCGGTCGGCGAAGGCGCTGGTGGAAAGGGGGGGGGGAGCTCGTAGCTCTTCGGCTCGAATTGAGGATGTGAATGATCGGACGAGTCAGAAACTCAAGGACAAAAGGGACCAACAAAAGGGTCAAGGAGAAGTTGCCGGAGCAGCTGACGACGATGGATCAGCAGCAATTAAGGCCCTTCCTGATGAGAAGAGGCCGGTCCAGCAGAAAAAAGACTACTGGGAAGAAGAGGAGTAGAGCGGCAAGCATTCGACGACACGAAGCTGGGCCAACGTGGGAAGTTTTTGTCGAGTGCGGAAGCGTTCGTTCCCCTTGTGCCAGTTGCTCAAAAGCTGCTGACGCGCCTGCAGCTTTCCTAGGCCTAAGTAAATGCCACCTATGCGCGTCGAGACAGTGTATGGCTAGACGGCTGGGACTGTACAATTGGGCCGAAATCCCACATATTTGCACAGTCTCAAGATACCGCGCCGCATATTGGCACTGTCTTTACGAGGCGACCCCACCCTTACCCATCATTGAGCCATTGAGCTGTGCCGGGAGCCCCTGAATCCCCTATCGACCTCCCTTCCCACTCCGCAGCTCCTAGCTGAGTCTGTCCGTTGTTCCCACGCACCAACATGGAATGGATGGAGCTCTCGGCCATCCATTTCGAGCTGATTCGATGCCCCACGAGTAAAAGCCATCCTGTACAAGGCCAGCTGGCATTGTTCAATATTCCTTGTTTGGCAATGTTCTGTGCAGAGGGAGGAACGAAAGGCAAAGGCCGAAGCAAACTGTCTGTCTGATGAATGGCACAACAAATTGCATGGGACCTTGTAAGTAGCATTTGATACTAAGAATACTTATGCCCTGCGGAGCTACCGTCCCGGACCTTGCCGCAGATCACTACCTCGACGCCAACAAGCCGGATCGACCTGACTTTCAATGTTAGGTTGTCTTGAAGGCCGAACTTCTTCACTCTCGTCGAAGCACGTGCACTTAAATACAGCAGATAGGTCGTTGCTCACCACCAGCCATTCGGTCATCAACACGTGTGTGCTTCGGGGGGCACGCTGTGGCGTCGATTGACTAGCAGCCACAGTTCGACGATCTACGAAAAGGGCTGCTACTAGGGGTAGCACAGAGCGAGTCGGACGTTCACAGACATGAGTCGAGCGTGAGCCAGTCCCAAAGCAGGCGGTAGAGACACTGTAAAAGCAGAAACGCGAGAGAACATACTGAATGCCCTTATGTCATGCGGACAGCTGGTCCCCTCGCCCAGAAACGATCACCAGACTTTTGCCTCCCGGGCCTGGCCTGACCCGAACCTACCCCCCAGCCTCTGACCCCCAAATCCATATATCCATCCCCCCGCCTTTGTCTGGACTTCTGGCGAGGGGTCGGTTATGTTCTGACGATCTCGCGACCGCTCCCTTTGAGTTCTCCTCGATTCCGATCTGTACTATTCCCTCTCGTCACTGCCAAAGCTAGTATTGCTGAGAAGTGCTTCTTGGTTTCCTTTTATCATCCAGCTCAATCCATGCCACAGTGCGCGGCCAGCTGTTGTGATCGGGACCTTTCTCGACCGACCTTGTAGCGCCGAGTACCCGATACCTCTTGTCAGCACCCGAGGGCACCCCACAACCCCCTTCGTTCAAGGTTCCTTGTACCTGACTGAGCCCAGGCTCTCTCCATGTCTTCTCTGGTCGCCGACTTCATCATCAATCCAGTCATTCGGCAGGCTCGACGGCTCTCGGAGATTGGACAGCGAAGGAACACTCCAGACGAAGAGCCTGTCAATGTGGCGGACCCTAGACGAAGCCTGGCGGAGCACCTGGCCTTCTTGGGGTTTCCGCAACAGAATCAGCATGTGAACGACCCAGCTCCAGACCAGGTCAATGACAATGAGGCCCCGCTGCCGGAGCCGTCCACCCTAGACCAGCTGCAGCAGCCTCCCAGCCAAATCCGACACCGACCCCTCCGAGCTTCAACAGAACCGATTGCCGTGCCTGTCATCACGCCTCACGACATCGACCCCCCCACCAACACCACCACCACCACAACCAGCCCTCTTGCCGCAGCCACCATCTCCACTGACATTTTGGAACAAGCTCGTCGTCCCGATGCCATAGTTCAGTCACCAGCAGCCATGCTGCCCTACAATTACGCAACACCCTCGCCGCCGCCCAAGCCGCCGTCCTCGTTGCCAGAGGACGATGGCATGGGCTCACTGCGAAGGCGTTTGATCGCCATTCAAGCCCAAGATGGTCTGCCCGCGGAAGAGAAGGCCCGCCTGATGCACGAGGCCTTGATGGAAGGTTATCGTCGATCACAGACCGCGGATGTTGATGCCTACGCATCCACCAACGTCGCCACTGTCGGCGCGACCGCCAGCTCCTCGATCCCCACTGCCCATCCCGCTATCACCACCACGCCGGCCGCGGCTGCTTCTGTCGGAGGCTCTTTGCTGGGGCTGACGGCGGGCGAAGCTCTCGAACAGATTGTCCCTGTCGGCGCCCTCGACTCTTTAAAGTTCTGGCAATCAGCCCCTGGCGACCCGGCAACAGCAGAAAAGTTTGAACTCTCGGCCGACGACATCAAGCCGACCTTTGTGCCCGCTCGCTTCCCGAAAGACGCAACGCCCGAGATCATCGAAGACATATTATCGCAGCCACAGCAGCTCGGATGCCAACACTATGCTCGCAACGTCAAGCTTCAGTGCTCGACTTGCGACCGTTGGTACACATGCCGCTTCTGTCACGACGCCGCCGAGAAACACGCCCTTATCAGGAAGGATACCAGGAACATGCTGTGTATGGTGTGCGCCTGTCCGCAGAAGGCTGGTGAGGCCTGCTTCAACTGCGGCGAGGTCTCGGCTCATTACTATTGCAACATTTGCAAGCTGTGGGACAATAATCCTAACAAGAGCATCTACCACTGCAGCGATTGCGGCATCTGTCGGCGTGGCCGGGGCCTGGGAAAGGACTTCTTTCACTGCAAGGTGTGCTGCGCTCATGTTGTTTGTCTCTGCCATCATCAGCTAACCATGTGGCTCCCAGAAATGCTGCGCCTGCATCTCCATCTCTATTCAAGACTCACACAAGTGTATCGAGCGGTCTACCGACTGCGACTGCCCGATTTGTGGCGAGTACATGTTTACCTCTCCGAGGCCCGTTGTCTTCATGGTTTGCGGTCACAGTATTCACGCCAAATGCTATGACCAGCATATGCAGAGCTCCTACAAGTGTCCCATCTGCAACCGCAGCCTCCTGAACATGCAGAGCCAGTTCAGGCAGCTGGAGCTATCTATCCTCAGCCAGCCCATGCCCTTGGAGCTGCGCAACACTCGTGCCGTGATTCTGTGCAACGACTGCAGCGGCAAAAGCACCGTCCCTTATCACTGGCTCGGACTGAAATGCGCCATATGCAACTCGTACAATACGGCGCAGATTCGACTGGAGAACAGTCCATTTCCAGAAGACGCCACCGGACATCCGCCGGCGAACCCTCTTGCCGAGTCGACTGGCTCATTGGGCGCCGTGGATGTACCAGGCACACCTAGACGGCGCCACTCTTCTCTGACGGGCGTGCAGCTACGGCATGCCGTACCGCTGCCTGATCGATTGGCAAGGTCCGCATCGCCGCCCCTGCCGCCGGGGTTGGCCGTGCCCGTGCCCGAGGGAACAGCTGTACATGATGCAGACGATGCCGATGACTCTGATGAAGACATGCTCGGCCTATGGGGCACCCGTTTTCACCGGTCATCTGATGAGGAAGAGGACGACGTGGAGTCCCTTTCGGACGATGCTGGTGGCGACGACGACGATGACGACGACGTGGACGATGAAGAGGAGGAAGACGACGAGAACGAAATAGTGCTCTTCGGACACCGCTGAGTATTAAGCTACGGTTCAACGTACACGAAAGGCAAGGGGTCCTTGTTAGAGATCTGGATCACGGTGTTTGCGTGCTTTTTCTTTCCCTCTGCAATGTTTTTTGCATCATGACTGGAATGAGACATATCCTAGGGCGGATGTATGAATGGGGATATGGACTTCTCATATGCCGGTCTTCTCTGGCTTGGGCGTTGGTATGGCTTGGCTGGGGCAGAGTGGTTACATGCGTGATACGGCGACGGAATTTTCGCTCAGGGAGGAACATTTGGTCATGTGGCGTTACATAAAGGTGGCAGCTTAGCTTGCCAGCATCTTACTCTTCTTCGTCACGATGTTACCGCTGCGCCCAGTGACTGGTTGTAATGCGTTGCGCTGGCAGGTCACGGTTTCTCCAACTCCAACTGCACCCGTGGTCGTTCACTTTCTCCTCTGACTGGCCTCCTTGGCCTTCATGTCCAACTCGACCTCCTGAGCTTCTTTCCTCAGCTCCTTGACGACCGTCTACCTCTCACGTCAGTGCCTAGTACATTGGGGGGCATGGTCATTTCATAGTAGGCAGGGCAACAGCTCACAGCAAGCGCTTCGGGGTTCACGCCATTCTCAATCATGGAGATGCAGATCGATAACGTCCGGCGGTCGAGCTGGCAATTCTACTATGCGTTAGTCAGGCCTGAGGTTGGCGTGGGGGAGGGCAGGAGGGGGGTTGGCGCCCGAGAGCACTGAGACGGAGATGGGGCGCACTGACGAGGATGGTCGCGATCTCGTGCAAAATATCTACGGCCTGCTGGGCAGCGGCCTGCTTCTCTTTGCGTTCATCGGCGGGAGGCGGCATTCTATATCATGGTTTGACACGATGTCGCGCGCGCCTGGATGAACGAGAAGGAGCTGGAAGAGCGGGACTGAGCGTCTCACTCTTGTTGTTGAGACCGATGGAAAACGCGTACTGGGTATGTGCTGGCTAAGGTAGGTACCTAAGCTTGCTCAGGTAAGGTGCGCCAGTGGCAGGTGCTAAAGTGGTGGGGTCTGTCGCGCCTGCTGTTCTCAGCTGCGTGGCGGTGGCACCTGCCTTGCCCGTCTGACGCTTAATCTACGGCGTCCCCGGATTTTCTGCCGCCGGCCGGCGATGGGTCCCAAGCTGCAGAATTTCTCTTCGACATGGAACGACAGGGGGACCTTGGTCTGGCAAATCATTTTCCGAACCCGTTCGCTCATCCAACTTCATTTTGATATTCTGGACTTGTCGTCCCTCCGTCCTGACGACCCATCAGCCGGCTACGCATGCCAACCCTTCTTCGAGTCCGGTGCCATCCGCCTGCCTAGGTAGCCAGCAACGAACTCTCGCTGCGGGCTGTCGACCGACACTCGCTCTGCCGGTCCTCATTCGCCCAATCATGCGCCGCCGACGACTCATTCATCTTCACGATATGAGAAGGAGGGTTTTGGAATCGCACCGCGCCGGCTTGGACTTGAATGACTCACGCAGGTCGGATGGCTGCGCCCGTGGATGAGAGGGACCGCGTTTATGGTCCCACGCGGATCACTCTCTTGCCCTATGAAGGGACTGACGATGGCGTGCCGACGCTTCATGCGAGCAGGGCTACAAGCCAAGGTAGGTGGTTATTACCACTCCGCAGTACGGAGCAACTGCTGATCGAGTGGCAGCACCCAACTTTCACATCGTGAAACAGCCAGATGTGTGGTACCCTTCATCGACAACGGTCAAGCCAAACGCCATCAGCTGGGATCTTCAGAAACAGCACAAGCGATGGCTGGCCGGCACGCACCCAGAGGCATTCACCGGCATGTCCGATCTCCTTTCAGATCTCATGTGCGAGTCCAATGAAGCCACGCGGTCTGCAAATCATCCTCTCCTGGCGATCGGCCAGATGGCCAATCTTACGGATCCCCGACGCCCGCGTGTCAGACCTGTCATCGCCATGGCTGCAGGCGAATCCGGACAGCTCTTGCGCCTCAGTGCTCTTCGAGACTCGACGTGGCGCTGGGGCACGCATCAGAGCCCTGCACTCCATCGACTACACCTTGACGCCGACGACGTCGACGAGGTGGCCCACTGGGCGCACGATGACAGTCCCATCTCACAGGTCAAGGCAGCAATGAGCTTGGTGGGCAGTGAGCCTTCACGCTACATCATTGTGCAGAAGAAACTGGCAACAACGGTCCTCAAGCCACAGTATCGGACGATTCCTGTGGCTAGGGAACATTCAGGCGTGGGAGAGGATCGCGAACGGCCCTCACGAATCGATCCAAAGCCTATCATGGTGGTCTCGGATCACGACACTGGAGGTCGCCCACATGCTGATTTTTCTTACTGTCCGGGGTCGGAGGGCAAGCCGGAACTTTTAGCCGTGGTAGACGACTTTGGATATTGGTACGTGTGGGAGATGCAGGGCCGGTTCAAAGTCACGCGCCCCGGATTGGAGGCCAATCTTCGATTTCACGGCCACATTGAGCAGGGGATACTCGACGTTGCACCAACACAGACCGAAACGACAATGCTGGCGGCGACGCACGGCATATTGTGGATCGGCGCTTCCGGGTCAGACTGGAATCACTGGGACGCTGCGCTGGTGGCAGCGGTGGACTCCGGAGGCATTCCCCCAAGCGCTTCCTCGCGAGCCACAGCTTTCATTGTTTGGAGTCAAAAACAACTTGCACTTGTTGACTTGCGAACTGTCACATCAGCCATTCTCGACTGTCCGGTACGGACCACGCCCAAAGACTTGATCCTGGATGTCAAACAAAACCCTGCCAACCAGCGCCAAATATTCGTCCTGACGACTACAAGCCTGTTCTGGATCGAGATTTCCCCGCCAGTGGCAGCTGGTCAGACTGCGAGTGGACCCAGGATTCTCCTATCGTGCGCCCACCTACGGAGCGCCAACAATCGATTCCTGAAGCTGAAGGTGCACCATGGCTGGTCAAGCCTCGGCGACGATGCTAGCCTTGTTTGCTTGCATTCGAGCCGCAATCCTGATATTGATATTTACGCCTTCGGCGCACACGAGACGACGAGCCTGCCTCAATTTCAGCATCACATGGTCCGCGTACCAGGCATTGGCCAAGGAGAGGATGAGAATGGCCTCGAAATGCAGACTTTTTGCCTCGCACCAGCCACCTTGACCGCCTCCACGCCCTCGACGGGCCCCGGCGCAGCACACATGGACCGTGAGGACCATTTCTGGCAACTCTTTGTTCTAAATCAAGATCTTGGTTTGAACTGCTCGCTGGTGGTGGCCACATCTGGTTCTCACGATGACGTTCGCCTTCCTGACACGCTCAAGGTGACGGGAAAGAAGAGAAAGATTGTGAATCAGCGAAGAACAGCTTTTATCCAGCAGCTTGCCGAAGTCTTCGCAGTGCCAGACGCCTTTGGCGAGATGGACGAACTCTTCCGACTCAGGCAAGGAGCTGGCGGGGACCTGGCACTCATACAGGATGGTCCGGGCTCCGCACGACGTTGGCCAAGGAGCAAGGTTGAGGGCGTTGACCTGCTGTTCTTCCGCGTGGGAGTTTCGATGGAGACGGTGGCGATGGAGAGTCGAAGGGTTGAGGCTAAAGGCTCATTCCAAGGCTTCGACCTAATCCATCGGGCAGTGGCACAATGCCTCGGTATGGAGGACCAACAGCTGCCGCTGAGCACATTGTAAGATTGACACGCAGCGATCTTGATGCAAACAAATACTGACATGAACAGGCGAGACTATCAGCCCGCAATGGAGGCTCCTCCGATCGACGAGGCCGACGAAGAAATTTGGGATGCGCGATTACATGAATTTTATAGTCTCAACGACCAGCGGATTGTCATCCAGTCAACGGCAGCTCGCTTTTTTGGCCTACCCGTGGATGCCACTCTCTCCTTTTCAGCTTTGCGGCGACATTGCGAAGAGCTTTGGCCGGCCACAGATGCCTCAGTCGAGGCACAGATCTCGAGACGGCTCGCGCTGGCAGAAACAGTCGAGGCCTCGATAAGGTCCCTAGTCGGTGTTATGGCTTTTGATTTTACCTCATCCGAAACCTACGACGGGCTCACAACATGGGTGCCAGAACCGAAAGGGCCGAAACAACCAACGCAAGCGGGGTCTTCGCAGCGGACGGTCTATCCGACACCCCGCGCCACGGCCTCTGCATCGCCCGGCCCTTCGTCGCATTTCGAGAGCTCACAGCCTGAGAGCTCTCAATCTCACACATCACAGCCAGCGTCTCAGGAGAAGAGTGTCCCGGGCGCGCTGCAGCGGCTCAGCATGCTCGCCCGTCACGTCAACAAGGAGGCCAAGATTGCGGGTCCACCTCATCCAGTCCTTTCGTACTGGCCAGAAGAGCGTGGCGTGCCCATGCAGGGATATCAGTCGAGCGTACTGATGGCCTCATCTCAGCGGTTGGAGGCCGTCCGAAGTCGATTCCAGCGGATAGAATCGAGGCGACAGAAGCGTAGCCGCATCATGGACGGGTCTTCACGGTCTGCGACCCAGGATCTTGCAACGTCGTCTCAGATGCCCCGGCTACCTTCCTCGCCGTCCATGCCGGCTCGCTCGCTGGCCTTGCCGCCGGCCCTTTCGCAGCAGCCGCAGATTGCATTCCGGCCACTGTTGCCGTCATCGCAGGTGCTGGGCTCATCGCAACTGGCGCCGGCCATGATCATGTCGCAGACAGTGCCAGGAATACATGGGCGGCGGCCGCAGGGAAAGAAGAAGGCGAAGCGGAGGGGTGGATTTTAGGATGCAGGGACCTTGGAGTTGGTTTGTGTAGGCGTAGTCTTGAGATACCCATAAGGGGAGAAATGTGAGATTGCATAGAATGACCTGCATGGTTGTGGTGACTACCACAGGGGTGGAAATATGATGATCTATGCCGGGCTACTTCCATGTTCGCAAGCTGAGCAGTTAGTCGTCTTGACGAGGAAACTGGGTCCGTGGCAAACGATCCACTCACAACCGTTCCCCGCCAACCTCATCCAACGTCGTGACCCTTCATCAGTAACCTCACGTCCACAGATGAAGACATCCAGTGTACCATTGTCATTTCACCGACAGAAGACGCACCTCGAACGAAAGTCGTACCAAGCACCATGTCCTGCTCGCACGAGCATCATAGCCACGGTGGCGATGACCACCATGGCCACGAGCACGACCATTCAGACGACATCACGCCGGCGTTGCAGCACTCGCTGTACCAGCAGATCAACTTTGACGAGATCACGACGCTCAACGAGGCCGTGCCCGACAGCGGACGAGCCATAGTGAAGAAGACTTGGGCCGACCGGCTCAGCGTGGACGTCGAACTCGAGAGCGACGCCGATGAGCAGCTGCTCATGACCGTGCCGTGAGTTGTCCAGCGAGCTTTGCCACTCCGCGTTGCATCGCGCGAACATGTGTCCCCCCCCCCTCCCCCGCAAGAAAAAGCCGCGGTGCTTTCACCATGTCGGATCCTGAGAACCATGCTGACGAAAGAGGGACAACCCAGATTCACCGCCCAGGTCAAGCTCCACGCCCTCCTCCTCCGCACGTCCCCGGCGCCCTCGGCGCCGCGCACCCTGCACGTCTTCCTCAATCGCGACGACCTCGACTTCGCGTCGGCCGAGGACAGCCCGCCGACGCAGACGTTTGAGCTCGCGCAGACGTCCGACGTGCAGGAGATCCCCGTGCGGCGCGCCCTCTTCGGCAAGGTCCGCCGCCTGACGCTCTTCTTCCCGGACAACTTCTCCGCCGGCGACGACGACGTCACGCGCCTGTCGTATGTCGGCTTTCGGGGCGAGTGGACGGCGCTCGGCCGGGCGCCGACGAATATCGTCTACGAGAGCGCCGCGCGGCCGAGCGACCACACGGTCAAGGGAACGGGGATCAACCAGGTCGGGGGCGGAATCGGAGGGAGGGGGGATGGAATGTAAGGAGGGGACGTAAAGGCGCGGGGCATGGACTGGCTTTTCTCTTTCATCAGCTTGCAAGAGAAGTCGACAGATGAACCGCGAGACGTCAGCTAATGCACTTTCACCATTCTTGGAAGGGCGTGATCATCTTGGACAGCGTGCAGCCTAGTGGCGTGGCGCGCGTTCGAGGTCGCAACACCATGTCTGGGGGGGGGGGGGGATATATGCTTTGTGGCTGGCCAGCACACCATGACCTCGACAACACCCTGACGGCCAACAGCAGACTCCTCATTGCCCTTCATAAGCAACCTTTGTCCTGTTCCTCCCACCGACAACCGAAAAAAAAGCCACCGTGGCCGAGCCGTATACGTCGCCGAACAAACCGTTCCACCGTCATCAGAACCAAATCCAAAACCCCCCACCACCCTCCGAGTTCGAGTCCGGCAGCCGGAGAGGGGGAGACAAGAGGGGGAGACAGAAAAAGATTCGCTTCTGAAGGGCGGGCGGTGATGAAATCGAGAACCGACGGCAGAGATGTAGGGACCGACTCGGTCCTGAACTCTTTTGCCGATACTCTCCATGTTGATCACAAATGTGCCATGAAATTGGTAGGCGAGGCCCAACTTTGCCTCTCAAGATGATGCGTATTCGTGTGGGATCGATCCGCGCTGCGTAGAACAGGTTTGGTGGGTTGAGGGTTTTATATTTGTCTCGCTCGGTGTCCAAATTGATCAGCACATGATCAGGAGCAAAATCACCCAAGCGTAGCACCTCTCGGGATTCAGATTTCGTAGCAGGCCTTCAAAACAGTATGTCAGGGAAGTGACTTGATCAGGCGACTGAAAGACGAGTTATGTGAGGGTTCTCGACGACGGGCCACTTTGGTCACTGTCAAGTCTTCCATGCTTTACCTTGCTCATTTTGAACGGCAAGGCATCTCGCGATAGACGACACGGTCAGGCCAAAACACACTACGATGCATCCAGAGATTGACGCTAAAACCATTCATTCGAGTAGCCAGCCCAGAAAGGCGGCATCTACCAACCGTATCTCGTACATAGCCATGTGATATCCAATACTGGCAGCGACCAGGCGTCATCCATCTATTCTTTCCAATTCTCTCACAATCCACACGCTTTCCTCTGACGCAAATCATGAGCTCGAGGCAAAGCACCATGCCGCCGTCTATATGCAATGCAACAGTGTAGCGCCATTATGGGAAGGCAGCTAGTCCCTCTCGTCCCCGCCGTCGCCCGTCTGGTTGACCGGCGCGTATCGTCCGCCGCCGGCACTGCTGTCGCCGCGGGTGCGGCCGACGACGCGCGACACCCAGCCGCTGATGGTGCTGCTGGCGTCGGCGTCGTTGACGCCGCCGAGGTGCGACGCCTTGCCATCGATGGCTGCGGCGTCGGCCGGGTCGAGCGACAGTCCTGGGATCGCGCGGTCGGGACCGACGCCGGGGCGCATGGCCGATGCAGGCGAGCCGTACTGCATGAGCGACCCTGTCTCGGCGGCGTGAATCGACGGCGTGCCAATGGCCGTGCTGGCGTCGCCAAACAGCGAGTCCATCTCCTCGAGACGGACACCACATGTTTCGGGGTACACAAAGTAGACTTGAGACGGTCAGTGTCCATGCGCGCACGACATTGTAGAACAGAATACACTCACCGACAACGAAACTGACGACGCAGAAGAAGGCGTGGATCAGGTACATGCGCCACTTGATCCATTCCTGCAGGATGGGGGTCATCTCGCCGACCAGCCAGTTGAACGCCCAGTTGGTGGCCGTCGACAGACTGGCACCCTTGGAACGGATGCTGAGCGGCAGAATCTCGGGCGGGTACAGCCAGGGGATCGGACCCCACGAGTAGCCAAAGGCTGCGTTGTAGATCATGACGAAGATGACGACGCACGTCGGCGTCCACGACACGTCGAGGTAGATGAAGTACGAGATGAGCGACAAGGAGACAGCCATCAGGATGGCACCGCTGAGCAGGATAGGCCGGCGTCCCCACCTGTCGACGAGGTACCACGGGGGGATGGTCGACAGGAAGTACGTGATGCCGTTGATGCCGGTCATCAGCACAGCATCCTGTCCGACCCAGCCGGCCGACTCAAAGACGTAGGGCGCGTAGTACGAGATGACGTTGATGCCGTTGAGCTGGGCCAGGCCCTGGGCGGACATGGCGATGAAGACACGGGTGCCGTAGCGGCGGAACATCTCGGCGTAGGAACGCTCGCCTTCCTGGCGCTGGAGCAGGACATTCATCTTAATCTCACGGAACTCCTCACGGGCCTTGGGGTTGTGAATGTCACCCTTGCCGTACAGGTCAGCAATGACAATGATGCCCTCTTCGTCACGGTCCGTATCGAGGAGCCATCGGGGCGACTCGACAATGATCAGGCTGCCGAAGCCGAGCAGGGCGCCCATGACACACTGCATCATCAGCGGAACACGCCAGGACATGTCGCTCTGGATGAAGCCGCAGAAGTAGTCGACCCAGACCGACGTGGCGTAGCCGATGATGTTGCCCGAGAACTCAATGCAGGCCAGCTTGCCACGGTTGTGAGGAGGGGAGATCTCGGACTGGTACACGGGCACGATCGTCGACAGGGCACCGACACCGAAACCGGCAATGATGCGGCCGAGCATCATCATGGGCATGCCGTTGGCCATGGTCTGGAGGGCACCACCGACGAAGAAGATGATGGAGCCGTAGAAAATGGTCTTGCGGCGGCCTATGATATCACCGACGCGACCGACAATGAGGGAGGAGATGAAGGCGCCGATCTCGAGGATGGCCACCATGGTGCCGACCTCGGCCCTCGAGGGATCGTGGAAGTAGGCCTTGAAGAAGGGGCCGCTAGAGGTGGGGCGTCGTCAGCAGTGGACAGAAACGAGGAGGATGGGGTCAGCAGAGGGGCATGTTGTACGTGATGATTCCCGACATGACGCCCTGGTCATATCCGAAGAGGAAGACGCCTAATGACACGAAGATGCTGGTGAAGTACACCAGGGCCTTGCCGGTGAGGCCATGGACGGAGCGTCCGCCGGTCATGATGAAGCCGAGGGCGCGGAGGGTGAGGGTGGGACGAGGTTTCTGGATGCGAGGGACCTCGATGGCCTCCTTGTCAACGGGGCCCGGTCTCGAGGGGGAGCGATGGGCGTGTCCCGCGGGCGGCTGGATGCGGACTCGCTTTTGCGGGTTGTGGCTCTTGGTGTGTCGTCGTGCTAGGCCAGCGAGCAGCTCGTCATCGGCGTCGTGGTCGAGCTGGAAGCGCAGGGGATCCTCGTCGCCGAGCTGCTCGGCAATGTCGCCCGTGTCGGTCCAAGAGGATTCGGAGCCGGACGCAATGGCCTTTTGGTCGTAGTCGTGGCCGTGATGGTGTTGGTGTTGGTGGCCGCGGCCGTGACGGCGGGAGGGAGGAGAGTCGGGGTCGGGGCTCTGGTGGGCACCCAGCAATGACGTCGCCTGTTCCTGGTCCGAGCGAGAAGGCAGGGTTCGAAGGGGGATGTTGGAGGGAAGACGGGCGGGCTGTGAAGAGGGAATCTTGGGCGGCGATGGGGCTGTATGGCAGCAGCTCCCTTCCGCTCGAAAGATTGGGGGTTGTGAAAGGGGGGGGTGTGGAAGAGGAAACGAAAGGAATGCGGCCGTTTATGTGAAGCGAAGATGCAGGCAGGCCGACAAGCAGAAAGACAGGCTGAGAGGCTGGCTGAAGGGTGAATCAGGGACTGATTGAGCAGGAACTGGGTCCGACCGGCATCTGGGTGGAGGCAGGCGTCAGCGTACAGCAACAGCAGGAGGGCAGGGCAGGACAGCAGGGAAGGCAGCAGCACTGGGTTGGGGGTGGGCACTGGGCAGGCACCGCTGGGCTCCACGGATGGACACTGTCTGCCGCACGGTGGTCCCAGATAACGGCTGTTGGGCCGTCAGAACCGTTGAGTGTGTGTGTGTCAGTGTCTCTCCTCCTCTCTCCGAGATCTCAGAGATCAGTCGGGACGGGCAGGTCCCAGGCGCGGAGGCCCAAGGACAGTGCGAGGTGTCCCACGCGCCAAGAGACCACTGTAAGGCTGAGCGAAGGCCGGTGCGGGGCACCGTGTCTTGGGCGACCTCTCAGCAGGCTCACACAGCACCCAGAGGGCTCAGCATCCAGAGGGCTCAGCAGACTGCTCTTCCCTGGAAAGTGCCCAGAGGACAACCTTTTCCAGGCTGCACGCCTGGTGCACGCTCGAACGACCATCTGTCTCGAGGGCCCAGGACAGGCAACTGGCGCGCGTCGGGAGACAAGGAAAGCCAGGAAAGTCAGACACACAGAGGGGAAGGGGAAACGGAGAAAGGAAAATGTGACAGGGAATCGAACACGATGTGACGGAATCGACCATTCGATCAGATGCCATCCAACACCCCGTCTTTTTTTTTTCCCCAGCTCCTCTGCCTCTCTGCATCTCGCTGGCCCCCCTCCCCGCCAGTCTGGGGATGTGACAGAGAGCTCCGCAGAATCCACTCGACGAGAGGCCGTCGCTGCACGATGAGAAAAATCGTGGCAAGCTAGGGTGTGATGGGGGCAGCAAGCAGACATGGACACGAAAGAAGACCAGCCGGAGGGACTCACGTGTACAAGTGCCGATTCAGGTGACAGGCCGTGTGCTGCGGAGCAGTCTGCTGAGTCCGGGACGTCGACGAGGGTGTGCGATGCGAAGAGGGTCCTGGTTCGTCATGTGCTGCGATGCGTGTGTGTGTGTGCGCGTGTGCGAGTTGTGGTCTCGGGACGACGGGCAGTGGAGATGCTGCTCAAGGGGACTCGGTCGCGTGAAAGGGGGGATCGCGACGGGAGGACCACGCGTCAGCGAGCGAGACAGAAAGGAACGGCGGTTCGTCGGGTGAGGTTTGGCGAGAGACAAGAGACGGGAAGGGACAGAAAAGGTGAGAGTGAACGAGGCACACGAGGTTCGATGGCTTGATCAATGGATTTGAGAGTGCACGTCTCGACACCACGCGGAAAACCACCCCCTATTCTCCTTACGAAAAGGCCGAATTTCAGACGTCGCTCGGGGATCCGGGGACCCTCACTTCCCTGTCGCGCTCCGCTGAGCTGACCCCCCCCCAACGTCCGCCCGTTCTTGATTCGCAGAGCTGACATGGCCAGCTGGTGGAAAGGTAGCCTCTGATTGCTCCAGTACGCTGATTACCTAACGGGACCGTCCTGCGTCTCCTTACTTTCTTGTAATGCATGTGTCCGCACGTTCCGCTGCCTTCTTGGCCCTGACCGGAGAGCCATTCACAGGCCGCCAAGCCGCGAGGCTGGGCAGCCTGGTGGACCGACTGCGAGATGATCTCGGTGGGGCCACTGTCGGAGTCGGACCAGGTTGACATGCTCCCACCGGCCAGCGTTTGGGGCGCTTGCTGGGACGGGATCAGCAGAATGTTCGTCGCTGAACGCTGCAGCCGATTTGGCGGTGAGTCTCCGCCCTCTGCCTTTAGACCTCAACCTGAAATCCTTATCTTTCAACACATCTCACTTCTTTCGTGAAGTACGCCATCTGCAGGTCCACGATCACGCTAGGTGCCTCACGATCAGAGTCGTAGCTCCCTCATCGCCCGCTGACGTCACTGGTGATGTGAGGGGCTGCACAACTACATGTGCATGCGGTGGGTTCCTCTGCAACGACACCTCCACCAGAACGCACGGGCATGCCTTTGTGACAGGCTTCCTCGCTTGGTTGGTTGTCTGGACCTTCAGTAATCCGAGAGGGACTGTAGACGCCGAGTGCGCGGTCCTTGATGATTGTCCAAGAACATTGCAATTCCCATGTCGACACCGCGCCGGGGGAAAGTCCTCGTCGGAAGCTAGCGCCGACGCCGAAGGCCTTCTCTTCTGTGATGTATACATTTGTCGCCGATTGTACAATTTATTCTCATGCTCATCCGTAGACCTCAGGATTTGCGCGCGTTTTATTTGCCGTGAACGTGCTCAGGACTGTCTATCCCGGTGACTGCCTGTGTTCGTACCAGGTTCATGTTCCATTCAGGTCGTTACCGGGTGCGTACCTACTCGGCACTCTAACAACACATGCTTACGAGCTGTGTCATATCAAATCACTCCCTTGAAGCCCGTTCCAAGTTTGTTCTTGGATTTTAATAGCAAACCTGCGAGTGAATATGAACACAGGCAAATGCATGCCGTATTGGCCATGGGGGAATACGAGAGACATTTGACTTGACCATATTTGACCGATAAATGTTTGTTCAAGCCAGCAAAGTCTAGACGACGTAACAAAGACTTGAATCCTGTAATCAGCCCATCTCTATACTCATCATAACATTGTACTAGTCGGTTACCAGTTTGAATAATACCAGCGACGATTAAAAATCTCCTATTAGCACAGAACCCAACGTTGTGTCCACATTGCGAAGACCCACGAGACGGTACTACATGATTTATCCTACTTTGCACATCGTTCATTCCCTCACTTCTGGTTCCGAAATTCTCAAGGACGCAAGACAACCATAGTAGTTCTGATGTCCCCTTTTCGTCAAAGGTCCTATCAGAGAGAGGCTGTGAGCAGAGTGAGGGGGCTTCCACAGGGATTGAAAAGAGTCAGCTGTCAGGTACATGATAGAAGATCACCTGGAAGCTGAGTCTTGGCATCTAAGAGAGCCGCTCGCTGCCCTTGGTTAGCCTCTGCAATCTCGCACTCCCAAAATAGCCCCCCAAGCCGCTCGTTTTGGTTCCTTCGCAGATGCCTGTTTAGTAACCTTATACACGTAGATAAATAATCAAGGTGTTCCTGAAGAAGTTCTCTCATCAGGCGTCTTCTTGAGTCTCAAGCTAGTGAGATTGCGGTCTGCAGAAGAGTGAAGAGGTCTTCCGAAGGTCAGCACGAACTCCCAGTCTTCGTAGATGACTGCAGCTCCGGCTATATCCATGAATCCAGCGCGTGGTGCCTGTGACTCGACAATGTCGGCTCGTATTATCCGCTTCAGGGCTTTCCACTGTTCCTAAGGATTAATTGGAGTGGTGTAATGCCAGGTGGAAGACTTGGTTTGTGAGTTTAGCGTCACCGGATACAGATGGATCCTGAGAGGTGTCATGCATCTTAAATTTCGTGATATCAACGACGTCTAAACCTATGTTGCATGTCTTGAATCGTTCGCCTTTGGCATGCTCAATTCTTGGGCCTCGGTGGATGGATGGACGGCGAAGCAAGGACAAATTTCTTTCGGCCCGGACTCGGTGGCTTTACGAGAAGACCCCCGTGCGATTTCCGTCGTTGCCATCCTTGCTATATTGCAGATTTTGCAGCCCTTCTCATATGACTGTTCGACACGCTTGAATATGATTGACATTGGAGCAACCACCGTCTCTCTAGGTTTTCTTCATAGAAACAAGAACGCAAACCAAGGCGTTGTAAGGTCTCTTGAGGTGAAGACCCAGGACACGAGTTAAGATTTCACCACCCTCTACAGCTTCAAAATCGAACAGCAGAGCGTGACCATGTACTAGTCGATGCAGTTGTCGAGGGACACCCTCTAAGCACAAGTTAGCGACTATCAGTCCCGGGTAGTCGCAGCTTGAGATGGCCAACGAAGAACCGAATGAACGTTTCGATGAGAGCATGACCTGGACAGCCTAGCTGCGTACGTGGGAAAACAAGATGACGATCACCTTCGCGCTTACTCATGCCGATTGTGACTTTAGACAACCTGGCATATGGAACGTGTTCGCTCCTCTTGTGAAGGCAGTCGAGCCAGGTTGAAGCATCAGTGGAAGTTGCTTGTGAAGAAGCATGAGATGAAGCACCAGAAGAAGGGGTTAAAGTTGAGCGCGCGGTTTGGCACCTCGGCTCGTGAAGATATCATGTCTGCGATCCCCTGGCCATGAGTGGCAACGTTTCCACCATTTTTGCAATCAGACAACTCTACATTACAATTCTACGACGGGCCGCGGACACGAGAGCAAGACGGCGAATGTGTCGGGGAGCAGATGCCAGAGAAAGCAGATCCACGTCCAACGGATATGACCTGTGACGGAACAAACCTCACATTATGACCAAGACACTTCATCTGTTTCTGAGATGGAGGTTAGCAAGACGGGAGACAGAAAGAACCAAGTCACAGATACGTTGATGCTTCTACCAGGAATGAAACGAGGCAGTCGGACCAGAACCCTCGACAACGACTTCCAGGGCTACTCAAGCGTTTTGACTCTGAAGGCTCTGGGGCCGACGCCAGGCTTCATGTCGTATTTTGTGGGCGACAACACCCAAGAAGCAGGCATTCCAGTGAACACGGAGTCAAGTCGTCCCAGCCAACAAGGAGATTATACAGGACCTGCCAAACTGCGCCTGCCGATGTTGATCGCACATCAGGCTGGTAAGACGTGGTCAAAACCAAAGCGCAACCGGGCACTTGAGGTACGAGCAGAAATCCCGGCTCAGCAGCAATACCCGCCATCACGTTCGTCGGCAATCTAGCCCAGAAACCCATATTGCATGTTCGGCATCATCACTAAACCACCACCCAGGGCGAGCGCATGCAGAAGAAACATTCTGTTGTCGTCCCTGCATGACCACCTTCGCGGCGCAGTGCAGGCACGAAAATAGAAACGATCGTATTGTCCTTTTGTGCATGTCTCCTTGGCCCACCCTTCCCTCCCCCCCAAGCTACTGCACCCAAAGTCTGGGGTGTGCCCTCTGACAAGTGAAGGATTGGCTGTGGAGGCCCAATGCCGCCATCGCACCGCCACGGCCAGCACCCCATTTC